GCTGTCCGTGCCGTGAGGGGGCTGTCCATGCCGTGAGGGGGCTGTTCTTGCCGTGCGGGGGCTGTCCGTGCCGTGTGGGGGCTGTCCTTGCCGTGAGGGGGCTGTCCGTGCCGTGCGGGGGCTGTCCATGCCGTGAGGGGGCTGACCGTGCCGTGAGGGGGCTGTCCGTGCCGTGAGGGGGCTGTCCGTGCCGTGCGGGGGCTGTCCGTGCAGTGTGGGGGCTGTCCGTGCCGGGCGGGAGCCCTCGGGGCCGTGCGGGGGTGGTCGGTGCTGTGTAGGCGCTGCCCGTGCCGTGCGGGAGCTGTCAGGGCCGGGCGGGAGATGTCCGTGTCGTGCGGGGGCTGTTCGTGCCAGGAGGGGGCTGTCCGTGCCGTGCGGGGGCTGTCCGTGCCGTGCGGGGGCTGTCCGTGCCGTGCGGGAGCTTTCCGTGCCGTTAGGGGGCTGTCTGTGCCGTGCGGGGGCTATTCGTGCTGTGCGGGGGCTGTCCGTGATGTGCGGGGGCTGTCCGTGCTGAGCGGGGGCTGTCGTTGCCCTGAGGGGGCTGTCCGTGCCGTGCGGGGGCTGTCCATGCCGTGAGGGGGCTGTCCATGCCGTGAGGGGGCTGTTCTTGCCGTGCGGGGGCTGTCCGTGCCGTGTGGGGGCTGTCCTTGCCGTGAGGGGGCTGTCCGTGCCGTGCGGGGGCTGTCCATGCCGTGAGGGGGCTGACCGTGCCGTGAGGGGGCTGTCCGTGCCGTGAGGGGGCTGTCCGTGCCGTGCGGGGGCTGTCCGTGCAGTGTGGGGGCTGTCCGTGCCGGGCGGGAGCCCTCGGGGCCGTGCGGGGGTGGTCGGTGCTGTGTAGGCGCTGCCCGTGCTGTGCGGGAGCTGTCAGGGCCGTGCGGGAGATGTCCGTGCCGTGTGGGGGCTGTCCTTGCCCTGAGGGGGCTGTCCGTGCCGTGCGGGGGCTGTCCATGCCGTGCGGGGGCTGTTCGTGCCGGGAGGGGGCTGTCCGTGCCGTGCGGGGGCTGTCCGTGCCGTGCGGGGGCTGTCCGTGCCGTGTGGGAGCTGTCCGTGCCGTGCGGTGGCTGTTCGTGCCGTGAGGGGGCTGTCCGCGCCGTATGGGGGCTCTTCGTGCTGTGTGGGCGCTGCCCGTGCTGTGTGGGCGCTGCCCGTGATGTGCGGGGGCTGTTCGTGCTGGGCGGGGGCTGTCCTTGCCCTGAGGGGGCTGTCCGTGCCGTGCGGGGGCTGTCCATGCCGTGAGGGGGCTGTCCGTGCCGTGTGGGGGCTGTCTTTGCCGTGAGGGGGCTGTCCGTGCCGTGCGGGGGCTGTCCATGCCGTGAGGGGGCTGTCCGTGCCGTGAGGGGGCTGACCGTGCCGTGAGGGGGCTGTCCGTGCCGTGTGGGGGCTGTCCGTGCCGTGCGGGGGTGGTCGGTGCTGTGTGGGCGCTGCCCGTGCCATGCGGGAGCTGTCAGGGCCGGGCGGGAGATGTTCGTGCCGTGCGGGGGCTGTCCGTGCCGTGCGAGGGCTGTCCGTGCCGTGCGAGGGCTGTCCGTGCCGTGCGGGAGATCTCCGTGCCGTTAGGGGGCTATCTGTGCCGTGCGGGGGCTATTCGTGCTGTGCGGGGGCTGTCCGTGATGTGCGGGGGCTGTTCGTGCTGGGCGGGGGCTGTCCGTGATGTGCGGGGGCTGTTCGTTTTGGGCGGGGGCTGTCCTTGCCCTGAGGGGGCTGTCCGTGCCGTGCGGGGGCTGTCCATGCCGTGAGGGGGCTGTCCATGCCGTAAGGGGGCTGTCCTTGCCGTGCGAGAGATTTCCGGGCCGTGAGGGGGCTGACGGTGCCGTGCGGGGGCTGTCGGGGCCGGGTGGGGGCTGTCCGTGCCGAGTGGGGGCTGTCTGTGCCGTGCGGGGGCTGTTCGAGCTGTGAGGGGGCTGACCGTGCCGTGAGGGGGCTGTCGGTGCCGTGCGGGGAATGTCCGTGCCGTGTGGGGGTGGTCGGTGCTGTGTGGGCGCTGCCCGTGCCGTGCGGGAGCTGTCAGGGCCGGGCGGGAGATGTCCGTGTCGTGCGGGGGCTGTTCGTGCCAGGAGGGGGCTGTCCGTGCCGTGCGGGGGCTGTCCGTGCCGTGCGGGGGCTGTCCGTGCCGTGCGGGAGCTTTCCGTGCCGTTAGGGGCTGTCTGTGCCGTGCGGGGGCTATTCGTGCTGTGCGGGGGCTGTCCGTGATGTGCGGGGGCTGTCCGTGCTGAGCGGGGGCTGTCGTTGCCCTGAGGGGGCTGTCCGTGCCGTGCGGGGGCTGTCCATGCCGTGAGGGGGCTGTCCATGCCGTGAGGGGGCTGTTCTTGCCGTGCGGGGGCTGTCCGTGCCGTGTGGGGGCTGTCCTTGCCGTGAGGGGGCTGTCCGTGCCGTGCGGGGGCTGTCCATGCCGTGAGGGGGCTGTCCGTGCCGTGAGGGGGCTGTCCGTGCTGTGAGGGGGCTGTCCGTGCCGTGCGGGGGCTGTCCGTGCAGTGTGGGGGCTGTCGTTGCCCTGAGGGGGCTGTCCGTGCCGTGCGGGGGCTGTCCATGCCGTGAGGGGGCTGTCCATGCCGTGAGGGGGCTGTTCTTGCCGTGCGGGGGCTGTCCGTGCCGTGTGGGGGCTGTCCTTGCCGTGAGGGGGCTGTCCGTGCCGTGCGGGGGCTGTCCATGCCGTGAGGGGGCTGCCCGTGCCGTGAGGGGGCTGTCCGTGCTGTGAGGGGGCTGTCCGTGCCGTGAGGGGGCTGTCCGTGCCGTGAGGGGGCTGTCCGTGCCGTGCGGGGGCTGTCCGTGCAGTGTGGGGGCTGTCCGTGCCGGGCGGGAGCCCTCGGGGCCGTGCGGGGGTGGTCGGTGCTGTGTAGGCGCTGCCCGTGCCGTGCGGGAGCTGTCAGGGCCGTGCGGGAGATGTCCGTGCCGTGTGGGGGCTGTCCTTGCCCTGAGGGGGCTGTCCGTGCCGTGCGGGGGCTGTCCATGCCGTGCGGGGGCTGTTCGTGCCGGGAGGGGGCTGTCCCTGCCGTGCGGGGGCTGTCCGTGCCGTGCGGGGGCTGTCCGTGCCGTGTGGGAGCTGTCCGTGCCGTGCGGTGGCTGTTCGTGCCGTGAGGGGGCTGTCCGCGCCGTATGGGGGCTCTTCGTGCTGTGTGGGCGCTGCCCGTGCTGTGTGGGCGCTGCCCGTGATGTGCGGGGGCTGTTCGTGCTGGGCGGGGGCTGTCCTTGCCCTGAGGGGGCTGTCCGTGCCGTGCGGGGGCTGTCCGTGCCGTGAGGGGGCTGTCCGTGCCGTGAGGGGGCTGACCGTGCCGTGAGGGGGCTGTCCGTGCCGTGTGGGGGCTGTCCGTGCCGTGCGGGGGTGGTCGGTGCTGTGTGGGCGCTGCCCGTGCCATGCGGGAGCTGTCAGGGCCGGGCGGGAGATGTTCGTGCCGTGCGGGGGCTGTCCGTGCCGTGCGAGGGCTGTCCGTGCCGTGCGAGGGCTGTCCGTGCCGTGCGAGAGCTTTCCGTGCCGTGAGGGGGCTGACGGTGCCGTGCGGGGGCTGTCGGGGCCGGGTGGGGTCTGTCCGTGCCGTGTGGGGGCTGTCCGTGCCGTGCGGGGGTGGTCGGTGCTGTGTGGGCGCTGCCCGTGCCGTGCGGGAGCTGTCAGGGCCGGGCGGGAGATGTTCGTGCCGTGAGGGGGCTGTTCTTGCCGTGCGGGGGCTGCCCGTGTCGTGCGGGGGCTGTCCGTGCTGTGCGGGGGCTGTCCGTGCCGCTTCCCAGCCCAGGGCTGCATGCTAGTATGCCCCATGGAACACGTAGCAGTAAATGCAAAGCTGTGTTGCAAAGCTGTTTGGGCTTACATGGATGGGTTCTTACGGTCAAAATGCAGTGGTGCGTGAAGCTTGAAAAACAATTCCATTTTATGGGGCTGCGCGACGATTACGTGAATGTATGGTAATATATCCAACTAGGGTGTGAATGCCTGGTGGTATGGTGGTATGTTGGTCAGTTCAATGCTTTCACCAATTTCAATCCGAATGGTGTCACGCAACGCTCTTGCCACCGTACATTCCCTAAACAGGTGAATTGTGTCTCCCACCTGACCATAGAAGCCGAACAAGGGCATCTTGTCACCACACTCCCCCTAATCCATTCTGCCCCTGGTCGGGAGCACCTACCGGTAGTATGCGGGGCATCTGGGATGTGGGTACGGCAGAACTGCTCACAACCCAGCAACAAAGGCTGCAGCAGTAACCGTCGTCGGCTTGGGAGTAGGGTGTCACGCATTACAGCGACTGCACGTCTCCAGTGCGTTGGTTGCTGCTGCGGGAAGCAAGGCACGCAGGTTTGTGCGGTGAAACATACACCGCCTACCTCCCGGCACCAGGCAGGATGTGGAGGACAACCGGCATGGCGGACATCCACGGTATAGCAGTTGCGGATAGGCCTGGCCTAAGCCAACAGCTCCGTAGCGACAAGTCGCAGTGCCGGTGGTTCCCCAGGCGTGCCACACCTTCTGCAAAGGCCGCACCTATCTATGACCTTCAGTTATGCGATCAGCCGTGCCCCCTAGTGTCGCTCACAGTGGCAGGCGCACACTCATTGGGGAGAGGAACAACCATGACTAATTGGGGGAAGGTTGCAAAGGAGCAGCCGAAATCTGCTGGGGCGCTGCGGGGCCAGGGGCCGGTGCGAAGGAGGACCTGCAGTGAAGGGAAAGACACGGAGGAAAGTGGCATCCGCGAGGGACTGAACAGTGTACTATAGCGAATCTGCACAAGGAGGGGCGAACAGCATACATGAGCAACATACTTGAGCAACAGATACCTTACCCTGTTTACCGTTCGGAGTTTGGCAGCTGTATCTAAACCAGTAGTTTCTTGGCTTACAGCGGCCAGCAGCCCAATGCCTCAGACAGCATGGATGTCAGAGTTAAGTTCTTGGGCGGCATCGTATCTCCCTTTCAGCATACGTTTATAAGGATGGGCTTTCTTAGCCTGCGGCCCGCATCGTTTTCCTCTAATCGCTCTTGTGATGTACGATGCCGTTGCAACGGGTGACACGTATACGGTGTAAACCCCGTGGGCCTTGGCAGTCTTAGCTCTTCTTTTTTGTTAAATCCTTGTATCGTCCTAGCTAAAAGAGCAGAAGTTACTAGCGGTATTGGAACTGACTGGGCACGATAGAAGTCAGGTACTTTTGCGTGACGCGTGCAGAGTTTTCTTTTCCTGGGCTAACATGGCCGAACACGAAATCGATGAGCGGACACGGAATCTTCAGCGGCCGGCGACGGAGATTATTATGAGCACGCACACAGAGCCTTCCGAGGACCTGGCCCAGGAGCGCCGCAAGGCAACCTTTGACGTCCAGGAGCTTTCATATGTTTTGAACGAAGGCAAAGATCTGCTGGAAAAAAAGTAGGTAGCTATTTAGTGTTTGGAGCTCGGGACAACAGTTGGCTTACAGTAATGGCTTCACCTCCCTGGTCGTTTTGCACAGGCAGCTATTTGCCGAGTTGTTGGCTAGTACGCCCTGGGGCGACAAGAGCAGGCGGTATTTTCTTGATCGCGAGGAGGAGTACGTGGGCGCATTGCGTGCGGCGTTTGGCATTTGGTAAGCAGTCCTGAAAGAGAGGTCGTCCTCCTGCCGGGAATTCCAGCTGCAGACTCCGCGAGATGAAGACCAAAAGGGATTTCTGTATACCTGGTGCGAGATCGCCTGGCGTCCGGTTGTACCGCCAGCGTAGTGACCTGCACACTCTTCTTCCCCTAGTTGCTTCCCCGCAACCTTGGGATGCGAACATTCCCTCCGCATCCCTTCCCCATACTTTTCCCGCTGACCCGAACTAGTAATGCTGGATAATACTTCATAATCCCTTGCGTGACAGAGCCCCGGGATATCACCTTACGCTAAATCGCACACGGTAGAAGGTGATGTTGGTGCCCCTCGCGGCTCTCCTAGTGCATGCTTCAAGTCCTCCCTCCGCACCCGACCACCCGACACCTCACCATCATGCCCCTCCCCCCTCTCCCCTCCTCACACCAGGGAGAAGATGAAGTCCGAGAAGCTGAGTGTGGAGGACGCCATGATCATGCGAACCCTGGTGGATTTCCCGGGGGGGCTGGAGCTGCACATCGGGGTAGGAGGGAAGGGGGTAGCCAAGCGGCGGGGGGTGGAGCGGGGTAGGAGGGAAGGAGAGGAGGGGGAGGGGGAGGGGGAGGAGGGGCTTGCCAAGCGGCGGGGGGGGGTTCAAATCGGACCATACGAAGCCATATAAAAACATAAAAAGGGGGAGGAGTGGATTGAGGCATGGGTGCATGGTGGGGCAGGATGCCATTTACCCACTCAGCAATCCGAGGGGGGGCGGTGAAGGGGATGTGGGGAAGGCTTGGAAACGCAAGGGTGGCAAGGGTGAGTTGGGGTTGGTCATGCTCTTTGCGTGCTGCTTGATTTCGTGCATGGTGGGCTGATAGCGGTTGGAACCAGGCGGAATGCCCCATCTTTGCTCCGCTCAGCGGTCCCTTCTTGCCTCTGGTTGGGCCTCACTTGCTGCGCACGGAAATACCGTCATTCGCGACACACCCACTTACCCGTTTGCATACCCTGACCTCGGATACCCTGATGTATTGTCACTTCCGCTTTACAAGCAGACTCGCGCCGCTCACTTGGCCCCTCCAACCGTCTCCCCACTCACTTCTCATTCCGCCTCCCCCCTCTACCTCCCGTCCTTGCAGATGTTCATCCCCTCGGTCATGTCGCAGGGCAGTCCCGAGCAGCAGGCGAAGTGGATGCCGCTGTGCACCAAGCTGAAGTAGGGAGGGGGGTGGGGGGAGAGTTGTGAGTCTAGGGAATGAAGGAATACCAAACCACAAGTGAGGGCAAGGCAAAGGGCCGGTATGCGCGATCGCTTTGCTGAGTACCTAGCCATGCCTGTTTGGTTACCGCTGGGGTCCGCTTTCCTGGCCCTTACCTCTCCTTCCACTCTCCTTCCAACCTCCCCACCACCATCCCAGTGTGATCGGCACCTATGCTCAGACGGAGCTTGGTCACGGTACCTTTGTGAGGGGGCTGGAGACAACCGCAACCTATGACAAGGAGGTAGGGGGCTGGGTTGGGGAGGGGAGGGGGGACGGATGGCCCCTCCATGCAAGCACGTGAACGGATGTCCTGCCTGCTTGCTGCTATGCTTTGCTGTCCATTGCCGCAGTCTGCTGTTGGCGTAACGTTAACCGTCCTCTTTTCCTCCAGTGTTGTATACTTGTTGGCTATAGGATTCATGTGCACTGCCCCTCCCTGCCCTCCCTGTATACCCTGTGGTGCACTGAGCTTAACCCTACACGCATTATACAGCACGCACCTATACACATTGTCGTACACACCGCTCATCTCCCCCTGCCCCCAAACCCTCTTGCCGTACCCGGTCCACCCCCTGCCGTACAGACCCAGGAGTTTGTCCTGCACAGCCCCACCCTGACCTCCACCAAGTGGTGGCCGGGCGGTCTGGGCAAGACGGCCACCCATGCGGTCGTGATGGCGCGACTGATGCTGCCGGACGAGGACGCGGGGGCAGCGGGGGGCAGCAGGGAGGGGGAGGAGGAGGGCGGCAGTGTGGGGGAGGGCGAGGAGGAGGGCGGCAGCGGCGGCGGCCACCGAACCGTGGTTCGCGACTACGGTCCGCACGGGTTCATCGCTGAGCTGCGGGACCTGGATACGCACCTGCCGCTGCCGGGGGTGACCATCGGGGACATCGGGCCCAAGGTGGGGGGACAAGGCCATACCAAACCATAGGAAATCACTGGTTAGGGCAAGGCAATGGGGATAGGAGGCGGCAGGTTGAAGGGGGAAGGGGGAAGGGGTAATGGATGGGAGCGGATGGATGGGAGCGGAGGGATGTTGTTCATTGCGCGGGAGGGGGATGTGGAGGGGGGCGAAGAGGCTTGGAGGGTTGAAAAGACGTCAGCCACTGTGGCTGCTGCGGTGTCTCCTGCCGCTCATCGGCTCGCCCTTTCAATGGATGTGCGACATGCTCCCATGCGACCCACCACCTCACGGCAGCACCTCCTTCTCCCTCCTCCCCCTCGCTCCCTGACCTGCACTACCCGTCTGATACCGGTCCTCTCGTGAACAGTCACCAACTTCCCCATGCCCTCTTCTTATCTCACCATCCCTTCCCCCCCTCTTCCCTGTGCCCATCTCTATACCTACAAATGGACGCTATCGTTTCATTCCAATCACCCAACTCGTCTTCGCCCTCTCCCCACCAACCAGGCCTGTTACATGGCCTCCATCAGCAACCGCCATCTCAACTTTCCCTCCCTCCCCTCCTCCCCTCCACCCCTCCTCCCTCCCTCCATTCCCAATCTCAGGCGGGTTTCAACAGTGTCGACAACGGCTACCTCTCATTCGACCACGTGCGCATCCCCCGCGAGAACATGCTCATGAGGTTTGCAAAGGTGGGGGGGAGCGGCGGAGGGGGGGAACTAGGGGGTGGTAGACCACGTGTGCACGTCAGCGAAATGGCGTGGAAGGGGGAGAGAGAGAAGTCGGACCTACACTGCATGGAAGAAAGGGAAGTAAACCTCGGCACGCAAGCACGTCCCGCTGCTGAGTCGACTGCGGAAGGCTACTTGCCCAGTGGGTTTCCTTGGGTGTAGGCCGAGCCTGTGAAGTGGATGGGGGGTGTGGGTGATCCGGAGTCCCCGTGTACTTGCCTGCTCTGACCTCCTTTGCTGCAATCCGCCCCTCCCCGGGTGCCCCCCATCACGTACACCCACTCCTGATGCACCCTCCCCTTTCCCAATCCCCCCATTCCACCCCTCCCCCTCCCCACCCTCCAGGTCACCCCCAACGGCCGCTACGTGCCCCCTCCCCCCTCCAACAGCAAGGCCTCCTACGCCACCATGGTGTTTGTGCGCGCCGACATCGTCAAGAACAGCGGCAGCACACTCGCCCGCGCGGTCACCATTGCGGTGCGCTACGCGGCGGTGCGGCGGCAGACGGCGCCCGCACCCGGGGAGAGGGAGCTGCAGGTTGGGGGGGGGGAGGAGGGGGAGGGAGACATGCGGTTCCTGGTAGCGGGAGGGGGAAGGGTTGGCATGTTGGGGTTGATAACGGTGAGCAGGGCTGCACGTTTCATGACATGGGGCTTGTGGTGGTGAACCTGCTTGTAGAGAAACGGGTGACAAGGCTGTTCTGGTTCCCTAATCTGTCCATATCCTTCCGCTGTACCGCCCGCTTACCTGCCCTATCTGAATCCCCGTAATGTGGCCTTGAATGGCTTTATTTGCTGTATCCCGCCTCCCTCCCCCTCCCTCCCCCCCCCCTAGGTGCTGGACTACCAGAACTGCGCCGCCACGCTGCTGCCGCTGCTGGCCTCCTCCTACGCGCTCAGCTTCATGGGGGCCGCCATGATGGAGCGCTACCGGGCCTTCGAGGCGGAGCGGGACAGGGGCGAGTTCGGAGGGCTGCCGGAGCTGCATGCGCTGTCGTCGGGGCTCAAGGTGGGGGGAGGAGAGGGATCTTGAGATCCTAGGGGGGCGAGGGGAGAGTGCGAGCGCATGGGCTTGCTGAGAGGTGTGCATTCGCGGTGTGTTAAGGAGGTGTGTGGGGCGGTTATCTGAAGGCGGCAGGCAAGCTTGCGCCGTACTCGAGGCGCCGTACATGAAGGACTCCAAGAAGGTCCCCGGGGGCTCCAAGCCGCCCACCCTCTCCCGACCTTGGCGGCCTCACTCCTCTTGCACCCACCCCTGTGATCCGTTCTCCCTCCCCCTCCTTGTCCCCCCCTTGCTACCGTAGTCTTTCCCCTTCCCCACCTCCCCTCTCCCCCTTACTGTATGTCTCCCCCCCTTCCCCCCTCTCCGCTCTCCCCCCCCCCCAAGGCCCTGTGCACCTGGATTGCGGCTGACGGTATCGAGGAGTGCCGCCGCACGTGCGGGGGGCACGGCTACAGCAAGCTGTCGGGACTGCCCACCCTCTTCCAAAACTACGTGCAGGTGGGGGGGGGGACCATACCGAACCATGGGAAGCCACAGGTCAGGCCAAAGGAATGGGATAGGAGACGGCGGAGTGCCACCATACAAGTGCTAGTTAGCGTCCCCTACCGATATCGAGTGCGCGGTGACCATGCACTGTCGACCCTCTAGAGGCAGGCTGGTCCTTGTAGTTGGCACTGCTGTCGTCTTGATGTCAATTACGGCCACCAAGGCCCCACATGTGCTCGGGCATTACAAGGAGGCCCTCCCTCTTCTGCTCCCGCTCTCCCCCTCCCTGTCCTCAGAATGTGACCTGGGAGGGCGACAACAACGTCATGTGTCTGCAGACCGCCCGGTACCTCATCAAGGTGGGGGAGGGGTAAGGAGAGGAGGGGGGTAGGGTAGCGCTCTTGGTGCAGTGGGGTGAAGAGCTGGTGGTGGTGGGGTTATTGCTTCATGAGGGAGTTAGGGGCAGAAGGGGGGAAGGGTATCTTGAGGTTAAGAGGTGTACGACAGTACCACATGTACGACCACCCCTTTCAGGTGCAGTGTGACCCCGGTCACCCTCCCAGCTTGCAGACCCCTCTTGCGCTCCCAGGCAACACACGGCAGTAAGCGCGCGCTCGCCCCGACCCTCCTTCATGACATCACGTCGTACACCCTAAACTCCCTCCCTCCCTCCCCTCCCCTCCTCCCTCCCCCCTGCCCTAACTTGTGGTCTCCTATGGTTTGGTATGGTCTTTGACCCCCCTCCAGGCGCTGGTGGGGGTGCAGCAGGGCAAGCCAGCCACTGGCAGCGCAGCGTACCTCAACCAGGTGGGTTGGGGTTGGGTGGAGTAGGGGGGGTTTGCGAGAGGGGCGGGGCAAGGTGCTGGAGGTTGCAAGTTGAGGTTTGCTGCGGGCTGGCAGTGTGGTGGGATGGGAGGAGTGAGGCTGCAAGTCCGGTATGCCCCGCTGCCCCGGGTGCCCCGGTATGGGTTGCACATGTAGTATGAGTACATCCAGAGGCGTGTGTGTTTCGCGTGTTGCATGCGGGGCTCATCGACAGTGCATGTGGCGGAGCAAATGATGCTCCGGTGCGCGTTCCCTTAGCAAGGCTGCAGTAACGCGACGTGTTGTCTTCCACTGCCGTTGTCCCTGGCTGCTTGGGGCTTCGCTTCATGCCTCCCACACTTCCTGTCCTCCCTCCACCATTGAACCCCCGCATTCCATTGGAACGGACGCTCTTCCCACCTCCCCCAAACTCCCCCTCCCCCTCTCCCTGCCCTCCCCCCCCGCAGGTATCCTCGGAGCTGTCCCCCTCCTCCCGCTGCCCCGCCGCCTGCTCCGACTGCTGGGCGGGGCAGCCGGCGGTCGCGGCGGCGGCGCTGCGGCACGCGGCGGCGCGGGCGGTGGTGGCGGCGGCGGAGACGCTGCGGAGCGCCTCCCTGGCAGCCAGCGGCGGCACGCGGCAGATGGTCTTCGAGGGGCGGCCCTGGAACGAAAACACCGTGGAGCTCATCAGGTGGGGGGAGGGAGGGAGGGGGGGAGGGACGGAACAACTGGTTCCCACGACCCCACCCACCCATCCACCCTATAACCTTCGCCCCATGCGGTCCTCCTCCTGCTGTCCTGCTTGCCCCCCTGCTGTCCTGTTTGCATGCACCCCTCGCTGCCAGCACCGCACCGCCTGCCACTCCACGCATGCCTCCCACATCGGCTCCCTCTTCTATCTCTCTTCTCCAGCCTATCATCCATTCCACAGATTCCAACCTCACCTTCTCCCCCTTCTCTTCCCCTCCTCTCCCCCTCCTCTCCTCCTCCACCCCAGGGCCGCCAAGGCCCACTGCATCTATGTGCTGCACCAGACCTTCCTTGACTCCATTGCACGCCTGGAGGCGGCAGGGGCAGCGGGCGAGGTGGAGGCGGCGGTGGAGGCGGGCAGCGCCGTGAGCGGCCCCACTGCCGCCGTGCTGAGGCAGCTGGCGGCTCTGTTCGCCCTGGAGCAGCTGGAGCGGGGCGGAGGGGGGGCGGCGCTGCTGGAGGATGGCTACATGAGCGGTGAGGGGGTGGGGGGGAAGAGGAAGAAACGGACGGACCGTGGGGAGGATAGAAGGTTGCCGAAGAGGAGGGGAAGAAGGAGGAGGCGGAGGAACACAGAGCTGGCTTGGGAAGGCAGCGGATGCAGAAAGTACGGAACGAAGCCTCCAGCATGTATCTTTTGGATACCCATAACGCCCCACACCGCTCTCTCCGACCCCCTTTCCCTCCCCTCCCCCCATCCCACCCTCAGCCGCCCAGGCCGCCTCCCTGCGTGTGGCTCACCGGGGCCTGCTGACCGCCCTGCGCCCCAACGCCGTACCCCTGGTGGACGCATTCGCATTCACCGACTACCACCTCAACTCGGCGCTGGGCCGGTCGGACGGAGACGTGTACCGCGGGCTGCTGGAGATGGCCCGTGGGTCGCCGCTGAACGCAACGCAGGAGGGGCCCGCCTGGCCGGAGGTGCTGCGCCCGGTGCTGGCCGCCCGCAGCAAGCTGTGAGGGAGGGAGAGGGACGGTGCAGGGTAATGCAGAGGAGGGGCGCGAGGTGTAGTAGGTTCGGAGCAGGATTTATGCATGTGTGTGTGGAAGACCGGCCGCGAAGGAGGACATATTATGATTATCGGAAGTTGAAGACCCCACCGAGGACGCCACGCCCGGAGGTCTGGAGCCTGGACGCTGGGGAAGGGATTGGTAGATGCCGTGTAGGTCTGATTCATGCCGTCAAGCGGTATCTTTGCCGCGTTCAACGGTGCATCAGGAGTGTGCAGGGGGTGTTGGCTGATGCAGGCTGTGCTGATTGTGGCGAGCAAGCTAGCAACAACATCCTAAAACTACTTTGTTGATTAAAACTTAGATCTGGACTTGGACTTGGAGCACGCACTGTTGCGGGTGTCCTTGTTGCATGGGTGTTTGTGTTCGGGCGGAGAGGCAGTCAGCGGATCGATGACGACCGCACTGGTGGTGCAACAGGGCAGAGCAAGAGACGTGCGTGTTGTATGAGATTATGTCATGTCGCCGTCTTGTCATGCGAATCCAGCTGTAAGCCGCGGAAGTAATGATAATCGCATGCTGGTTCCTGGGGAGCACGGCTGACAGTCCACAGGAAGTCCACTTTCTGAAGTCCGCCTACTGCGCAGCTAAGGTCGCCGCCAGCAAAGTATGCAGATATCTCAGCTATTGAGCACGTGATGTGGATGGGTAGACAGGGAAACGGTTGACATACCGGTACGAGCTACACTGACGTACAGAAACCGGTGTGCTTGCTGAAACATAGTAACGAGCCTGACATTGGATTACGTCCATTCCGGTTACATAATTGTTTGGACCGCACACACTTGTAAAGTACAGTGGGCTTGAACGAGCCCCTCAGTGTTCAGTGAAAACAAGCTTAAAAACGCGAACTCCTCAGATGTCCCGGGTCTATCAAGGGAGTGCAACACAAGTCCCCACGCAAATCCAAATCGTACTCCCCATTATAACGGGGGGGACGCAGCACGAGATGCCCAATTGTGTTCGTACTAAAATAGTTTTTGCGAGTATGTAGATGGAACACGGCAGCACACCAGTTTACAACTCCAGGTAACCGACTTGGCTATTACCGCCGTACTCCACGCATGACTGGGCAAATAACGGCTGTAGATGAGCCCTTATTACTTGCCAGCAGCGAGACAGCAGTCGAGGGCGAGAGGTGATATGAGCACCGCAAGCGGCGACCCTCTCGAGTGCATGCAAGGTAGGAACGACGACATTTAGGCAGCACAACCATAAAGCCATACTGACACACCACATGAACATGTATGAAAACCCAACACACTCGTACGACAGGTACCGAACCATAAGCTACTACATACGTAAACGTTAACCACACAAATGCCGCGCCTCGAGTATCTCGTGTGCGACCAAGTCAAGAGGACTGGGCTGCTTGCCATACCAGCCCATGCCTGCACGCACGGGCGTGCCAGGGCTCTAGGAAAGGCGTCGCTGCCACATCACAAATTAAATATGACCATATTACGCCCCACACTGCCAAGAGTCAAGAAAGTCGTGCTCAGTCCGTGTCATAAGTAGTCATTAAATCTAGTCCCCGACATATGCCAACGCCCGAAACAAAACCAGAACACAAAAAATGGCAGCAAACCAGCATCTACACTAAATTGTACAGCGTATGCATAAACTGCACCGGGCGCGTGAGCCATTTATGACAGTTGTTCGCAACTTGGGCCCCTGTTGCCCTTTCCACAACCTCTCTCGCCCCAATCCTGCCATTATACGTTTGGAAGGAGCACAGCACCAACCCAGGCCGCGACGTGGACAGGATAAATGGAGCATTGTCGCATGTTTGATTGCCGCACCCATGCAAGCAACCCGCCTTCTCGCACACCATACAACACGTACACAACCACATCCGTATACAACGCGCACAGGTTTCATGGAGGGGACGACGCAGCGGATAAAGCAGCAGAGGGCTCGGTCAGAGGGTGCGATGAGGACGTCCTACACGACGGACAAAAAGGAAGTCATGATCGCCACACTGTAACCGCGCGCGTCATTGTTCGCTCGAAAACCAACCAGCTTTCCCAAGCAAGTCCACAAGACAACAACACAGGGCACTGTCCCAACGGCCCATCAAAGACTCCGTTCGGAAACCAACGGCCCTAAATGCGCCTACGCGAAACTGCTCACGACGGCGCAACGGCCATCCCCCGTCAGGCAGTACCCAACACGCATTCGTTGTGACACGCGCCGGTACGGACGGCGAGATTGCAGGCGAGCTATGCAAGGAGTACGAGTAGGCAAAACCACACACGCAAACATCGTCAGCCACCCTCTTCTGCTATTGGGTGTCATCATCAACCGAGAGGAGAGATGGCCCAACCCCCCGAACCGTGTTTCCTGTTCCATTCCCAAACGCTTCCCTGTCACCCTCACAACCAGCTCCGTCGGTCAATCGGCCAAGCCGACAGCAAACCACATTTGGGTAGCGCATAGCAGCAAAAGCAAAGAAATATACAGCAATGAAAGCAAACCCGACACCATGTTGGCCCAGGTTCGGCTTGCCGAGTCAGATGTGGCGAGGTCTAAACGCAGGGAACATGTTGGCTCATCATCATTGGCAACAGCTTCAAAAGCCTGCAAGCAACATCCACCAAGACAACCAGGACAAACCGTGACTACTCGTGACAAGAGGGCTGCAAAAACATATGACATGGAATGCCACTTGACGTACATTTGATGTACAACATCGACAGCTCCTCGGGGCGCTGCTCGTGCATTCCCTGGTGCCAGTTTAGGCATGGGAAACACGCTATCATCAAAACGCGCCAATAGGGCACACTTCCGCTCCTCCCTCTTTCCCTCGTATCTTCTTCCAGATAGATGCTTGGTCCTGTGCTCTGTCTCTACCCTGGGCTCAACACAGTCCAACTCACACACACAACACGAACTCTTCCTCTCAGGGAGGCATTACCTTGGTGAAAATTCCCTAAAGCATACAACCCCGCGACGATGGCCAACGCGCCACACTTGTGAACAATGCACACTGCAACAACACACTACGCACACACGATGCTCAAAACGACATGGATTGACCGCGAGACATGGTCGTTGCTCAGTTCATTAGCAATACCGTAAGACCAGCTAGCGCCGTCGTTTCTTCGATACTCGCCCTCACACTAGGAGGGCCGCCACCCGCAACAAGTACCATGAAAATTCGCACCGCAACTTAGATGCCGAAGGTTGGTAAGGACGGCACTGTCCTTACCCACACGCACATGCTCTTGTTCCCGCAAATTGATGCTCAGGTGAGTCCCCAAACATACTGTTTGTTCGTTTCCGTCCCACTGGGAACCGCCGTTTCCGTCCTAGTGTGAACCGCCGCAATAAGACCAAGCGGAAGTAAAAGTCAAAAGCACCTTCAGGACAGCGCACACGCTTTCACCAGACGCAAACAAGACCCAGGCCAGGCGGGAGCAACACTACGCGTGCGCGTTAGTTATTGACGCGCACGCTGACGACAACGGCACAACAACAAGGCTAACCCTACCAACGTTGCTGCTTCTGTACAGGCAGGAGGTCCGGCACTGGCAGGTAGCAGCCAGCTAGCTAGCTAGGGACCCCCGCCTCGCTCGCTTGGCAATGGCATAATGTACATAGCCATTGCCATGCGTCCATGCATGTCGTGTTACTGCAACCATCCAACGTCAAAAAGGGCTTGAGCCGCTGGTCCGGCACCAACAGAGCCAAGAGCAAGTTCAACTTCCGTGGTAGCCAAAGAGAAGAAGAGACGGAGTTTCCTCTCCCTTCAACCCATACTTGCCGGGAGCAACGGACCCAACAGCCCCAGAACCCAACAAAACAAACCCCGGAACAACCCAACGAAACGCGCCAGCCTCAGCTCTCCTCCTCCTCCTAGGCGATGGTGCAACATGCCGCCGCCACCTGCAGCGACGCGGCCCGCCAGCAGCCGGGCACCCTGGACAGCAGGTCCTGCAGCTCGCTCTGCAGCTGCTCCACCTTGGCCTCCGCCACCAGCAGGTCCTCGGAGGCGTCCCAGCGTAGCTGCAGCACGTCCTGAGTGGGAAAGAAAGGGGGAGGAGGGGAGGGAGGGGGAGGGATTGGGAAGTGGGACAGAAGGGCAGCGGAAGGCAACGGGTATGCAAGAGGAGTATACGTGCCGGCGGGGAAACGAACGTGTGCATGAGTCACTGAGGGAGATTCGGCTTGTTCGGTTGTAAGGATGGAGGAATTAAGACAAGCTTGCGTGCCAATGGAAAAGCCGCGTACTAAGCGTACATAATCCCTAATCAATTGAGTAGTAGAAGCAGGACTCAGCGGGCAGCCAGCAAATGCAAAAACCGGGCCGCCTACCTGTTCCATACTGCTGACGATGGTCAGCACCATGGAGTCTCCCATCAGCAGCTCCGGCGCGCCTAGATGCTCCTTGACGTCGTCAGCTTGCTCTAACAAGCCGTCCAGTTCCTCTAATCTGACTTTCAAGGAGTTGTAGACGCATCTTTGCCTGTGCAGAAAGTAAGTAATAGTTCAGAACCTATAAGCAATGCCGCCAAACACGATGAACGAATCGCCCGGTATAAACGATATGCTTTGAGAAAGGAGGCGAAAAAGCCGGCAAAGCAACCGAGAATGCTTACTTTTCAAGTATATCAAGACGTGCTTGGACGAACGCTTGCCTGCATCACAAGAAACCAACACTGTAAGGATAAAGCAAAGGCAATAACCAAAGGCGACAAACAAGGACTTACACATATAGTGCTTTCCAGTCTGTAGTAGAGGCGCGTGCAGCAATAGAAGGTCCAAATTCCTCAGCAAGTGCGTGCTGATAAAGATAGCCATTTGAAGACACCAGGCGCCGCAAGTCACGGCATGATGCCTCTACAGCACAGAGGTCGGGTCCCCCGAGCTGCTCCAGCACGCGCAGCTGAAGCTCAAGAGGTAAGTGGAGAAACTGGCAAGCAGTAGATCGCATCCTGGTCGCAGCCTACACAGGCCACAGGGAGTTGAGGTCGTCAGCATCATAATGTTGCCCCAAGACAGCAGGGACATGGTGCATGGACAGTAAGGCAGACAGCAGGCCACTTACCATGAGAACGCCTTTGCAAGTCCAGGTAACAAAGGTGCGCGAATGACTAGTTGGTCAGACGACCTACTAGGATGCCCTCGAATACCTCACAAAATTAGTCGCCAGAACGTGCTATCTAAGTAATGGGGTAAAGCTTAACCTTATGGCTTTAGCAAACAAAAAGCGGCTCAATATGGCTGGCACAAAGGAGGCACCGTAGAACGTCCTCAGCTAGGAAATTGTGAAAAAGGTATTATGTAGCCTTGACTCCTACCACGTCTTGTATTGCGGAAGCCCCTCATGCATGTGTTAAGCATTTGGCGACTCTTTACTTGATATATGTGGGTGATTGATACCGATTCGGTACGGCGTCCGCCGATTGCGCTGATTGCGATTTGGGGATTACACACCCACCAACGCCGCCGTAACTGGGTACTGGAGAGTGTAAATAATTACGATTACTGCTTTGAGCAAATCGGCATGCAAAAGCAGCCGTGTAAGGGTCATTCTGGGCGGGTGACCCCAGGGGCGTCGACTCGGACCCGCTCACTGCGAGGGCGAAGGGCACCGCCGGTGCATAACGTACATAGCATGGCTGTTTAAGTAAAAATCTGCTAGCTACTCTAGCTATTTCAATGGCGATAAAGTACTCCACATGCCACGTCAACGACCTGACTTGCCAGTCAGCACAAGCCACGGCCGGTTGGTTTATGGCAAGGGAACACAGCCGATGTTTGGCCTTGTATTTCTTTATTTTCCAGGCAGGTCCAAAGAGTGTTGTTATTGCAAGACAATGCCGGCCTCTTTCCCAGCAAGGGTGTCTAGGACAGATGACTTCGAGTAGTTGTTGCGAACGATACAGAGTGCTCTCATCCGGTCAATAGTTCTTACTCCTGTCCACCAGACCGCATGACTCATGAACGTTGAAGCTTGCTTGCGGTCTTAGCTATGTTGGCGTGATCGCAGGCCGAACCAAAGCTTATTGACCACTTCATAACAAAAGACGTTCACGATGAGGGACAACATGACAACCTACCAGGAAGGTAGTACCGGTACCACGGCAATGCATAGCATGCCGTCACAACGGGCGCCCGCATACCGTCTTTACCGCGCTGTGTAACCACTGCCCTTCTCACCCCTTTCCAAATAACCGCCCTTCACGCGCTGTGGAATAATTGCCCTTGTCGCTTCCACGTCATGTCAATATATACCCGGCGCCAAGTATGAAAGCAGTGCCAGACGCTCTGCAGTCCCAGTCATGTGCAAATGTGGCCCCTCAAGGGATCCGGCGCCATGCACAGGCCTACACTGGCTAAACAGCAACACGCTCATAATCAAACCCATCCGTTAGGGCCTGGCTTCGGGTCTCACCATTACCCCCTGTGCTGCGTGCTGAGCTGTGTTTGCTTGTGGTGGGGAAACAAGTCATCACACATAGGGTGACGTACCGCGGTACCGGCAGCTGCTTTGCCATGTGTCATGATGGTGTTTTCTGTCGTGGGTGGCAAAACCGAGACAAAATGTGTGTACGGGGATTGAACATTTGCCTACGAGTTTTGCTGTTCCCCCTGTGGGGTGGGACCAAGCCTTGTTCCACCCGTGCCGCGGGCTGCCCTTTCTCAACGGTATTCAGTTGCCAGTTGCCCATGTATGTCAGCGGTGCTTACTTTGCCGAACTTGCGACAATGACAATTACTGTCGCGCTTCATGCCGCATTTCCCCCTCGTATGACATGCTGCCACCCATTGCACGGCATACAGTTGCGACGGGCATGCTTATGCCGGCAGAGCTGCTGGTGCAGGATTGTCTCTCGTGCCCCCTAGAGCCACCACAAGTGCTTGCGGCCACACTACTGCTCCCCGCCGCATACACCTCCCCGCCAACCTCCCTTCTACCGCAGCTGCTTACCCCCATGCGGCATATACCCTTAACCTCCGTCCTATGTTGCTACCTCCCTCCTGCGCCCTGCCAGCCTGTGCGCACCCCATCCTGTGTTGTTGCATGTATATATAATTACCCCCCCTCCATCCTACACCCCCTCGCCCTCCCTCAGCAGGAACCCGAAGCACCGCCGCAGCTGCTCCCTGCCGTTCCCCCGCACGCAGGGGTCCAGGTGCCCCAGCAGCAGCAGACCCGTCTCGCCGCCCCCACCCCGCCGCGTGTCATACACCCCACCCTGTACCCCGCCTCCCTGACCCCCACCCGCCGTGCCGTACCCCCCGCCCCCGCCCCCGCTCCCCCCGCCGCTCCCCACGTCCCGCCACCACTCCCACGACATCACCTCCGCCAGCCAGGCGCGACCCGCAGCCGGCTGGGCCCGCATCAGGGGGTACACCAGCGGGCAGCCCAGGCGCCGGTGGATGCCCGCCAGCTGCGGGTGACCCATGGGTCGTGGTGGGGTGGCAAGAGGTGGTGGCGATAGGGAGGAGAAGGGGAAGGCGGAGTGAGGGGGTGCGTGATACATGGATACATGGAATCGCGGTGTAGCAGCAGGAGGGGCGCGCATCGCGTGCGCTCCTGGCAGGTTGAGTACGGAGTACGGAAGATTGGCAACTTCTAGCAGGACTAGAAGAGTTGATGCGGAAGTCAGTGTTGACATGGATATCACGAAGCAGGAGCGGGGCATCCAGCACTGACCCATGGGTCCCATCGCGGCTAACAGTACGGAACCACTTGATGCCTTTGCGGGCCGAACCAAGGCGCGGCATCGAGCCATTACCAGACCATGAAGGCGTTATACCTTCCGCGCCTGCCATGTATACCCCCTCCCAAGCCCCTTTCCGCCCCGAACATCCTCCCGTCTGCACACACCTTCCACCACCCACCCCCCCACCGCCGCTGCTAAACCCACCTGCCCCCCAAACCTGCACCCTCACCCACTCCTCTCAGCCACTCCCCCCCCCCACCAGCCCCCCCACACTCGTACCTTGGCCCCCAGCTCCCACCGCACCGGGTGCTCGTACACCCCGAACGCCAGGTCAGCCAGCACCACCGCCCCCGGGTCTCGGAGCCCCAGACTGCTTTCGCAGAACAGCCCCCAGGGACCCCGGTAGGTGGCCGCCACCACCTCCGCCTCCAGACCGGGAAGCGGACCGGCGTCAGGCAGTACGGCAACCCTGCCGTACGCCACCTTCATCTGCCGTACCTTTTCGGGGCCGCCGAGCAGGCTGGCGGTTCCGCGGCCTTCGAGCAGACCTGGGGGGAGGGCGGCGGTGGGGGGAGGGGTGCAATGGGTGGGTACCTGGGGGAGCACCGGTAAGCGGTGGGCTGCGGAATGGGAGTGAAGCGTGAAGGAAGTGGCCGGGTGGCAGGTGTGCCATGCGAAGCAGTGTGGCAACCATGGGCCAACCCCGCCCTACTCCTCTACCGGCACAGTTCAGTTGTGCGGCTGCAGCCTACCATCGCAGCCCACACTCCCACATCATCAGCCACCAACGCCATCCTTCCCGCCGCCGCCTCCGCTTCCACTCCCCGCCCCCCATTACCCCTCACCCCTTCCCTTCCCTCCCCCCCACCCCCACCCCACCTGGCACCACCCACAGTGTCGCCCCGGCCGCCCACCCGCCCTCCGCCCACTCCGCCGCATGGTACCAGTGCTCCGGGGACAGGTTGGGCAGCACCACGTGCTCCACCCGCTGCCCGCCACCACCCCGCCCCCCGCCCCCCTCCAGCAGGCTGCACAGCAGCGCCACCGCCTCCTCCGTGGGGGCAGGCGGGCTGATCAGCTGGGGGGGATGGAGGGGTGCGGGGAGGTGGTTGGAAGGGTGAAGGGGAAGGGAAAGGGGGAGGTTTGGGTGCACGTAGCGCGGTGCTCGAAATGGAGCGCTACAAGAAGAATTGGCCTGGGGTAACGTAAGGCACTAGAAACCTTTCCGCAACGGGCCGGAGTAACAACGTTTGAGTAGAAGGGCTGAAGTAGCAACGGGCTGTAGCAGTAGTCAACCTTGGGGTGAGTTCTCAGCCGCGGGAGGCAGGAGGAGTGCGTGCGGATGGAGCATGTGGGCGCATGCGGGCGCTAGCCGGGAAGACACCGCTTCCGCGCATGGCACCGTGCTCTCCCTGCTCGTCTCAATGCCATGCATGGACGCACCACCACCACCACCACCACCACCACCATGCACGGTCTTCACGGACCCACCATAAGTCCGCCGCTGCGCAGCCGAGCGATGTGCGAGTTGACGCAGATGTCCTCGCCCAACCAGAACTGCTGGCGCAGGCACCACAGCCCCGGCCCCAGCTGCAGCAGGCCGGTGCTCTTGGCGCCCAGCGGCGGCAGCGGGTCGGAGGTGAGGCGGGAGAGGTCGGGACGGGTTTGTACGGCAGCAAGCGGGGAGGCAGGGGAGGATGGAGGGGCGAGGGGGGAAGACGAGGGGGGGACTGTGTGTGCGCTTGCACGCATGCCATGTTGATAGCGAGGGGACGAGCGCGGGAGGAGGTGTTGGGGTCTTGCAGGGTGGGGCTGGGAGCGGGAGGCCGCTTTGCTTGACATTTTCATGTCCTGGCCGTTTTAATGATAGCCTCTCGTGGTTGGCGTGGTACTAGAGGCGCCAAAAGCGGGAAGTAAAGCTTTTCCGTGAACGTCGCTGCTGATGTGTACCACGGGCTACCACGGGCAGCAGTTGGAACTGCTTCTTAGGCTCCGCAAGGACGTGATTAACAACTAACTTCTGCGATCGCAATGCATCGTAATATAAACAACTTTGGTTTGTTTGTGGCTCGCTACCTCCAACGCAAGGGCAACCGTGAAATTATATAACGAGTTCACAACATAATGCTTTTTAGAGCTACGCTAAATAAGCATGTATTAATCTCGTAGGATTAAGGATTACAGCTCCGGTTCATAATTTTTAGCCAGTCGTCTTTAACGGTCTCTAACAGCCACTGAAAGCCGCAGTCCAGGCGACAGTCCGCGCTTGCATCGTGGGCGGTGGTTGTTGTTCTGGCGGCACACCACAACTCTTACCTTTGCAGGACCCGCCCGCAAACCTCTGCTGCTGGCCGCTGCCCCCTCTCCCCCCCGGTCAGCAGACCTCCCTCTACGGTAGTAGACACTGAACCACACGCCAGTCCCCTTTGGTTTTCCCGGGCTCCACTGGGCGCCCACTGCCCAGTCGGGCTCCACTTAACCCCATATTTTTGAGTAAGGATCCTTCCTGCAGGATTTACGGCACCTTTCCTGCAGGATTTACGGCACCTTTCCTGCAGGATTCACGGCACCTTTCCTGCAGGATTCACGGCACCAGCATTTCAGCGCAGGGAGAGCACCCGCATCTCCTCGCACACCTCCACCTGAGCCCCATTCGCCAGCCCCTTCCCTAGCCCCTGTGCCTCGCGACCCAGCTTCTTTCCCTTTTCAGCAGCAGCACGTGGTAACAGCAGCGGCGGCTGAGCCCCACGACCTCAAGGAACAGCAGCGCCAACTGCGTCCTTGCATACTTGCTTATCCGCTGCATGTGTAACTTGTTGAACCCGCCGTTAGGTCCCTAACGTCTCAATTCTTGGGGCTAGGAGCAACTTGTGCATTGCCTGCATCGACGCATCCCCATGTGTCCTCCAACCCGCCGTCGCTTCATCTTCCTGCGTTACAAGCGGGGCTGCTACCAACATGCCGTACGGGTTTTCAATACAGCGTTCCAACGCGGCATCTGTAACATATGCAGCGGCGGCGGCAGCGGCCGGCATGAGCCCTACCCCTGCATGGCTAAGCCGACCATGCACACCCCTTTTCACCGCACTTCGGACCCACGCCCTCAACCTCACAAGGCCCAGCGGCAGTCCCGGTCGCGGTGAGGCTGCTCGCTGCTTCAGCACTGCCTCCGACCACCTGCACCACCGCCGCTGCCGCTGCCCACGCCGACCACTGCCACCGGGCGAGGCGTCGCCGCCCCTACCGCCACCTCCCCTGCCGCTGCCGCTGAGTATGCCGTACTGGCGCCTTCCCGCTCCGGAGCAGCAGGCGGGTGTGCAACCTCCCGGCTGTTCCTTCTGCTGTGTCAGCACCGCCGCTATCTCAGCCTGCATCGAGCACTTCCGGTTTCGGAGCAGGAGCAGTGCCGCCTGGAGTACTGCAGGAGTGCCTCACCCCCGGAGTTCCTCCCCCTTGCCACGCCGGCTAGGAATGGTGGCGGTGGCGGCGGAGGACGCGATGTGGGGCCGTTGCTAGGCCCTGGGGAAAGGGAGAGGGGGGAGGCATGTGGCGTCCTGGTGCCAATCACCAGGGGCTTCAGCGGACCGCCACCGGTGCTGCCGGTGCTGTTGTTCTCGAAGCACGCTGGGCGCCCCCATGGAGCTGTGCCATAACATGCCGCTTACTGTGCACAGGCTAGCGTGGGTTGGTTGGTTGGCTACCGGTATGTAGGTTGCCATAGGAGGATGAATACGAGTCGTCGCATGTTGTAAGCTGGACGAAGTAAATGCTGCGTGTGCAATCTATTCCTCAAGGTCCTTGAGTAATGGGGAGTAGAGCCCTCGGGGTCAATGCGCATGCTAGCAATACTGCAAGTCGGCAACCCAACGGATAGGTAATGGATTTAATGGTTGAAGTAACATTCGTCGTTGGCATGGGGTTACTGGTGTAGGGCTGCTAGTTTGGTGGTGCAGCGGGGTACCAGTATTATTGGGGTCCTTATGCATGGTGGTGGTCAATACTGCATGGCCAACTGATGGATATCACGGCAGGTGCGTACACAGCGGCACCAGGGACGCCCTAGCTGCATTGGCAAGGCGCGACAGTTGCAGTGTGTGAGACATGCAAGGAAAAATGCTTTACGGTTTGCTAGTTCACCACCTTCGAAATGTGGAGATGCGGCTTCGGCTGTAGCCATATCGGTTAGCACGTGAAAAGCCGTGCAAATAAATTGGATTCGTGCAGCATTTGGTTTGTAACCGAGTTATAACATAGATGAAAGATGCAAGGTGGGCTGCGTCACGGCCAGCGCGCACGGCAAGTTGGGAAGCAAGTGCTCCACAGACGGCGGCACTCTATGCTTTGCTTACGGCCTTATAAATTTCTACCTCACACCATGCTTGCCATCAGCTCAACGCGGGCAACGCCTATCATCTAGTACGACCAACCGCACAGCACAGCACTTCTGCACTTGCATCCTTTTTACCCGCTTTGTGCATCAAGTTGACACGAGAACACGTACAACGTTGAAGACACAATTGTACGCGTAAACAATGACCTAAGCAGCTGTTGCAAGGATACTGTTCCTTCCACTTTCACAATATGGCCTCCACCTGCAAAGACTGATCCATCTATAACAGTCCAATTCTGCAGCGCTTACGTAGCTGCCTTTAGGCTCCTTGCGGCAAAGTCAACTCAAGGCACTCTGACATTGGCTGACCGACCCCTCGCCTTGACATCTTCCAAGATCACTACGCGTTGCTACCTATGGGCTGGTGGATTTTCGTCAGGGTTCATCAGCGAGAGCAGTGAGCTTGGCTGGCAGTCCAACGAACCCCCCATTGTTTGAACGGAGCATTCCGGAATGGAATACGTCGAATATGATGAATCAGGTGCGTGTCATCCATTAAAAAAATACTTAGGAAAGGTGATGGAATTCGCAAGATGTCGCAGCGGTCTTGACCGGCCGGTCATCCTTGCCGTCTGCGCATGGACTTGCACAGCCCTTAACATTGCCTAAACGTGTTGGTAGTTGCCGCAGCGCTGACGATATAGATATGATTTCCCTAGCCTGTGCTAAATGTACAAGCAATGGAGCTCTTATTCGTTAAGCTGTCATTTGCTGTCGCCTCCCGCGTTTGGTTCGGGGACGTCTTCCAACCAATGCTAATAAATCATGTTTACCTTCCCTCTCCCTTCCACCTTGCAATTCCCCAATTCGAACATGCTCGTGCCCCTTGCCTCTCCACCTCGCAACGGCAACAGTCCGGCGTGCGTATCCTGAGGACCCCGAGCGGGCTGTCAGGGCCCCCAGCCAGGCCGCAGCCCTAGCTCCTGGGGCCCGCGACTCCGCACCCGCGAGCGCCGTCAGCAACGACAGTCGCAACAACGAGGATGACAAGGACCAGGGCATCCTGGGCACGCTCACCTCCATCCTGGTGGGTGGAGTCACGGAGCTGCTCACCGACCTCTCGCCACACCACCACCACACCGCCGCCGCCACACCGCCCACCACCGCCTTCAGCATTCAGCTCCGCAACTCCTCCGCACGTCGCAGCCTCAGCCTGATCCCCCACTCGCCCGAGGTCACCGCCTACCTGCGAGGTCAACGCAGCCACGGCAACAGCGTTGACGCCGCCGCTGTGGCTGCTGCCAGCGGGGGTGCTGCTGCAGCTGGCCGCACGGTGTTTGCGACCGACACCCGGCACCGCGGGGGGGCGGGGGGTGCCGCGATGAGCGCCAGCTGGAGCTACGGGGCGGGCGGCGATGTGGCGCCCGCAAACAGCCTTGTGGGGTCGCCCACTGCGAGCTCATCGGGGCTGCTGGGAGCGGTGAGTAGATAGCGCGCGGGGGGTGGCGGGGTGGCGGGGAGAGGTAATGGAGGAGGAGCGTAAGTGGCACGAGGTGGAATGCGCAAGCCGTGGGTGTTATTGGGGATATTGGTGTGAGGGAGTGTGCTTAAGTGCAGATGTTGGGAGGGGGGTTGTCTGGGTACAACACTGAGGTGAGTGGATATAGCTGTTTGTCCTCGCATGCTGTGCCCCAGCTGGGCTTGACCCCGCTTCCGAGTACGACACCCATTCGCGCCAGTGCTGACGGCTCGTTGCAGAACCCCGCCAATCCTATCGCCCTCCGGTCGTGCCATACCTACAACCGCCTGCCTGTCACGCCCCCTTCCCAGATGTTTTCTGGCATCAGCACGCTGGGTCAGCGCGCCACCGACCTGCTCACCCAGCTGGACCACGACTTCGAAACCATGTTCAGTGGCGGGCTGGAGGAGCAGGGCAGCGCAGGCGGCGGCCCTGCTTCTGCGGCGGCAGCAGCTATCTCGACTGGGGACCTGCTGGACGGCAACACCGGAGGCCCACGGAGGTCCTCCGCCGGAGAGGGAAGATCGGTATCGGCACGCACCCATCCGCTGCACCACCATCACCACCAGCAGCAGCAGCAGCACCACCAGCAGCAGTCCTATGCGGCACATCATGTTGGGCACCATCACCAGCAGCAGCAACACCATCTGCCCTCGGGAGCCGGAGTACGGCCACACCCGCAGCAGGCGGCGTTGGGAGCAGCGGCTCGCCCTGTCGCCCCGCAGCGCGGAGCCAGCGCGTCCGGAATCCGTTCCGTGCCAGCCGGCGCTCCCGGTGGTGGCACACATGCGCCATGTGCCAAGGAAATCGGGGCAGCGGCTGCGCGGCGACTGTCAGGCAGCTACGCGCTCTTGCATGGACACGCGGCGGCCCCCTCCTCCTCCTCGTATGTCACTCCACCATCCGCTGCTTTGGCGCGCGCAGCAGCCAGGGGCACTGGAAGTGCTGCAGCCGCGAAGGGGCAAACCCGCTGGACGGGCGCCAAGCCACGAAGCAGCTTCACGGGGTCTCAGGGACGAGGCAATGGCAGCGAGGACGATGATGATGACTGGGGTTGGGGTGCCTGCGATGAGGACCATGTGGGCAGCGCTGGCGGCAGCGGTAGCCATCGCAGCACGGGCGGCAGGACCAACGTCAGCGGCAGCGCTGCCGCCGGTACTAGTACGACAACCGGGCCCCCTTCCCAGCAGCGACCCGCCGGGTTCGTGTCGCGGCTTCCTCATTACTCGGGTGCAAAGCAGCCGCCTGCTGCACCCGTAGCCGCCGCCGCCGCCATCCGTGGCACCGCTGCTGGGCCCAATGCAGCATCGGCGTCCTCCTCCATTCCACTTGCTGCCGCGGCGGCCTTGAGCGCTGGCGCCGGCATGAAGCCACGCAGCAGCGGCGGCAAGCTGTTCATCATCAAACCCGTCGCGGGAGTGCGGAGGGCCTCAGCTGCTGCTGGCAGCGGCCTCCCCTCAGCTCCCTCAGCCGCTGCCACCCCGAGTGGCGCCGCCCCCTCCGTGGCCGCCACCCCATCCGGTCCCATTCCACCGGCTGCCGCCGCCCCTGCGCCTCCCTCTGCACCTACCGGCGCAAACCCCGCTACCCCGCTTGAGCAAAGCGCGGCGTCAGTGGCGACGGCGCGAGGAGCCGAGGAGGCGGCGGAATCCCCGACTCTGGCGCTGCCTACCCTGCTGTTCCAGACGACGCCATCTCGTCCCGAGGCGGACGGAGGTGAGGCCCTGATTCATAACTGAATCAGGAACTGGAATGTGTGTTTGACGGGCCTTAGTGTAGTATGAAATCGTTTAGAAAAAGAAAAGAGTATGCTGCCGGGTACAGCGCTCAAGGCAACCGGGGTGGGGACTAGGTCAGTAGACTTCCGCCGCCCTAACTCATGGTCCGTACTCTTGCTACTGCCAATGACGCCGTGCACAACGCTATCTTACCCACGTGTGTTCCACACTTGCTGTGCCTGCTGCGATTCTCCCCATAGGCATTTCCTGTCGCAGCATTGGAGGAGGCTGTACAGACAGCGCGTCCGGCACCAGGCCCTCCTCCTCCTACTCCCAGACCGGCACTTCGAGGACGGTTGCCACGGGCTGCCCCACACCCGCCGCCCCGCGCCAGCAGCAGCGGTGGCAGCAGCGGCAGCAGCCCGAGCCGGCGCGAGTCCAGAGGCTCGAGCTTGACGTGTCGTCGGCAGAGTCTCAGCCCTTGCAGCAGCAGCAACAACAACAACAACAGCAACAGCTGCGGGAGGAGCAGCTGAAGGAACTGCTGCAGAAGCGCGACGAGCAGCTGCAGCAGTGGCAGCAGCGGCGCGAGCAGCAGCAGCGGAAGCGGGAGGAGAAGCTGCAGGAGCAGCGCCAGAAGCGCGAGGAACAGCTGCTGCAGCAGCAGCGAGAGCAGGAGCAGCAGCTGCTTCAGCTGCAGGAACAGCAGCTGCAGCAACGGCAGCAGCGTGAGGAGCAACTGCAGCAACAGTTGAAGGTGCAGCAGCAGAAGCGCGAGCAGGAACTCCAGCAGCTGCAACAGCTGCAGCAGCCGCAATGGATGAGGGACCTGGAGCACCTCCGGCTGCAGCTGGAGGCAGCCAGAAGCGGCAACGCCATGCCTGACGGTACAACCGGTGCTGCACAGCCATCCGACGCATCCTCATCCGCGCAACCGGCAAGTGCGTTTGCGGAGGCAGCAGCCTCGGTGGCTTCAGCGGCGGCGGCGGCAGCTGCTGCTCAGGCGGCGGAGGTGGAGGCGCTGCGGGCGCAGCTGTCGGAGGCGCAGGCGGGTCGCGAGGAGCTGCGGCGACAGCTGGAGGCGACGGCGGGGGAGGCGGTGCGGCTGGGGGCGGTGGTGGAGGCGCTGGAGGGGGAGCTGCTGGCCGGCAGGGAGCGCTGCGTGGAGCTGGAGCAGGTGGTGGTGGGGGGGAGGGTGGCGGGGAGCTCGGGTGTGAAGCAGGTTAGATGCTTGTGGCGGTTTCCTGGCTGAGGTTTTTACAAGCTCCTCCCCTCAATGCTTTTGTTGCTTCGTTCTGCTATACACGTGTCTATCCTTAGCATGCCCATGCATTGTTCTTTCTCTGTCAACCACTGTAACGGCCATTCATCCACGTGTGACTGGCTGTCCGTCTGCAGGAAAACGCCCGCCTGCGCCTGCTAGCCGGGGAGGCCGCTGCCGCCGCTCCCGCAGCCTCACCCGCGCGCAGCCCCCTGCAGCCCACCCCCTCAGCAGCCGCAACCCCCGTCTGCCGCGGCCGGACGCCACCGCGCGCCTCGCCGCACCCCCCCACCGCCACCACCCCTGCCACCGCCGCAGCCTTCCGCTCGCCTTCCCCCTCGCCTGCCCTGGCCTTCAACTCGCCTCTGGCTGCAGCCGCAGCTGCTGCAAGCGGTGGGCGCCACAGCCGCCGCGGCAGCTTTGGCAGCGGCATGGGCCGTCTCAGCCGCCGTGCCAGCTTCAGCGGCGGCGGCGGCGGTGTGATTGCAGACGAGCTGGTTGAGGCGGCGCTGGTGGCACAGCTGACGGCGGCGCTGGCAGACAAGGCGCGACTGAGCCGAGAGAATGACGAGCTGCAGCGACAACTGGAGGGACTGCAGGTGTGTGTTCTTTGCTTGTTGAGGAGCGGGGTTGGTTGCGGGGCCGTCAGACAGGGAGCTGAGAGGAGGTTGAACAATGATTCGGATCAGGGTGGTTAATCGTAGAGGAGCGCTGCGCGACGGGTTGACAGAGGAAGTGGACCTGTATCGATTGAGCACCTATAAGGAGCTATGGCTAAGCACCCCCAGCCATAACCTGGCCGGCATGCACCCAGCTGCAGCACCCCCGGACTCACAGTCCCGCCCCCTTGCGCTGTACTGCCGCAGGAACTCCTGGCCTACACGGCCCAGCACTCCCTTGTCCCGGGTGCGGTGGAGGGCTGCGAGGAGGGCGAGGGGCTGGAGTACGTGTATGAGTACGGCTACGGGTACGACGAGATGGAGGATGACGAGGAGTACGAGGCCTGCTACTGGCGCACCGGAACCACCCCGCCCCGGGGAGCTGCGGCGCCTGCAGAGGAGCTGGAACAGGATCAAGAGGAAGGCGCCGCCGAGGGGGCTGGGATGTACGACAACTTTGCCGTCGATGTGTCGTTGGCAGGGGGAATACCCACAGGGCGCAGCTTCCCCGGCTGCCTGGAGGAGTTGTATGGGGATCCAGCATGCGATGGCACGGAAGGAAGCAGCGACAGTGGTGCGGCTTCCAGCCCAGAGGCAATTGCAGGTGTGGGTGCAACGGGTGTGTCTCACGTCAGCCTGCGCGGTGCGGACGACTGCGCTTCACCTGTTGGTACGGCAGCCGCTGCTGCAGCAGCTGTGGGGTCACCGGTGTTGGAGCTGCCAACGCTGGCTTGCGAGCTAACGCGCGAATTCAGCCTCGACTTCAGCATTGCGGCTATGACAACTGAGCCGCCGCTGTCACCCGCTGCGGGCGCGTCTTCACCTGCTGCACCGCGCTTGGAGTCTGCCGTCCGTCAGTTGCTGCTGGCAGGTGACGAGGGTATCGACCCTGTGGCGGGCACGAGCACCCAGCAGCTGCAGCAGGAGGCGGGTGGGGCCGAGGAGCTGCTGCGGCTGCCTTCACTGGCCCCGCCACTCAGCTTGGAGGGCTGCCAGGAGGAGTGGGAGGTACTGAGCGACGCGGGGGATTTGGAGCAACCATGTGACAGCGACATCACTGCGACCATTGCATCACCCCCCAGCGCTGCCTTGGCTGAGGCCTGGTTTGGCAGCACGGCTGGGGAGCTGACCGGCGGGGTGGAGTGCGTGCATGGAGGCGGTCCGGAAGCGTCAGCCCTGGCGTCAGCAGTCGCTGGGAAGGCTGCTGTGACGCCCTGTGCGGGTGCTGGGTTGGCGGCCGGCAGCTGTGGTGACAAGGGTGGTGCAGGGGGCCCAGCGGCGAGGCTGTCCCCGAGGGTCATGAAGGAGCGGACCAACATCCCCAGCAGCCCCGCGCATGGTGTGTTGTGAGGTGTGGCTGCTGCGGCGGGTTACTAGATAGCTGACGGATCGCTTCAAGGTTAGGCAAGGAAGCACGCCTGTATCTGACCAGGGTTGTGTGGTGGATGTGCGGGAGAGGATCGAGGGCCTACATGCAAAGGTTGTTCCTGGGTAGGGCCTCGACTGGTTTGTTAGGTAGTAGCGTGTCCTAGCGGAGTTCAACCGCGTTGTTCAGACGGGGGGTGGCTCAGCGAGGGCTGCCATGAGTGGTGCGCACTCGCACAGGCCCACCACCTACGACGGTTTAGGTAGCTTCTTGTTGCTTTTTACTATTTATGGTCTAGATTCAGCTAGATTGGAAAGTTTTTTGTAGGTGAGAGTCTTAAGGGGTAGCCGAACGTCGTTTTTTTCGTGTTTTGGCTTGCCTTTCCAATGGTAGATAAGTTATAGGGTGCACTAGGAGGCACGAGTGCCATGGTCTTTAGCGACGGGCATTGTCCTCTGTACGGCCCTTGTTGCTGAAGTTATATTTGGAGACCAGTTGCGCGATTTAATGTTGTTATTGGATGTCCACCATTGTTGGGCTTATCTACGAACCTTATATAAATCGCGGCGTGCGACAGCTAAGGACAGCTACCACTTAAGGCTACAAGTGCGCGCACGTTGAAATTTTCCCAATGCAATGGGTCGCCCACGACTGCGACTCCCGTTGACATTTGTAACAACCAATTTAGCGCACGTTCCTGTTTGAGAGACAACAAGGTGTATGTTGCACTCTGCAACGCCTTGCTTGGCTTCTAGGGTCTCTGTAGGCAACCGCCCTGGAGGTCTTGCGTAGGAGGGACCCATGGGTCGTTTTGCGGCGATGCGACCCATTCCTGACACCGAAGGGTGTGGACCGGACTGCAAAACATGCTTGGCGACTGAAAACCGGAGAAAGGCATAATGCAGTGGTATCAAGGTACCAGTACATCAAGAGGGCCGCTGAGGGGAGAGGAAAACATGCAACACTACTCATGAAGCCTCCCAATGATGACTCACAATATCTGGTAGAAAAGCAGGATAAAGTTTTTAGGTGAACGTTTTACCCCCGCCCTCCCCACACACCCCTAGGAAAAAGAACGGACTTGCGCCAACACCCTATCTAAACACCCTATCTTTATTACTTGGAAGAAAGGACAATGCATGAAAATGTCTTGACTTGTCTGCCGTGCGCTGTGTGTTGCCATGGATGGTAGCGATCAGGGGCTTACCTGCACAGCACGTCCAACTCCTTTCAAGCAGTGGCGGGCGGGTCAGCTTTCTTCCCCCCTGGCGCGCTGGCCTCGTTGCACCTTAACAGCCCTCATGCGTCTAGCGGGTGCTGGCGAGCGGCCGGACACGGCAGGCATTGCGGGTCTGCTGGTGCTGCCTTTTTGCGGGTGTGTCATCAAAAGCCCGGCAGCGCAAAACAAAGTTAACATGGGGCCTTCCCTAAGACATGCTGGAATCCGAGTTGTTCGTGTGCCGGCTTGTGCAGCTGCTCATTGGTGTTTGCGATGACAGTTACAGTCTGTACACGGGAGCAAATGACAAAATGCATCTCGTCCTCACGGCGGATGCAAGATGCCGGGAACGACAGTTCTTGTAATTTTTTTGCCGCTCATGTGAATCCAGAATGGGGGATAGAAGGTTGGAGGCCTGGAGGGGCTTGCTCACCGCTCCAGAAATGGATAAGAGGGTATAACACGGTATCAGAGGATGGTGGTATAAGGTGGCAAAAGTCGGGAAGACCGTGCCTGACACCCCGTGGGACGGTCCATCTCACATGGACACTGGTAACTGTTCGTGGACACTGGTAACTGTTCGTGATGGCAACCACTGACCTGTCCACCGAGTACAGCGATCTTGGCTTCCCTGGGGCACCTCCCTGTGCTTACACAACCCTGTCACCACTCAGAAGCTCATACGCTATACCCCTAGGAGTGTTTTTTTGCAACTCTCCGAGGCAGAGTCACTTAACGTTAAATGAATGCCCTAGGACCTAGATGGCACTGCTGCTGCCGTGTTATGCCGTATGATGCCGCCACACTACACGTTAAGACCTCCAACTCCTTACCCGCGCGCTATGGCTTCTGTCGAACGAGCGGTCCCGGCTGCAGGCGAACAACCCTCACTTACCCAAATTTTGGAGGCCGAGCCACGGAGCAGCGCTGGCAAACAGGGTGAAGGAGTCACCCAGCCGCAACATCTGGTCGCAGGACAGCCTCAGCCCATGCCTGCACCGGGAAGAGCAGAGGCAAGGGCACAAGTCGCCAGCAGCAGCATTCACGTTGCGCGAGCGCAGGAGGTCTGCGGCCGCGAGAAAGATGCCAGCGCCGCCCGACCTAAGCCTATGGGGAACAAAGCAGTAACGTGCGTACCGGCGGTACGAGGAGAGGACCTGGCATCACTACGGCATCTGCCAGACTTGCCAGAAGGAGCACCGGTCTACCGACAAATCAAGCGCACAGCCAAGCTAGCGCCGGATAGGGAAGGCCCGTTCGCTTTCTACTGCTGGAACCCATGAGGGACTATGGCTTTGGTCAAAACAGGCGACGGGACCCTCTTCACCGTTCCTACTCACCAGCTCTATGTCCCGCCGCCTCAAGGGAGGTAGGTGCGTGGGTGCCTGAAACATGGCACGCTAGACAGCCGCAGCAGAAAAGTCGATCGTGGAGGTGCCATCCCTGTTTGGCGGATGGGAAGAAGTACGACTGCTTTGAGAACCAACCGCTATGAGTCAGCTATCAGCTAGACAGGAGTTGGAGCCCAGTCAGTTCTGTGTCAACCTTGGGAAGATGAGTGGGCGCCTTGTGGATGGTGACCGTATGCGAAGGGGTGGCACACGCTAGGACACGCGTCAGCGTCAGCAACGCACGCGCCAGGCACACGCCAGGCACACGCCTGCGTACCTGAGGCAGGAGCCTACGTGCCTGGGGCACACGCCGCGTGTGGTGGTCACATGCAGCACTGGTCGCTGTTTTCCTGAGCAGCGGAAAGAGGACAGCCGCTGGCAATTTGCGACCGCAGGAAGATAGGGAATCATGACAAGTAGTAATGCCAATGGTCGCCTTAAGGCCTAAGCAACAGGCGGCAAAGATTCTGGTCCGGCGGCATTAAGGTTCAAGATCCGTTGGGCGAGAGTCCCATGGGTCACTGGTACGAAAGCAGTATTTGCTAAGGAGGAGAGAGAGGACTCCGGCGCCTGTCATCTTTATTCAGTAACGCCAATAAACAACTTACGCTCGGACAAAGACAACCTATAACGGAAACATACCAGAAGTTTGCTCTTCTCCATAAACCGCTTCGTCAAGCTAAGGCAAAGGCAAAAATGATCACTGGAGTCAGAGTGCCGTCATATCTAGGTCTAGGCCGTGGTAGCGTTATGTTTTTCCACCGTCTGGCTGGCAAGGTGATGCCAGACTACAAGACGATGGGGAACGGTTCGCGCAGCCGCCGAATTAGCAAGCGCAAGTACGCCATCCGGACCGGTGCGGCACAGACCTACCTTACTGACATCGCTTCGTCGGCCTCTGGCAGCCTCAGCGGTTCACCTTCCACCAACACCGAGTCGGGTGGCGCCTCCATTCAGCCACCAGATATCCTCATGGTTCAGATGGAGGAGGACGACAGCGCGGGCGGTGGAGCTACGCCGCCCCCAGCTTTCGAGCCGCCCGAGAACGCGTACAGAAGCCCGGCATCTCAGTCAGAAGCAAAGGAAGTACAAAAAATACTTCATCCGCTGCAACACCGCTTCCCTCAGCCATTTCCCTAATATCCTCCAACCTCCCCCTCCTTTCTTGCAATCCATACGTCCCCTGCCCGCCACGACGTTATCTCCTTCTCCCCTTTCCCTTTCCAACCGAGCTCCAACCCTAGCCCTTCCCCAACTCATCTTCTCAATGCAGGCTAGGGGAGCTCCCGCGTCCTCGCCCCGCCGGCCGCTCAGTCGTCAACTTCCTCTAGCCCCTGCATGAGGCCCTCCATCCTCAGCAGCGGGCCCAGAGATAGCGACTCCTCCGGCTCAGGCTTACGCACGGGCTGTGGCAGCGGTGGTGCGTCACCTGGCGGCTGCTGGGATGGCAGTGACTTGGCGTTCTCGGGCGGCTCGAAAGCTGGGGGCGGCGTAGCTCCACCGCCCGCGCTGTCGTCCTCCTCCATCTTTACCATGAGGATATCTGGAGCTACGCCGCCCCCAGCTTTCAAGCCGCCCGAGAACGCCAAGTCACTGCCATCCCAGCAGCCGCCAGGTGACGCACCACCGCTGCCACAGCCCGTGTGTAAGCCTGAGCCGGAGGAGTCGCTATCGCTGGGCCCGCTGCTGAGGATGGAGGGCCTCATGCAGGGGCTAGAGGAAGTTGACGACTGAGCGGCCGGCGGGGCGAGGACGCGGGAGCTCCCCTAGCCTGCATTGAGAAGATGAGTTGGGGAAGGGCTAGGGTTGGAGCTCGGTTGGAAAGGGAAAGGGGAGAAGGAGATAACGTCGTGGCGGGCAGGGGACGTATGGATTGCAAGAAAGGAGGGGGAGGTTGGAGGATATTAGGGAAATGGCTGAGGGAAGCGGTGTTGCAGCGGATGAAGTATTTTTTGTACTTCCTTTGCTTCTGACTGAGATGCCGGGCTTCTGTACGCGTTCTCGGGCGGCTCGAAAGCTGGGGGCGGCGTAGCTCCACCGCCCGTGCTGTCGTCCTCCTCCATCTGAACCATGAGGATATCTGGTGGCTGAATGGAGGCGCCACCCGACTCGGTGTTGGTGGAAGGTGAACCGCTGAGGCTGCCAGAGGCCGACAAAGCGATGTCAGTAAGGTAGGTCTGTGCCGCACCGGTCCGGACGGTGTACTAATCCTCTGTCCTGAACTCCTCCTCCTCCTCCTCCTGGATCGGGGTAAGCGCCATCGCAGCCTGGTCCGGCCGTTCCCATGCTAAGTTCAGTTCCCGGCCGTAGAGGCACATAGCAGGGCTGACACGTGTGCTGGCTTGCCGCGTCGCTCGGTAGCTGAGAATGATGGGGTCGATGCGCTCATCCCAGTCGTTCTCCTGCTCGTTGACCACCTTGCGCAGCGCCTCCGTTAGGGCCCCTATTAGCCTCTCCACCTGCCCGTTGGACTGGGGTGTATAGGCCGCAGTGCGCAGGTGCCTGACGTGGTGCCGGCTCAGCATGGCATCAAACTCGCCTGCCCACTCGTCCCCTGGTCAGTCATTACTCCCACAGGCGCGCCGTAACAGCAGATCCACTCCCTTTGGAACCATGTGGCCGTGATTTCAGCATGCTTGGCAGGGATGGCGCCGACCTCACTCCACTTTGACCAGCTGTCGACAGCCACGATGAGGTAGGTGTTGCCACGGGGCGTGGGCTTCAGGGGGCCCATCAGGTCGATATGCACTCGCCCAAACCCCAACAATGGGGAGCGGCCGAAGCGGGTGGTCCTGCAGAAGCTTATGCTTCCCCGCGTGGCACTGTTTGCACCGTTGCACGAAGGCCTGAACGTCCGTCTTCATCCCTTCCCAGAAGTAGTCATGGCGCAGCAGGTCGTACGTCCGCTCTATTCCCCAATGACCAGTGCCATGAGCCGCCCGTAGCACTGCCTCCCGCTCGTGAGGCGGTGGCACTCATGCTATCTTACGGCCTCCCCTCTGCAGCTTGTAGACCCATTCTTCCATCGATACACCTTGGCTCGGCTTTTGAGGCGGTTTAGCTCCTTCCGCAGCTCATCGCCGTGTAAGCCATGTCCATCCGGCAAATCACCCTCCCGCAGATACGCGAGGAAAGTGCTATCCCCCCAGACATCGAACACTGCCGGGCGGCGAGCGGCTACACCACTGGTGGGCCCATGCGGCCGGGAAGCCCCGTGACCGCCTGACCCCTCTTCACCGCTGCTATCTTCCCCGGATGAACTGGCTCCGCTGGGTGAGTACGAACTTGCCGGGTTGGGAGATGCACTCGAACGCCGCTTGGCGGGTAACCTCGGGGCTACCGCTGAGTGCATGGGACAGTACCATGGGCCTGCCGGCACGACCTTGAGCGGCGGGTCCAAGCAGCGCAGATGCCACGCTAGGCCGCACTCAGGGTCGTCGCACAGAAGGAGGGTAGAACTAGGCTTTCCCTTCTGACACATTATGCACACCAGCCCGGGGTCCTCATCAGTCGTACCAGACTCCGACACAGGGGGCTCCGTGTAAGCTCCTAGGAACGTGTTGACTGTCCTGGGGCGTGTGCGGCTCGGTCCCTTAGGCACCAGCGCTGCCGCTGATGGTGCAGTGCTGGGGTTGCTGGGCCTGGCGGCCGAAGCGTCCACCGGCTGGAGATGCTGAGGGATGGGTGCCGGCCCCGGGCTGTGCAGCCTGGGTAGCCTATCTGCTGATATCAAGTAGCTCTCAGACTCTCAGGCTGGGGCGTGCCTGGATGCTCACGGCTCGGTACCGTCTCCCACATACCATCCGTAAGCAGCAACTCTATCTCCATCTCCTCTTCCTCCCCGTAGGAAGCCGCTTCAGGCTCCTCTCGTGGCACCGTGGCAGCGGCTTCCGCCTCCGGCAGCAAGTGCCCCAGACGGCTCAGTCCATCAACGTTGCTGTTGCGAAGGCCGGCCTTGTGGAGTACCTCAAAGTCGTACGCTTGCAACTTTAGCGCGTACCGCGCCAGCTTCCCATGTAGGTCACGGGCGCTAGCGGTACTAATGTAGCACACTGTGTCGGCTCCTCACAGCACTGTCGGCTCCTCACAGCACTACATAACAACAGCAGCGACATCTAAGGTCCTAAGGCAGCATTTAGGCTTAAAGTGGCTTGCCCCTGAGTCACGAAAAAAATTCTCTTAGGCTGCCGCGGCGGAGCATGACAGAGCTGTCGCTGACCTAGAAAACCATGTGGGAATGAGGGCCCTGGTGTTGCGACCCTTGGGAGAAGAGAGAAAGGTCTAGCGTCTTAGTTGTTACCAGTGAAGGAGGCTTTCGAGCCTAGACCGGAACCGTTAGTCTTCCCAAACTAGGGCTAAGACTTTGCTTTGGTTCATTAACAATTTGCAAAAAGACCGCTTTCATACCAACGAAAATGTACAATAATCTGTGCGGCAATCGGTGCAACGCAATTCCAAACCTACTACGGCCAACGTAATACGGCAGCTAGCGGAACTCGCCAACGTAAGCCCGAAGGGTCTAGAGGCCTTTCGACACCTTCATATGGCTTCCCGTACAGGGTTTCGGAGGCCTACTGACCGACCCCAGGGTCAAACCCTCTAAAGCAGGCCGCAAAGCTATCAAACGCATACAAATCATTAACAGGTTCAAACCTGTTTGCAAAAGCAAAACAAACAAACATGTTCGCTAAAGCATCTTTTTCCAACCACAACCAAACCGCTTTTACGATCCCCAAAAGTAGCTGACAGCTGTCACCACTTTCCCCTGCTAATGCGAGCCGACCGGCTCGCTTGACGCGGAAGCCCTAGGCAACGCGAACCTAGGAAGCGATCCAAATCCATCCTCCAAGCTTTCCCTCGCCAACCACTCTCTCTCTCTAACCACAACCTCCTACCGCAGCAGGCTGGAGGGCAACAGACTCCAGCTCCGTTCGGCGGCTCCATCAACGCTGAGCGACTCCACCACTCCCCAATCCTGCGACACCGTCCGCAACTCTGGGCGCACAACGTAGTAGGGAAGAATGGTTTAATAAGTTACGTCTGAATCTCATAGGTTGTTAGATGGCGCTAAGACGCACCGACTTGGTCTCCTCGCGGGACACCTTTCTTCGCTTGGAAAAAGGGGGTCTACCCTAACTCGTTGCTATGTTTCCCGTCTCCGGACAGCAACTAAATCTCGCGCATTTCCGCTAGTAACATGTTGAAGGCAATGATATACGCGGCGCAATAACATAGGCGCAGGCCTCCTCCTCGCTCCACCCATCACCCTTCTCGGCTTCCCTTCCTTCCCTTCCAACCCTCTGCGCCCTGCCACAGACCATATTTCTTCCTAGCAAATGTCCTTACTCCCTCCCTTCCCCCTCTCTATCCGCCTGAGCTCCCATCCCAGCCCTTCCTCCTCCACTTAACTTCATCCGCGGGCTGGGAGAGCTCCTAGCCCCATCCTTGGCGTCCGTTTAGATGTCCACCGTGGCCTCCACGCCCTCCTCGAGGGTGTCCGCCAGGGCCACGGATACCTCGTAGCCCTCCAGCCTGGCAATGGCAGCCTGAACCGCCATATGAAGGGTGTGTGTGCGACCCAGGGTGAACACCGGCCGGCCCAGGACATTGCAAAACTGCCGAATCTCCTGGGGCCCCGGCGGGGCCCCCCAGCCAGTGTCGTCACAGACCCGGAAGGTGAGCAGGCCTGCCGTCGCCGGTCCCCAGCGTGGCATGTACACACGTTGCAGCAGCTGCCGCAGAGCAAGGCGCTCCTGGACGGGTGCCGGATTGCTAATCGGCACCAGGAGCTGCACGAGCGATGGACCGGACTGCAAAACATGCTTGGTGACTGAAAACCGGAGAAAGGCGTAATGCAGTGGTATACAGGTACATCAAGAAGGCCGCTGAGGGGAGAGGAAAACATGCAACACACACATGATCCTCCCAATGATGACTCACAATATCTGGTAGAAAAGCAGGATCAAGTTTATAGGTAGACGTTTTACCCCCGGCCCCCCCCACACACCCCTAGGAAAGAGAACCGACTTGCGCCAACACCCTATCCTTAATACTTGGACCAAAGGAAAATGCATGAAAATGTCTCGGCTTGTCTGCTGTGCACTGCATGTTGCCATGAATGGTAGCGATCAGGGGCTTACCTGCACAGCACGTCCAACTCCCTTCAAGCAGTGGCGGGCGGGTCAGCTTTCTTCCCCCCTGGCGCGCTGGCCTCGTTGCACCTTAACAGTCCTCATGCGTCTAGCGGGTGCTGGCGAGCGGCCGGACACAGCAGGCATTGCGGGTCTGCTGGTGCTGCCTTTTTGCGGGCGTGTCATCAAAAGCCCGGCAGCACAAAACAAACTTACGGACATGGGGCCTTCCCTAAGACGTGCTGGAATCCGAGTTGTTCGTGTGCCGGCTTGTGCAGCTGCTCATTGGTGTTTGCAATGCCAGTTACAGTCTGTACACGGGAGCAAATGACAAAATGCATCTCGTCCTCACGGCGGATGCAAGATGCCGGGAACGACAGTTCTTGTAATTTGATAGCCGCTCATGTGAATCCAAAATTGGGGGATAGAAGGTTGGAGGCCTGGAGGGGATTGCTCACCGCTCCAGAAATGGATAAGAGGGTATAACACGGTATCAGAGGATGGTGGTATAAAGTGGCAAAAGTCGGGAAGACCGTGCCTGACACCCCGTGGGACGGTCCATCTCACATGGACACCGGTAACTGTTCGTGATGGCCAGGGGTGTTGGAAGCCTATCTAGCCGCATTACTAACAAAGCCAAGCACTGTCACGTGAAACTGTCATGACTGCTTTGGAGCTTAGCTTTCTGTTGTGCTGTGAGCAAGTTGTTAGATGTGCAGTATATGCGAAGTCAACGCTCCGACAGCATGGCAAATGCGATTTTTCAACGGCGTACGGCTATTTGTCATACCCTGCCGGGCTTCCCTATTTTCGTATAGGTAAGAGGCTTCTACTAATACTGTCAGGTGTTTGTACTTAAGTTGACACTTATGTAGCTAGGCGCAACACTTGGTCCTATTGTTACCGACAATGCGAATTCCGGCGCCCTTTCGAGCATGCTTTGGCTCTACGGCACAAGAACCCAACGCTGCTAAAAACACTAGAGCCATAAGCGATAGTAAGCTGTTCAGACCTGATTATATGCCAGAGCCCTCTCGAAATGGTGTGAATGAGTCAGACGTGCGCCAAGAGCGTTTCCCAGCTGAAGCAATGGCGACAACGAGCATTGCAGATTCTAGTTTGTTTAGGGGTGCTCCATCCAGAACCAAGTCTGGCCTAAACGCGTATCGCGTTTCTATCCAGAGAGATAACGTCAGGCCTTGCGACGCGCTGAACATTCTGGAAGGCCTACGTTTAACTCAAAAGGAGCTAGGGCGTGGCACTTATGGCATTGTAGTCCCAGGTCAGTCGCTTGGCGGCACTTACAGCCGTTCCTTGCTTGCATCGGCGTCGAGCCCTACATAATTCCATCATCGCATTTCTCTAAGGATTCTTAGGTTTTCTAACTAGACGAGTTTTTGTTGCAACAGGTCACTACCGTGGCTTGCCCTGCGCGGTCAAGGTGATGCTGTCGAAGGGTTTGGACCGAGCAGCCCTGCGAGAGCTGCTACTGGCGCCCAGCTTGGTGCACCCTAACATTGTATCGGTAAGCAAGCGGGTTACCAAAATAGCGATAAGCGATAGCGTGGTATGCACATTGCTGTACAACATACATTTTGTGTTCTGCACCGTGCATCGCATTTGGCAGGATACAGCCTTCACCCATTGCTTTCCGCTGTTACCTTGGCCTTGCAGGCCTTTACCAGTCGCTGTGCAATTCTCACGGACGAATTTTTCGACTATCTGGAGGGGGAAAGGTGAGGCGCGTGCGGTTGTTTGAGCATGAGATAGGAGGCTGCTGTTTGGCGCTGCGTGCCGGGTTGGTTGCCTAACCGTCTGTCGTAAGGCTCATAACCACCATGTCATGGTTACAACCACCACCTCCCTCCCACCACCACCACCCACACGACTCGTCCCTCCCCTGTTGCGTCGCAGGCAAGAGGAGCCCGACGCCACTCGGCCACGGGTGATTGGACCCGTTCCCATCCTCTCAGGCAAGTCTCCATGCACTGCCCAGCCATCCGCCCCTTCTCCCGCGCACATCCCCTCCTGCAGGGTGCATCCTCCTTGCTTGGCACTCCTGCTCTGAAAGCGCATGGGCCCCCCACCTCGCTGCCTGGTTGGTCGACTGGTTGGTCGGCTCGCGTGGCTCGTCTGCATGTTCCTTCCGCATCGTCCAGGGCACCCCCTCATGTCACGTGTCCGCCGGATAAACACAGGCACTCCAAAACACACACAAAAACTCGCAGCCAGTTTTCTTAACACAGTATGTTCCGATTCGCGGCCAGAGTCATTAGCACTCGCAAACGCGCGCACTTTGTTTAGCACACATGTACACATGCGGCCAGTTTTGTTACCACGCACGCCCCCTACCCGCGCCCCCTTCCCTCTCCCCCCCCACCTTGTCAGCAACTTGTATCATTATCACACCACACCTTGGAATTTCGTTTTTCCCACCTCCCCCCCAGGCGACGGCTTCGGCGACCCGGCCGGTGCGGACGACGGCGGAGTGGACCCTCTGCTGGTGCTGCACCAGATCCTGTTTGAGCTGAGGGTGGGGTCTGGGGGGGTGGGGTGGGCGGGAAGGGGGGTAAAAAAAAGAAATTCCAAAGTGTAGGGGGGAGGGGGGCCGGGAGGGGCGGAGAGGAAGAGGGGTTGGGAGGGGGAGGGATGGAGTGAAGGGAGAGGGTTTTGTAACGGAAGAAGCGAGGGAGGTAGCGGTGTTTGAAGCCGCACCTGGGGATGGTCAGTCGTACCGTATCGTAATCCATCGGTAGTGGCGTGCCGTACCATTGGTGCAGCAGCTAGCAGGTCTGCCAAGTGCAACCCTCTTCCTCACACCACCCTCCCCTCCGGTACCGGTATCTTTCTTTTCCCCTCCGCTCCCTCCTCTCCTCTCCTCTCCTCTCCCCTGCTAATCAACACACGTGGTACCTTCTCCCCTCCCCCAACCCCGCTCCTCCGCAGGCCAAGATCGGTCAGATGGTGGTGGTGGTGGTCCAGGAGTATTGCGACAAGGCCACCCTGGGGGGGGCTCTGGAGCGGGGGCTCTTTACCCCGGGGCACGTGTGGCAGGAGCGGGTGGCGGTGCGGGCGCTGCTGCGGACCGCTGCGGAGGTGGCGCGGGGGCTGCTGCACCTGCATGATGCGGGGGTGGTGCATGGGGACATCAAGGTAGGGGGTGGTGCATGGGGACATCAAGGTAGGGGGTGGTGCATGGGGACATCAAGGTAGTGGGGGGTGCATGGGGACATCAAGGTAGGGGGGGGTGCATGGGGACATCAAGGTAGGGGGGGGTGCATGGGGACATCAAGGTAGGGGGGGGGTGCATGGGGACATCAAGGTAGGGGGGGGTGCATGGGGACATCAAGGTAGGGGGGGGTGCATGGGGACATCAAGGTAGGGGGTGGTGCATGGGGACATCAAGGTAGGGGAGGGGGTGCATGGGGACATCAAGGTAGGGGGGGTGCATGGGGACATCAAGGTAGGGGGGGTGCATGGGGACATCAAGGTAGGGGGGGTTGCATGGAAATAGAATGAGGAACCCTGGTGTGAAGGGAAGTCTTAAACCCGTATAAGGGGATAAGGGGGAATGTAAACCTATGAAGGGACTACGTGGGGAATCATGGTGTGGTGCAGGCGGACATGGAGGTAAGGGGAGAGCGCAAGAGTGCAAGAGTGTGGTGGGGGGTGCATGTCACGCGGTGCGGGTGCGGTGTGCGTGTGGGCTGGTCGTAGGACATCCCAAGGGGCTGCTGGGTTGAGGTCATGGCTGCCAGCACGGGTTTGGCGCTCCTTGCACACCCCCCCTCCTAGCCCCCATGGCCCATGCTTCTTTGCAATCCTTCCCCCACACCCACACACATTGACTCGTCTTCTCCCCCCCCCCCCGCCCCCCGCGCCCCGCAGCCCGCCAACCTGCTCCTCAGCAGCTCCCGCAAGGACCGCCGGGGCTTCACTGCCAAGGTGGGGGCGGCAGGGGGGGGGGGGGGGGGGGGGGGGGGGGGGGAGGGGGGGAGGGGAGGGGGAGAGCAGCTGGGGAGGAGAGGTGCCGGTGTAGTAATTCAACATAGGTAGGGAGGTAGGGAGGAGAATGGGAGCATGCCGCGTGCCTCATGAACGGTCCCTCACCTCCCTAATGCCTTTTGCCCTCATGGCACCACTGGGGGGTTGACTGTTCTCTGACCCCCTTCTAACCCTTCCTCACCCCAACCTACCCGTGCTGGCTACACTTCCCCTAACCCCTGACCCCTCCTCCCCGAACCTGTGGTTTCCTATAATTTGGTATGGTCGTTGAGCCCCCCTCCCCCTCTCGCCCCCCCCAGGTTGCCGACTTTGGCTTGTCCCACGTGCTACCCCAGGCGGCCAGCAGCGTGCTCACGGACACGTGGGGCTCAGTGGCTTACATGGCACCGGTGAGGGGGGGGAGGGGGCCTACATGGCGCCGGTGAGGGGGAGGAGGGGGCCTACATGGCACCGGTGAGGGGGGGAAGGGGGCCTACATGGCACCGGTGAGGGGGGGAAGGGGGCCTACATGGCGCCGGTGAGGGGGGGGAGGGGGCCTACATGGCACCGGTGAGGGGGGGGCCTACATGGCGCCGGTGAGAGGGGGGGAGGGGGCCTACATGGCACCGGTGAGGGGGGGGCCTACATGGCACCGGTGAGAGGGGGGGAGGGGGCCTACATGGCACCGGTGAGGGGGGGGAAAAAGAAATTCCAAAGTGTGGTATGATAATGATACAAGTTGCTGACAATCCCTGGTGGAATCAACCGTGAGTCGAGCCGAAATGGTGGTTAAAGCAATGCGAGCTAAACTTACCGAACTTACCAATTATGGAGCAACCTTACCATAGTCTTGGGCATGTGTGGAGGCTGCTGAAGGTGAGCTGGAGACCCACCGCGCCGTTGGGCATAGGCAAACAGGAACAGCACAACACGAGCACGCATAAAAAAAACTACACAGACTGACACACGATAAAACACGTACCTGCGTGCACAGGATATGTGCACCATGAGACATGTCCATGGCAAGCCGCCAGGACCATGGAGGAAGTTAGGTCGAGGCGAGTTGATAGCGATGTCCCGCGGAGAGCCAGATATGCGGAATGAGGCAAGGAAAGCGAAAGGGGAAGTTAAGTATAAGTGAAAGAGGACGATGGTGAAGATGCGAGCACCGGTGAGGGGGGGGAGGGGGCCTACATGGCACCGGTGAGGGGGGGGGGGAGGGGGCCTACATGGCACCGGTGAGGGGGGGACCTACATGGCACCGGTGAGGGGGGGGAGGGGGCCTACATGGCACCGGTGAGAGGGGGGGGAGGGGAGGGGAAGAAACTCGCGGATGAGTATTACATGAAATGTGAAGCGACGGGCTGCAAGCCGCGAAAGGGCGTAACTGCAGATGTCAGGCTCGCGAGTGCTTCCAAGTGCGGTTTATTGCTCTTGCCTTCAAAACCTTGTCGCTCCGCCCGCCCGAACGGGAGCTTGCTAATACACATCTTTCCCCCTCCGGGCCCTGCCTCCCACCTCCCGGCCCCCCTCCCGCTCCCCCCCCTCCAGGAGAGCTTCACGGGCACGGTGAGCCGCGCAGCCGACGTGTGGTCGTACGGCGTGTGTTTGTGGCAGATGCTGACCAGCAGGCGACCCTACGCGGACATGCGGCAGGGTAAGAGGGGGGGAAGAAGAAATGCCCGATGTGTTGAAAGGGGCGAGATGGGAGGGGCGGGGGCGGGGGAGCAGCTTGGGGTGCTTGTGAAGGAGAATACCACAGTGACTAGGACTCGTTGATGGCTAGTTGGGCGGACTGGCCAAATTGACACGCTGATATGAGAAGAGGAGTAGGGTAGGGAGAGACTAGAGTCTTCAGCACTTGGGGCCAGGGGTCAGTGCTGCCCTCCTGCCGCCCTTCCCATTGGTACACCTCTCCTTCGCCTCTCCCTCCCCTCCGTCAGTTTCCTGGGTTTTTTCCTTTCCATTAACCAACGCATGCTTCTTTCCTTTCCCCAAACCCCATCTCCTCCCCCCCCACCAATCCCCCCCCCAGCCGCGGTGGTCATGGGTGTGTCCGAGGGCTCCCTGCAGCTGCCCTGGCCGCCCGCCACCGCCCTCACCTCGGGCCTCATCGCGCTGGGCCGCCGCTGCCTCAGCCACGACCCCGCCGCCCGCCCCCCGCTGGCGGAGGTGGTGGAGGAGCTGGTGAGGGTGGAGCAGCGGATACGGCAGGAGGCGATTAGCGGGAAGCAACAGGGGGAGGAGGGGGAGCAGGGGGAGGGGCAGAAGGAGGGGCAGGAGGGGGGTATTGTACGGCAGAGGATGTCCCGGGAACAGCTGGGGCAGCAGACACGGCAGCAGCAGCAGCAACAAGAACAGCAGCAGCAGCAACCGGCGAGGGAGCAGCAGGAGGAAGAGCAGGCGGAGCAGCCCCCCGCGCCCCACCACCAGCAGCAGGAGCAGCAGCTGCTGCCATCAGAGTATTTGTTGCGGCTGCAGATGCCTGCGGGCGGAGGGGCGGTGCGGGTGATTAGGCATGTGGCTGGGGAGGGCGGCAGAAACGTGAAGGAGGGGGAGGAGGCGGGGGTGCATCAACCTAAGGCGGCCTCAGCAGGGGAGGGAGCCCCGGGTGCTGCTGGGGAGGAAGCAGACGCAGCCGAAGAAGAAGATGCAGTGGAGGGCGACTGTGACACGGCGCACCTCTCATCAGTCGGTCTGGCAGCCAGCAGCAAGGGGCCGCTCGGCAGCAGGGGGGGTGTGCCGGTCAGGAGCAGGAGGAGCAGGAGGAGGAGCACCCACCGCAGGGGCAGCGGGGATGGGGGCGGGGGCGGGGGCGGTTTGCTGCTGCTGCCGCCGTGCGAGAGCGGTGGCAACAGCGGCGGCGACAGCGGGGTGCCGGGGATGGCGGCGGGCGCATTGAGCATGGGACTGCTGTTGGGGCTGGAGTTGGGGGAGGAGGATGTGGGAGGAGGAGAAGAGGGTGTGGGGGTGCAGAGTGAGGAGGAGGTGGGGGGGTGGGAGCTGATGAGTACATCTGCTATGGAGGTGGTGGTGATGTGATTGGGGGATGGGTGGGTGGGTCAAAGACGACCATACCCAACCGCAACTGGATTTGGGGTACAAGGCTTGCACGGCGAGATATAGTTTTTTTCGGCGGGGAGGCGCTTGATGCTGTATGCCTTTCGTGTATTTTAACGTACATTTGATTGACACAACTTTCTCATGATCTTCTCCTGTTTCTACTGGCTGAGTATTGGACACACGTTCCTGTGTGGGCGGATGGGTCGCCTGCTGCTGCTGCTGCTGCTGCAGCAGCTGCAATCGAAGCGAACTGGCAACTGCTGTTGGGGTTTTCCGATACTGGCTGGGTACTGGGTGGGTTATGTTGTGCTGCTATTGTATATGTTATGGTAAGTGGCGCCGTACCGGTATCTGAGAATGTACATTTTGAGGCACTGGTGTGTTAAGAAACCTGACCGCGAGTAGGAACGCGTACTGGGACCGGTATGTATGGGTGGAAGTGCTGTTGTGGTGTGTTGTTCTTTGGACAGTCGGGGCGGGCGGGACAGCCGGGCGCAGCTGCGTATACGGAGTTGGAGGTCAGTGCCGCATACGTGAGTGCTAAAGCCGGTCGGGTCCACGTTGTGGCTTCTCGTGAACTTTGGAATTGTTGTACCATTGCCTCGGGTGCTATCATGTGTGCCTCGAGTGGGAAGCGCTGTTTTCATGCATGGGGGGGTATGCTGTGGATTGTTGTCGTTGCTTCTCGATCATTGGGACTTGGAGGCCTCGAGTGTTGTGTTCCGGTGTGGTGTTGGGCTGCGTGGGCAATAGGTTCACTGATGGGTTTCTTATGTTGTAGCAAGTACGCGCGCGTGTGTTTGCTATGTGTATGCTAGAGCGGATTATGCAGGTGCGGGGGGTGACATGCTGAGGTGTTGAGTCTCGATGTAAGGTGTTGTTGGGGATGTGCACAGCAGACGAGTTACCCGCGGGGAGGGGGCCGTGACACCTCTATCCTATCTGTCTTGTCTTGGCCGTCTCTCTTAAGAGGGACTCATCGCTTGGCCCATAGGGGATCCTCGCTTGGTTGGTTCCATGAGCGACGCTGCGTACCATCAAACTTCGTAGCCGCATGGGCCCTGTGAGGGCGCCCGAGTGTGTGGCTTCGGCCTGTGAGTGTCGTAACTCGTATTGAGTGGCTGCAACAGGTACCGTACGGCTCGGTTGGTGTGGGCAAGGAGACGTTGCTTGAATCGTTAGGGTTGTTAAGCATTACGTTTTCCGTGCCAATACGTGATGACCCATGGGTCATCTCACTGGCGTGAGATGTTTATGCTAGCACTTGTCACATGACAGTCCTCCGATGCACACCGCCGAATGACACCGCTCGTCTCGGACCACCTCGCTATGCGGGGGCCATAGGACCTCTTCCGGGAACCTCCCCGCACCTCCTCAGCTGTGAGCTTGACACAACCATGCAAGGGGTAGTGTTTCGTCGACGGGTGCTTGCATGCTGGTGGGTGCCATACCGGTATCATATGGTCCATGTGCCATATGCACCCTTTCAAGTACAAATTACGCACTGTTCCAAGGCTGTTGTTGTTGCACATCTCTTGCAAACACTGCCACCACTCGCACCCACTGCAATCTGGGCCACCCGCACATACATCCTTCTCCGATTTGCCTCACTGCTGGCTCCCATACATGAAGGCATTCCCACACCCATGCACACCAAGCCAGGGCCGGGGAAAGGCCCAGCACATCCCGCCCAGCCGGGGCGCTCCGTAACCATGCACTCAGGCATATCCACAAGCGCACACTTGGACCCAGCGTCCCCCTCCATGCGGCACCCATGCAAGCAGGCAGCCATTTACGCATGTGTGGCCGGTCAGGAGTCCCGCCCAGGCCCGGCTGACAGTTGAAGGCAAAGACGGAAGCAAATTTTCCTCTAAAACTTTGCCTTCCTTACCTGCACATCGACGGGCTTAGCGCCCTGGACCCCTTGTGCCTTCTCTTCGACTCATCCCTATAGCTCGCTGTTCTACAGCTGAGCTACAGTTCGCTGTCCTGCTTCCGCGACCATACTAAACTATCAGCAGACCAGCACATTTTCCCTTCGTATTGCTTGATTGCGGAAGAGGTTTTCAGGTCAAGCTGTCTGTGGACTGGGACTCGCTCCGAACATGTGCTAAGAAGCACTCACCGTAGCAGTGACCTGTCGTGTCCAGGCTCCACTGTCGCGTCACAGTCAAATCGCCATCGTCGTTGCTACCTGAATAAAATAGAGCTAACTATCCGTATTCTTCACAGAAAATCGAGGCGTATGCCTTTCAGCCTTTGTATTTTGTACTTTGCTCAAGACGCTTGCCATGCTGCCAATCTTTACTTAACTAGCAGGATTGTGTAGACAATACGACTACACTGCCTCTTTGCAGCCATTGATACTAGTCCTGTAGGTAGCGTGTCTGTAACTCTTCCTAGGGCGCACACGCTGCAGCCCGCCGGCCTTTGCTAGCAGGCAAGAGGCCGTGTCAGTTGCAGTGGGCTACTCGTCACGGTTACTGGTGAGGCATAATCGTTTGCCCAATGCGGACACAGGCGGTCAGCTTTCACCAACTGTTGTTTAGGTTAGTTGTAACTACGATCGCACACCGTAACATTTGTTTTATGCAAGCGTGTCTTTCTTAGGCACGTCTGTTCCAAAGTTGCTTCAACGCGCCATGCCTAAATGGGCACGGACGGCACCCGATGTCCACGCAGCATTGCAGTTTTTGCGGCAATGACTGATCAGCTGAAATAGTACTAGGAACTCCCATTATGGCACCATCTACCGCTCCACTAAACCGTGAAAGCCTTTACCTACCGTATCGCCTTGACATGACCTGCTGCTTCCTCTCTTGCCCCTATGCCAAAATTTCCTGCAGGTCCTAAGCCGCATGACAACTAAAACTGTGTCGGCTGGTTTGGAGCGACATGCACTGGTTAGGACAGCAACAATGGAGCAGGTGGCGAATAGCGTGTTGCGGATGGCAACCAGGATTGTGCTCGCCGGAACAGTTGGCACAACGGTGACAGGGGTGCAATGGCCAGCCGCCGACTCGGTGGCTGAGGTCACGCATGTCCCGGATTGCGTCGCACCTTCTGAGGCCCGGCAGGAGGCGCTCAGGGTCCTCTCCGAGCTGTACCTGCAGCCCGGCCACAGCCGCATCCTCGTCAAGGCGATAGCGGTGGGGTTGCGACGTGCTGCAGACTCTCAGCTGCCGACGGAGGAGCGGTTGGCTTACTGTGGCTTCTCCAGTTTCCTGGCATCATTGCCAAAGCTGTGCGCTGCGAGGCCCGAGAATTGGCGGCGTCTTCCAATGCTTGAGCGAGCTGCACTGGCCATCATCCGCTGCGACACGCTGCAATGCCTGAGCCGTCTGCTGGCCAGTACTGCTGCTGAGGTGCGTGCAGGCAGCGCTGCAGCAGCGGAGCGCGGTGCCAGTGCATGCGACACGCAAGGTGCAGCCAGCTTGCAATTCCTGTACGTCTTGCAGACGAGCATCGACACGCTGTTCGCTGTGCATCTGATCAGCGGGGCGCTGGGTGGGCCCGGGGGCGGCCCTCACAGCTGCAACAGCCGCGGAGGACATGCACCTGGAAATCGATGCAGCACCAGCACGTGTGGTGCCGGCAGTGCTGGCGGTGGTGGTGGTGGTGGTGGTGCTGCTGCTGGTGGTACTGGAGGCGGCCAGGGTGCGCCCAACGCGCTGCTGCGGGAGCTGTTGGATGCGCTGGCGGACTCACAGCTGCTGGAGCAAGCCGCCAAGGCGCTGTTAGGAGTCGCCGCAACAGGGGAACTCCCTGAAGGCGTTCCTCGGCTAACCTCGGCGACGTTCATGCTCTTCTCGCAGCGCTCACGCCGCCCAAAGGTCCGAGCCCGCGGCCTGCCCGGCCCGTGCCTGCACTTCCTGCTTACTGCAGCGGCCGTGCAGGCCCTTCGGAACCTGGATGCCGGGCCCACCTACGGCTTGTCAGCGGAGGTGTTGGAGGCCGTCAGGGGGCTTGCAGGAATGGATGATGATTACGATGCGCTTCACATCTGGGCGCTGACGCAGACGCCTGGAGCTGGCATGCCTCTCCACTCCTGCATTAGCCCCGCTGCCATGTACCAGCTCTGCATGCGTGTGAGTTCGGTCTCCATCACCGGACTGGTGGCGACGCAGGATGGTGGTGGGGGCCGCGGCAGCCTTGCTGGCTGGGTCCTTTCCGAACAATGCAAACGGCTGAAGCGATGTTGGACGGCTGTGGCGGCCCTGCTGTCGGCGCATGACGCGCTGAGGCGGCAGTCGTCACAGCGACAGCAGCACCGGGGTGGCAGTGGCGCGTCGAGCTCGGCAGCAGCAGTGGCGGCGGCGGCAGCAGCGGGGCATCCGGCGGGTGTCCCGGGCTGTGTGCCGCTTGTCCTGCCAGACACCTGGTGGCGGGCGAGTGTGGAGGTGGTTAATGCGGCTGCGGGACTGGGTAACCTGGGGGACCAGGACATGGAAATGTGGAGCGATTTGGGGTCGCTCCTGCGCACCCAGATGGCTGGGCGGCAGCTGGCGAAGCAGATGCCTCGTAAGTCAGTGCCTGTGTACGGTAGTCCCCGAGGCTTGATCCTGGGGAGTGTGATGCATTCTTAGCTTTCTTAGCTTGCAAGCTGGCACGCATTAGAGTTGTATAGTGTATGGCACACCGGTCGGACTTGCTCGTGCCTATGTGGGCTGCACGTGGATTGGGAGCATGCGTGCGTGTTCCACTGGTGGATGTGTGTGTGGGTGGTATATCTCCAAGGCAGCTGCTGCACATATGCACCAGTGTCATGGCCCGCTCGCTCGCTCACCTGCTGCGCACACTGCGCACCATCCTATTCTTCCGCCACAGCCATCTCTTGAATGATCTCTTTCCCTGCACCTCGTCCCTCCTTTTCCGCGCAGTCGACCTGCCTGACAGCCCGCCACCCGACGTGGCAGTCGCCCTCTCTGCCGGCTACCTACCCTGCCTGGAGCGGCTGCTGCGGCGGCAGGGCGGCCTGCCCTCCAACGCCCTGTGCCTGCTGTCATGGCAGCACCTGGGGTGGGTGCTGGCGTATGGGGACTCCCGGCAGGCGGCGTCGCTTGTGGCGACTCTGGGTAAAGTCGTTGGGCTGGGTGCAAGGTCAACATCACAGCAGGCCGGCGCTCATGGAGAGGCCACGCAGACCCAGATCATGGTTCGTAAAGCCATGCGGCTGCTGCATGATGGCGTGACCTGGCTGCAGCAGGTGCGGCAGGCCGCCGGGGCCGGGGCTGGGGTTGGGGCTCGGCACTCCTTGAGCAGCAGCACCAGCGACAACACCACTAACGGCGGCGGCAGTAAGAAGAGCGCGGCAACTGTGCTTGCAGCAGGAGGGGTGGACACCACGGCCGCCACTTCTCAGCTGGCCAACATTCTGGCGTTTGCACTTGTCCGCTGGTTTCCCAACTGCTGCAGCGCCCTGGTCACTCAGCTGCTGGCGCTGATCAGGACAAGTGCGCAGTCGGCGGCGGAAGCAGAAGCGCGGAAGGTGGCCAGGTCTGCACGAGACGCCCTTCACCTGCTAGTCATCGTGTTTAGCATGCTGGCGGGTAGCGCAGCACCCGGAGTCTTTGAGCAACAGGAGGACGCTGTGTCGTGGCGGCAGCTGTTCCTGGACGCGCTTCCCCTCGGTAGCTTCCTGCTTTGCTTCACGACCTGTGTTGAAAGGGGCTGGCTTTCGGCTGCTGAGGTTGCTCCCGCCATGCGTGGCTTCCTGTGGCACTTGATGGCCCACTCCTCGGGTCATCTGGCTGACAGCCTGTGCGAGTCAGCCGGCGATGCTGGGTCGCCCAGTCCAGTGCTGGAGGGCCTGCTGGCGCTGTACACGGACGAAGGTGTGCTGCCAGACCTGGAGCTGGCGGGGTTGTTGGTGGCGGTGGGGGATGAGTGGGAGTTTGAGTTGGGGGGCGTGCTACTGGTATCGCAGCCAGCAGCGCTGCCGCTGCCGCCGCTGCGGCAGGTGCGCTCGCTGCTGCGGGTGTGCGACCACACCGGCTGTGACAACCTGCAGGGAGACAGCGAGCTGGGGGTTAAGCTGCAGCCTGGGAGGAGCGTTGGAGGCAAGAAGCGGCTGTGGTTCTGCTGCTTGGCTTGCGAGGAGAAGCACAAAACAGCGAAAACAGCGGCGCGAGGAGGGGTAAGGGCGCAGAGCAAGCAGCATGGCGGCTTGGGAGCGGTGCTCGGCGGGGTAAGCTTTGGCGTGCTGCTGCCTGAGTGGTAGTGGTAGTTCGGTGGCCGTAGTGTTGCTACTTACTAGGTTTACCCACCTTATTTGCATGACGGTGGTGACTGGTGAGGCAGCAGGGTGTAAAGGGTGCAGCTGATTCGTTTTTTGTAAGCTGCGTTGCAAAGTCACGCTGAACCTGGATCATGGGTGTATCTGGCGCTGAGTGGGTTGACGTAGGGAAGCGCGGGATGCACCGGATTGTGTGTGGCACCACGCAGCATGCAGTTGAAGTGTGTCGCACGCACAGGGAGGTCTTTAGATGTGAAGAGGCCTGGACTGCTACTGGGAGGAAGAGCGGGCATGCTTCTAGGTCGAGTCCTATTTGGTGCGTGCAGGATGGCGCACTGGCTTGTCAGCTTCAAAGATGTCAACGCGGCTGGCGTGCGCACCCCTTTATTAGCGGGTTCATGCCATTTTGGTCCACGCGGGTAGGCATGGTCTATGGTCGAGGGATCGGGTCAGGACTTGCAGAGTATGGAATCTCTTGAAGATAGCAGGAGTGGCCATTGAGCGCGAGTGCAAATACTTAAAGTTTATACCGGTATACTTTGGGACAGCGTTTCTATCTTACTTCGTTTTTTCGAAAAATTTCTGAAAATGGCACATTTCATAAGGCGGAAAATGACCAAAATCGTCAACGTTCTTTGAGCTTTTTCAGGGCCGGTAATCGTAGAGCCTCACGATGAAAGTTTGCCAAACATGCTCAAGATCGTGGGATCGACGCTCACATTTTTGCCTCACGGTCCGAAACCCGGAGCCGGAGGCACGCGCCGAGCCTGCCCAATTCAGTGGTTCCCAGCCTCCAATGGCACAGACAGGGCACAGATACCTGGTTTTGTGGGCTGAACCTTTTGTTGTTATGGTTATGGCTAGCTAGAGCGGCATAACGGGAACCTGGCTGAGCCAAACCATGCTAAAAGTTAGGAGGGATAGCTTGTGCATGGCAGGGTTTGGGCACATACACCGTACGAGTAACGGGAACATTGCACAACGCCCAACTAGGGAAAAACAAGTAAGGCAACTTGTTACCAACTTGCTGCACCCCTGACCACCCATATGTTAGCTGATGGGGTACATGGAACTTTTACGCCACACATGGCCAATGCACGTATACTGCTGCCCATACCTTTGCTTATTGTTCCTTCCAAACCAAAGCTGTGAAGTGATGAAGAGGTAGGGGGACACGTGTCAACACGCGTACATGGCAGTCCTGCATGCTGGAGGACCCCTGGGAGCAGAATGGTCCCAGGGGTCTTCTAAAGCGCAGACAGTGCAGTGGTGCAAAGGGCTGCATTGATATGGCTTCCCTTGCTTCGTTGTCGAGCACCGCAGAGGCCAAGACCAACCTGGTTCTTGGGGGAATACCTCTACTAGTCTTGGCTCGCAGTTACCAAGGGCGTCGTACATGCAAGAACTGCGACCATGACTTACACGACGGCAATGCCTATTAGCTTTTGTGTTCAACCTTATGTAATTGTTGTAGAGTGGTTAGCCTCTCCGGTTAACTCGCTGTGGGATTGCCAGTTGTACGGCAAGGGCAAGCCTCGCATGGCTATGTGGCTGCGTGAGACAGCCCAATGGCTAATGGCTTACATGGACTAACACAGACTATTGGTATTATTGCTATCTTGTAAGAGACAGTTATGATACGGCCGCCATTCACAGGTTAACAGGTTATGAGCCCCGGGCTCTACTGTGTTATCTCTCACCGACAAAGGGGCTAACTGAAGGAACTCAGGATCGGCCAAGTAGTTAGGAGAGATGGGAAGGTATGAGATTGTTCCCAAGTATGATGGGACAAATTGGAGGACGTTTGCTCGGAAGTATATCGATCTTCTGGCACAAGAGGATATCGCTGTGGATGTGCTGAGAGATGCTGAGTTTCCGAACGTGACAGTGTCGAAGAAGGCGCTGGGCTTTCTGCGCCGCAATGTGAGCAGGGATTTTGAGGAGGACGTCCAGGACTGCGAGACCGCCAAGGAGGCCTGGGACATCCTGCAGAAGCTCTACAACGACGCCATGAAGCTGCAGAGGCCGGAGCTAAAGAGGCGTTTCCGGCAGCTGCGATTCTGCAGCAAGGAAGACAAGGACATCGCCGGGTTCTTTGCCAGGGGGAAGGCACTGCGCAACCAGCTGAGGGACGCTGGAGTGGAGTTTACCGATACGGACCTGGCCGAGCAGATTCTGGCCGGGCTGCCGGCTGCGTTTGAGCCGATTGTGACGACCATCAACGCGATGATGGCCAAGGCGAGCGCAGAAGCTGAGGACGGCGAGGAGGAGGACTACAACTTGGAGGTCGTCAAGAAGCAGCTACAGACGCACGAGTCGATGATGAAGCAGTCGGCGGGCAACATGGAGCTCGTCAACGTCGCGCGGTTTGATCGGCCCAGAGGCCAGCCACGGACGTTCCCGGGACAGGTTCTGTTCAACGGGGTCTGCTTCCGGTGCGGGAAGAAGGGGCACAGGAAGATCGAGTGCCGGGCTAGCAAGGAGCAGGTGCAGCAGTTTAGGCAGCAGCAGGCTCAGGCGCAGCAGGGTGTTGAGGGGCAGATGCAGCAGCTGGCGGTGGGACAGCCGCAGGTGCTGCAGGTACCGCAGGCACAGCAGATGCAGGTGCTGCCGGTACAGCAGGTACCGCAGGCACAGCAGATGCAGGCGGTTCAGGCGCAGCAGCAGCAGCAGCAGGCGCAGCAGGGGAGGCAGCCGGGAAGGTTCCGTGACTACGCAGCGGTAGCGCACGAAGGGGGCTTGTTCAGCAAGTACCCGACCCTCGCTCCCTTCATCCTCGATTCGGGTGCCACGACCCACGTCACCAACAGCCTGGCGGACCTGCACGATTTCCAGTGGTCGTCCGGTGGCGAGATCAGCGGCCTGTATGGCACTAGCGGGAAAGTAGAGGGCTCGGGAACGGTGGTGTTGGTGTCGGGGGGGGTGCGGTTCAGCATCCACGACGTGCAGTACGTGCCGGGCGCTCAGGTGAAGGTGATCTCGGCTCTCGTGCTGGCGGACAAGGGCTATGAGTCGGCGGTGAAGAAAGGGGGACGGTCGGAGGTCAGCTACGACGGAGCGGTGGTGCTCACGGCGTCACGCAGGGAGGGCAGCCGACTGCACTACATTGACGCGGAACCCCTGTCGGTACTGGACGATGATATGCTGGCGGAGGCTATGGATACGGCGCTGCCCATCCTCGACCCGCTGTGCCTTTGGCACAGGCGGCTTGGTCACCTGTCGTATGGGGGCATGGAGAAGCTGGTGCGGGAGAATATGGTGGAGGGGCTGGACCTTTCGCTGAAGCAGTTCGCAGCGGCAGACAAGGTGTGCGAGCCGTGCATGCTGGGCAAGCAGCCAAGGGTTTCGTTCCAGTCCTCCAGTTCCACCACCTCCCGGCCTCTCGAGCTGATCCACATGGACGTGTGTGGGCCGTTTCCGGTGGAGTCGCTGAATGGGAACAGCTACATGGTGACGTTTTTGGATGACTACAGTGGTTACTCGCACTTGGAGTTTGTGCGGTTTAAGTCGGATGTGCCTGATGTGGTGAAGAAGGTGCTTGTCATGTTCGAGCGGCAGCTGGATCTGAATGTGAAGGCAGTGCGGACGGATCGGGGGCGTGAGTACGTCAACCGGAAGCTGGGCGAGTGGTTCGAGTTCAACGGCATCGATCACGAGAAGACAGCGCCGTACACGCCGGAGCAGAACGGCAAGGCGGAGCGTCTGAACAGGTCGATTTTGGAGAAGGTGCGACCGATGCTGATCGACGCCGGCCTGAAGTCCTCGCTCTGGGAGGAGGCAGCTACGTATGCGTCAGACGTGAGGAACACGTCTCCGTACCGCAACCATCCCACTACTCCGTACGAACGCCTCTCGGGCAATAAGCCGGACGTTTCCAGCCTGCGGGTGTTTGGGGCGAAGGCGTACGTGCACGTGCCTAAGCAGCAGCGGAGCAAGCTGGATGATGTGGCAGTGAAGGGGGTGTTTGTGGGGCTGGAGCCAAAGGGACGGCAGTTTCGGGTGTTGGTGGGTGGAAAGATTGTGGTGAGCAGCAGCGTTACGTTTGACGAGCGGCTGCCTCAGGCGGACTCTACCGTGGGAGGATCGAGCAGCACTAGTGACGACAGCTGGGGTTTGCTGCTGTCTCCAGCCAATGTCGACTATGACGTCGGCAGTGGCAGCAGCAGTGGCGGTGGTGCCGGCAGTGGCAGCAGCAGTGGCGGTGGTGCCGGCAGTGGCAGCAGCAGTGGCGGTGGTGCCGGCAGTGGCAGTGGCAGTGGTGGTGGTGCTGGTAGCGGCGGCAGTGGAGGTAATGCCAGCAGCGGTAGCGTGGGAGGCACCCACAGTGGCAGTGGTGGTGCTCTTGGCAACGACAGCGGGGGAGGCGCAGGCAGTGGTAGTGGCAACGGTAATGGCAGTGGAGATGGTGAGGAGTCGGACGACTCTGGGCGGAGTGCGGCAGCTACGGCAGAGTCTTCTGAAAGTGCCGCCAGCAGTTTCAAAAGCTTGGCTGGCGGCAATGAGGATGGTGGGGGTGGTGCAGGCGGCGGCGGACGTGCACGCCACCCTCCGAAGTGGATGACGAGCGGTCAATACGTGGTAACGGCAGTGGAGAACGCCAAGGATCAGTTTACCGATAAGGAGGCGCGTAGTGGACCCTATGCAGCGGAGTTCGAGGGGGCGAAGCAGGCGGAGATTGCGAGCCTGCACGCCAATGGTACGTGGAGGCTGGAGAAGCCACCGGCAGGGGCTAGGGTACTGCCGGTGAGATGGGTTCTCACGATCAAGCGCCGGGCAGATAACAGCATTGAGAGGTTCAAGGCGCGGTTGGTTGTTAAGGGCTACATGCAGCGTGAGGGTATTGACTTCAACGAGGTCTTTGCCCCAACCGGCAAGCAGTCGACCCTACGGGCTTTGCTGGCGAAGGTGGCGGCTGAGGGCTTGCAGCTGCATCACGTAGACATCAAGACCGCTTTCCTAAACGGTGAGCTGGAGGAGGAGGTCTACACTGATCAGCCGCCGGGGTTTGAGAATGGGGACAGCAGCCTCAAGTGCCGCCTGCAGAAGTCTCTGTACGGGCTGAAGCAGGCGCCGCGGGCTTGGCACATTAAGCTGAAGTCCGTGCTGGAGGCGCACGGTTTCCAGGAGTCGGAGGCAGATGCGGGGTTGTACGTGCGACGAGGCAGCGGGGGAGGAGCTGAGGTGTGGCTGCTCGTGCACGTAGACGACATGCTCATCTCAGCAAAGCTGCTGGAGCAGGTGGAGCTGGTCAAGCAGCTTTGCTGAGATGAGCATGTCGTCTACGTGCACGAGCAGCCACACCTCAGCTCCTCCCCCGCTGCCTCGTCGCACGTACAACCCCGCATCTGCCTCCGACTCCTGGAAACCGTGCGCCTCCAGCACGGACTTCAGCTTAATGTGGCTGCTCGTGCACGTAGACGACATGCTCATCTCAGCAAAGCTGCTGGAGCAGGTGGAGCTGGTCAAGCAGCTGCTGGGGGAGGTGTTCGAGGTTCACGACCTGGGGGAGGCATCGTTTTTCCTGGGCATGGAGCTGCAGCGGGGCGGCGGGAAGCTGAGGCTAACGCAGCAGCGACAGACGTGGGAGCTGGTGAAGCGGTACGGCCTCGCACACGCCAAGACGCGGTCCGTGCCACTGGATCCGTGCACCAAGCTGGAGCGTGCGAAGGACGGCGAGGAGCTGCTGGACAAGTCGCGCGGCTACAGCGAGGTTGTGGGCAGCCTGATGTATCTGGCCGTCAACACTAGGCCGGATATCGCACAAGCCGTGGGAGCACTGGCGCGCCACATGGCGAAGCCGACGGAGCAGCACTGGGAGGCGGCCATGGGCGTGCTGCGCTACCTGGCAAGTACGGCGGATTACGGGCTGTGTTTCGGGGGCGGAAAGATGGAGGTTGAGGGGTTTTGCGATGCGGATTACGCAGGGGATGTTGACACGCGTAGGTCGACGACCGGCTATGTGTTCACGCTTAACGGCGCGGCCATTAGCTGGTCGAGCAAGCTGCAGCCAACGGTGGCGGTCTCCACCCTGGAGGCCGAGTACATGGCTGCGGCGCAGGCCACGAAGGAGGCGTTGTGGCTGCGCAAGTTGATGGGCGATCTGGGGATGGAGAAGAAGTGCATGCAGATCTGGGGCGACAACCAGGGGGCGCTGAGCCAGATTAAGCACCCCATAGTGTCGGAGCGGTCGAAGCACATTGACGTGCAGTATCACTTCGTGCGGGAGCGGGTGCGGTACCAGGAGGTGAAGTTCGATTACTGCTCGACGGAGAGCATGCTGGCGGATGCGTTCACGAAGCCGCTGGCCAAGGTCAAGTTCGAGCAGTGCCGGAAGGGCATGGGAGTGAGCAAGAGGCCGCAGGTCTAAGGGGTTGTCTGCGGAGAAGACTGCAGTGTACTGAGGGTTTGTTAAGTGGAAGGAACTGCAGCGTTATGAGGAAGTTATCAGTGTTCCTTTGGGTTTGAGGAAGAGTTGGGAGTTTTCGTTATCAGTGGAACCTTTTTGGGTTAGGAGTTTGCTTTGCTTTTGGTTCCATAGTTTGTTGTGGGTTAAGTGAGCTAAGGACAACAACAGTGAGTTATCCGCGTGGGAGTGTTGTAGAGTGGTTAGCCTCTCCGGTTAACTCGCTGTGGGATTGCCAGTTGTACGGCAAGGGCAAGCCTCGCATGGCTATGTGGCTGCGTGAGACAGCCCAATGGCTAATGGCTTACATGGACTAACACAGACTATTGGTATTATTGCTATCTTGTAAGAGACAGTTATGATACGGCCGCCATTCACAGGTTAACAGTAATAAGCTTGTTCATTACAACATTAGTTTGCAACTGCGAGCACAGACTCGCCTTACTTGTGGTTTGGCGGGAACATTTATGTTAAGCGATTTGCATGCGACTTGGAATTCCGAAGCAAACAAGCAATGTTTAAGAAGCTCCGTATAAAGGCTGGGCTGAAATGTGGATGTATGCGTCTTTCAGGTGGGCAAGCGCTGAATGCTGTGAGCGTTACAACAACGCCCAGAACGCGTGTCTTAATCGACGCCGCGCCAAGTGTAAAAGCATGCAATGCTTACAACAATCGGCTGTCGCCCCTGCTGCCAGGCTGCCTTGTAAGGAAAAGCGGTGGCGGACCCTAGCATGATAACCGTGGTGGTGCGGGTTGCAATTACCGTTGGGGTTAGCTAGCAGCAGCCGGGATCCGTCATGGCAAAGGTAAGTGGGGTGATGAGGGGGAAGGTCTTTCCACTTCTAGTGGCTGGAGGCACACTACCACCGCACAAGTAACCACCGTGGGCGCGTGAGTAGGTCGGGGGGGAGACCCTTCCCCCAAGAGAGCAAAAGGGTTACGGCTAGCAGAAGCGCTGCGCTACACTTTAGGGTACGGGCACGTCGTGAATTGGGCCCTTCCATTAGGCTGCTGTACTACCGCTGGTCAAGGCACGAAAATCTAGCAGCCCCTTTTCGAAAACGGTTTTCGAAAAAATAGGCCCTTGGGAGGCCCCGGATCGTACACGAAAAATTTCAGGGGTCGAACGTGAGGGCTGTCGAAAAGATTGGGCCTAAAACGTCACTTATCGTGGGGTTCCACGATCGCCCTGGAGGGAAGATAGAAACACTGCTTTGGGACGAACATTCTTTATGTGATCCATTCTAGTAGTATCTAATTCATGTGCTGTATATATAGTGACAAGCCGTGTCCGGTGTGCACTGCGGCGCTCATGGCAGCTAGCTAGCGGGGCCGCTAGGGGGCGGTTGCCTGCATGCTGCTGGTTTCTCACGCTGCCGGAGGGGGCAGAGTTAGTGGCAGTAGGTTGGCACTTACGACTGCAGCTAGCATGCATCTAGAAGTTGTACTGCACTGGTTAGCGACGTCCCTGTTGTGTTAAGTGTACCTACGTATAGCCGCGTATAGCGGGATGCAAATACGCCATGAGTGGAAGAGGGATGTACTTTGCGGATGTAGGGGTGAATGATTCAGGTCACACATAGGATGGGAGGCAAACGTTTGCCTAGCAGACCCGTGGGTCATGAAAGGTGAAGCCGGTCTGGGTTGTGTTCGGTACGATGTTGGCGTACTGGTTGGTCTGTGTGAGATTACGCGGTTGGCTGGCGTAGCACACTTCTTCGATGGCAAGTTTGTGCCAGTTTCCGGTATAGTGGCCAGTTTTGTTCATGTGTCGGTGGGCATGCACGGTCCAGTGTAGAGGCATGGTATGCGGGTGATGAGGACGTGGGCTCATGCTTGGCAAGGTTTAGAGTAGTTTTGTTGCGTGGAATGTCACAACTGGCGAGTGAGTGATTGGGGGAGGACTTGAGGAGTACATGGCGTGGTGGCCTCTGGCCTTCATGCTAACACATGCACATATGCTCTTAACGTTAGCCCTTCGTGTGTATGTTAGCGTGGCTGAATAGAGATGCTGGAAATTACAAAAAGTGCGCAACCCACTCGCGTGCTGTAGTCAATATGCTTCATGTGTACAGAGCCAGGTTTGTGCAGTTCGGTGCAGGTAGCAGGGTGCCGCCGGATACTAGGCAGAAACACTGTGGGGCGGCCGAGACCGTGTAAGGGGCGGCAAAGTAGGGAGCCACTAGGAGGATAGATGCGTGACAGATAGTCGTACGGGGGTTGTGAGCAGCTATGAGTGGTACGGCATTGGTTGGTTAGCATCCTTAACTATTTGGTACGCCTAGCGGTGTCCAGGGGTGCTACGCTTTTTATTTTTAGGGGAGTCCACCCTTTGTGGACATTAGGCTATGTACCGGTATGGTTTTTTCACTTCACCGCAGGATAGGAGGAGCCTGGGGGTCCCGAACGATGAAGACGGTCTTGGTCTGGTGGATTGCTGCCGGGAAGTAGGTGGGCATGCATTGCAGACGAGGATGAAAGCAGTGAGTCCGCAATTGTACAGCCTGCTCGGCTGTTCGGTAAACCTCCCGCACGGATCTCTCCATTCCTCAACTCCCTAGCACTCTTAGCTAGCTCAGCTACATCTGACTACATCTATCCAAGCGCACCCGAGCACCCCAGCAGGAATGCTCGCCAGTTGTGAGAAGTGCAACAGTGCCCGATGCGGTGCGCTCCGCAGCGAACGGCCTCCGGGCCTCCCCTCCCCCCTCCCGCCAGCACTGCCACCCTTGCTGCGTGTCTGCCGTACACGCACACATATCGGTACTACTACAACTGAAGTCGTCTACCTGTTCAACAACCATCAACCAGCCCAACAGCCGCTATCAGCTGCCGCCCCCCCGCCTCCAAGGTCAAGGTGATCATACGAGAGCCGCACACTAACACGCAACATGCCAGGTACATAGCCAACGCCAGTGCGCAGCAGCCCGCGCTAACACACAACACACCGCACCCGTACCGACTTCCTGTTCTCTGCGCCTCGCACCTACATCCGCAACTGCCGCTTCCATCGTATCCCCCTCCCTCAGCAAATCCTCCTTCCCTCCCTCCCTCGTCAAATCCGCTGCCGCTTTCGGAACGCCGGCGTCTCATCCCCCCGCCCTCCCAAACCTCCCGCACCGCCCCCCTCTCCCCCCGCGTCTTTCGGCTTCTTAGCGAATGCGCCCGCGTGCTCGTGTCCCTTGTCCACAAGCAGTCGCTCGATCTTGCGCAGCTGGCCGTCCAGCTTCTGGTCGCGCTGCCGCTGCTCCGTCACGGCGCCCTGCAAAGGGGGGGAAGGGGGGGGGAGGGGGAGGCGGGAGGGAGGGGGAGATGAGACATTTGGTGCGACCTTTGATGCCGTGTGGGTGGGTGCGTGGGCGGGGGCTCGCGCTGCATAGGAATATGGTGGCAACATCCGCTCCCCTACCCACCCCTCTTCCCCACCCCAACCCACCCCCACCAAACGCAGTGTTCTTCCTCTTCCCCTCCCCTCCCTCCCTCTCGTCATACAGCTCCCCCCACCTCCCTCCCCCCTCCCCTCCCTCCCTCTAGTCATACAGCTCCCCCCACCTCCCTCCCCCCTTCCCCCCACCTTCTCCAGCTCCTTGTGGCTCTTGCGCCCGTCCGCCCGCTTGACGCCGTACTGGAAGGCCGCGCGGGGCAGGCTCTCGCGGGACTGCTTGTGACGCTGCCACTCCTCGTCGGTGGCGAAGTCGGCCCTGGGGGGGACGGGGGAGGGGAGGCGCGATAAGGAGGAAGGCATAGGAGGGGAGAGGGGAAGCAAATACCCCATACCCATCCCTTCCCCCATCCTCCCTCACCCCCATCATGACGCCTTATCACACGGTCTGTTGCTTGCTTCCTCCCCCCCCCCCTCCCTCCCCCCTCCCTTCCCCCCCCTCCCCCCCCTCTCGCACGTCTCCCTAGTGTTACCACGCAAGGCGGCTTCTCCCTCAAGTCGTCTCGGTTTACGGTAAGCAACGCTTCAGTAAGTAATTTGAGATGCGTTTCTTTAGAATAGTGTCTCCGAATGCACTCACTGCATGAGTCGGGATATGGGATTGGGACTTAGTTGTTTGCATTTCTTATATAATTTTCCCCCCTCTCCCCCCCTCCCCCCTACCTGGTCTTCCCCCTGCCCGCCTGCTTGCTGTCCATGTGCTCCAGCGGCCCGCCGCCCTCCTCGTCCGAGTCCACCAGCGCTCCCACGAAGCCAGCCATGCCCGGGTAGCACTCCGCGTAGGCGTCGTCGTCGGCATCACCGTCGTCCAGCGCGCGGGACTTGGGGTCCTGGCAAGAGGGGGGTGTTTGGCGGAGCGGGAGAGATGGTGGTGGTGGTACGGCACTCTAGGACGTGTCATCCCCTCCCCTCCCCTCCCCTCCCCCCCACCTTGGTTCTGCTGCGCCACTTGGGCTCCTCGGAGGTGCCGTACGCGTTGGGGAGGGGGGCAGCGGCGGCCTGCAGCGGGGGGGGGAGCGGAGGGGCGGGGGATTGAAGAGTCATAGGGATTGCTGGATGCGCCGTGGCAAGGTACGGATGAGGAACAAAGAGGGTACCGTGTCAAAAGGGCCCAGGGAGGACGCCCCCAGCAGGGGGAGGAGGAGGGGAAGGAGGAAGCGGAGGAAGCGGACGCAGCAGAGGGCTCTTCCCAGGGAGTTGAACGGCAAAAGGCGGTACGGATAGGCGCCCTCGGGGAACTGGGCACAGCCGCAACCAACCAACTAACTAACTAACTAACCAACCCACCAACCAACCGATCCAGCATGTAATACGACTTCACAACAGCAGGCAAGGCAACACGATCCTTACGATGATCCAAAGTATTCCCTCAACAGGATCCCCCACACCACCACCACCACATCACCACCCACCTGCCCCGGGTATTGCACCCCAGCTGCGCCGTACTGAGTCATGTCGTACATCCCAGCAGCCGCACCGTAACCACCAACCGCCGCCATGCCGCTCGGATCGTACCCGTACGGCTGCTGTACGACAGCCCCGTACTGCCCTTGGTCGTACATACCACCGTACTGCACAGCTGCCGCATCCGGGTATTGTTGTACGACAGCGGCTGCTGCTGCTCCTCCGTACCCCGGCATCATGACCCCACCCGTTTGAGGGGGCAGCGGCGGGGGTGGCGGAGGTGGTGGAGGAGGTGCCGCCATCTCCCCCTCCTCCAGATCCATGTCGTCCCCCCCGCCCCCGCCCGCAGCCTCGGTGCCTCCTCCTGCAGCCCCCGCCCCCGCCGTACGGCGTATGCTGGTCCCCGGCATGGGTATGTCGGCCATGGTGTCCTGCGTGTCGAAGTAGGAGCCGTCGGGGCGCCTGGGGGGGGGGGAGGGAGGGGGGGGGAGAGGGGGGGGCGGTGAGGAGGGAGAGACCCCATTGTGAGATGGCTACTATTAGCAGCAGCAGCAGCGAAACGAGGGCGTAGAAGCGTCGTCCACTGCCCAGCCGAGTGCCCTCGCTTGTCACCTCCCTCCACTCGCCACACAGCACCGCACCTCCTGCACCCTGACTGCCGGTATACACCGGTATACACCCCTACCCAGAGCCTAATTCCTTCCCCCAGCCTCCTACCCGCATTCTTTCCTCTTTTAGCCCCCCGCCCCCCGCCCCCCCACCCACCTGCCCGCCGCCTGCTGGTCCTTCTTCCCCGCCGCCCCCTCCCCTGCCTTGCCCCCCGCCTTGCTGCTGGTGGGCTTGTAGTCGCTGCCCGCATCGCCAAAGATGTCATCATCCTCGTCCACCGGGGGGCGCCCGCCGCCGCCGCCAGCAGCAGCACGACCTGCTGCTGCCGCTGCTGCTGCTCCTCCCGCGGCTGCTGTTGCCGCCGCCCCGCCGGCTTGCGACCCGTCGGCGCCTTCTTGCTTGATGCCCTGTTGCGGATTGCGGGGAGGGGGGAGCAGGAAGGGTGGGAGGGGAGGAATTGGGGTAAAGGCAAGGGGACACCGCCGGCGTAAAAACGCTCCTGTGCCAGAGTAACGTAGTAGGACAGCAAGGTTGCAACCATGCTTTGGGAACCAAAGTACGAGGTTTGGGTTTTATAGATTCTATTATCAACAATTCCATGCACTCTACGCTGGCTAAAACTCCAACGCTCAAACTGCCAAAAAGACATCGGACAGAGCCCAAGACCAAGCCCCCTCTTCGCTCCCCTTTCTAACACCCCTCCCCCTTAAATCCCCACCCCCTTCCTCCCTCCCTCCTCCCCTCCTACCAGCAGTGCATCTCGGTCCCTGCGCTTCAGCCGCTTGCCGTCGGCTGTCGTACGAACGTACGACAGGATGCGAGCGATGCGGTCCAGTACGGCATTGTCCACCCCCGCAAACAGCGTCTCAGCTACCTGTGGGGAGGGGAGCGGGGAAGCACGAGGGGGTAAAAGTTAGGAAAATCGACGAACTGTATGGCGAGGCTGCACCGTAAGGGAGCGGGGAGCAGGGGCCGGGGGTCAGTCGTACACAGCCATACTCACATCAGAGGATGTACGAGTATGATGTACGAGGGGGGGCAAACCGCACCCATCCGCACCCATCCTGGTTCCGGGGGGTTTCGGGACATCCACCGCGTCCGCAGCCTGCTTGGGGCTCTCGCGTGCAGGACCCCCCTCTCCCACCCCTACTACCAGTGCTCAATTAATGCCTCAGGTATGAAGGGTGCCAAACCGTGGTGCGAACGAGCCACACAGGCGGGCGGGGTTCGTGATGGCTGCATGCGTCCCCCCTCCCACCCCTCACTCCCCCACACCCCTGTGGTTTGGTATAACACCCTCCCACCCTCCCACCCCACCAGCCCACCAGCCCACCAGCCCACCAGCCCTCACCGGCGGGCACTCGCTCTTGGGTCGCCTTAGCGTGGTGGGAATGTCGGTGTCCAGGGAGTCCTCGTTATCAAAGTCGTACACGAATGCCGTACGACGGGGGAGGTACATCTCCCGTACATTCCCCCGCGGCGGTACGAACAGCGTGCTAAACACCGACCGCGCGAGGGGGGTGGTGAAGCGAACCTCCTCCTTGCGACCCGCCGCGGCGGCGGCATTGGCGGCGGCGGCGGCGCGCGCCTGAGCGTCGCGGGAGGCGTTGCTGCTGCTGCGACCGCCCGGCTTCCCTCCTCCCACCTCCTCATCTTCCTCGTCCTCGTCTTCGTCAGGTCCGTCCTTCTTGCGAGTGATCTCGGAGCGGGTCTGTGGGGGGCCGGGGGGCAGGGGAGGGGGCGGATACCGGTAAGTGGAGGGTGAAGGGAGGAGGGAGAGAATGGGCAAGCCCGCCAATCCATGCCAGGGCTGGGGATGGGGCTGGGGAGAATGGAAGAACGGTGAGAGAAGAGCTGCGGCGTTGGAAGGGTGCTCCCCTATTCAGGCGCATTCCCCCTAAACCCGCCCGCCCTCTTTCTCCTCCCTCCATCCATCCCTTATATGGGATTTGGACTCCGTTGCTTCACCTTTTCATTCATTTTCCCTCCCTCCCTCCCTCCCTCCCTCGCAACAGTGATACCCCTCTGTATGTGCACCCCGGATGCTGCCTCCATAGGGCCCCTTACCACACGGTTCGTTAGTCGTTACCTCCGTACCCCACCTCACCCCCCGGGTGCTGCCCCCCCTCCCCCCTACCTTGTGCAGCAGCGCGTAGTCCAGACCCTTCACCAGATGCGTGAACCGCATGTCACCGCCCAGGTACTTGGTCTCCTCCTCACTCAGCTTAGACAGGTCCACGTCACCCGGACCGCCGCCGCCCCCCAGCTCCGCACCTCCACCACCTCCTGCCCCTCCTCCGCCGCCTCCGGCTAGGGCGGCCAGGACGGCGGAGGCGTCTTCGTAGTCGACGTTCTTGCCGCGACGTCGCTCCTCGGCGCGATCTCTGTGTTGGTGGTAGGGGAGCGGGCGGGAGGAGGGAAGGGAAGGGGAGGGAGTCACAGGAGAGGAGGAGCAGGAGGAGACACACGGGTGCGACTGCTGCTCAACACCACGAGGAGAGGGCGCGGGTTCGCGCGTTGGGCCCGGCTAGTGCGACTTTCGCTGACGTCACCACGTCGCGCAGATGGTCCTTGGGCCGCTCGCGATGTCTACCCCATGCCCCGCTGCCTCCTGGAGAAAGAGCGCACCTGTATTTCGGACCTCCATCGTCCTCATCGTCCTCTGGCTTGCCCTTATCCGCGGGCTTCTTGAATCCAGGCTTGCCATGCGGACGATGGGGCTTGTGCTCACCCGCCTGCTTTTCCTTGCGGACCGCTTGCGGCTTATTGTTACTAGGTGTCTGATTTCCCCATCGCTCCGCTCGGGGAGTCTCCAGCAACTTGCGAAAGTCCGAGTTGTCCATGGCGCACAGTTACTGAACGCTTAACATGCCAGGTAAACCTTAGTGATCCTTGCCTACTAAAGTGCAATACAACTAGCTAGATTGGCCAATGGCACGCAGACAGTTTGTCCGTGTTTCCCTGCAAGCGACTAACGTATACCACTTTATGCTTCACAGGCGATTAATGGATTGATGAAAGTTATGGTTAGTAGATGGGTGAAACGGTTTGTGCTGCTGACAAGTCGGTACATAGTACGGCTAACTGTTGTTCACCTGAGCCCAATCTCACGACCTCCAATAGAATTGGACACCTAGACCATCTGCACTAGTTCAATTGACATCACCTACAAGCCCGTTTTCTCTATTACCATAATTGTGGTGAATCTCTCGGCGGCTGGTGGTTCGACCCAAAAGCGCAGTTATGTCGACAATTGCCGGTTCCACAACATCGGCCTTGCGATCATGGGAAGCTAAGAAACCAAAATCAACAGCAGCAAGCGTCGCGCTAGGGCTGGTGCAGCAGTACGCCGTGCCGCTTGCTGTTCTTGGCTTCTTTGTTCGCCGTTACCTCAAAAGCCGGAAGCAAGCAGCTAAAAAGCCCGATGCAGCTGCTAAGGGCACAGCGGCTGCGCAATCCGCATCAGCCCGCAAGCCGCGACGGGAATACAAGGTGAAGCGCGACCAGGAACCGCAACCCCTGCTTGTGGGTGAGGACGACGAGGAGGTGGAGGTGCAGCCGCACGACAACGTTATGGAGGCTTACAGCGAGACGGAGGTGGAGAAGGCGGGCGCGGCAGCTAGCGGCCCGGCGGGTGGCAACAACACCGCCATGTTGCAGATGTTGCAGCAGATGGGCTATCGGATCGTCATGCCCAAGGACGGCAGCGGACAAGTATTCCTAGTTCCGCCAGGTGCCGCTGGACCCGGGGGGCAAGCAATTGAGGAAGGTATGTCGGGTGGGCTTGGGTAAGAGGTTGAATGGATGGATGGTTGGGGTGGATGTTGATGGGAGTTCGCGAGAGACGGCTATTGTGCCCGAATCTGTGCCTGAAACTGTGCTCATACGTTCATAGTCTGGGTCTGCACTTACTAGGTCTTACCGGCATTTGGCAGTCGAAGGCAGAATGTTGGGGTAGAAATGAGCTGTTGGTGCGAAGGATGTCAAGATACGCACGTTGTGTACGGGGTCCGTCAGGGTGTGTCTTGTGACAGGGGTGGCAGTTTCCCGTTACAGCACTAGGCTGGCTAGCTCAGCTGCCTCTAGGGCCGTACCTACCGCTAGCGGGGACCTTCGGCTGCAGGTCTCCGGTCAAAGGGTGGCTAGGGGCTCTTGAAGTAGTTGCCGGCAGGTGAGTATACAGGTTGTGGATCACAAGGCGTGCAAGCAGCTCTGCGTGTATTAGGATGGGGGCGTCACGGGTGGTTGCAATCGGTCGTGCGGCTAATGCCTCGTAGCGCGGAACTTGCGGACTGACAACCAAGCGTTAAGCTGCCCGCAGCTTTCCAAGTAGCCGTGATCCGATGTTGTTCTACATTGGGTCCCACTTCTCGATGTTGTCACAAGCAACCCCATCCCCACCATTTGACACCTGCACCTGCAAATGCTCCTCAGTCGCTCCTTTGCGACCTCTTCCCTCCAAAGTCACTGAGCCGTGCACTGCCGTACAATTGCCCTCCCAGGTGATGAGGAGGGATACGACGAGGACGAGGAGGGGTACGAGGAGGGCGATGAGGAGGAGGAGGACGAGTGAGGAAAGCGGGAAGAAGAGGAGGAGGAGGGGGGTCTGGAAGGTCCCTGACGAGGGCGTTTGTTGGATGTTGAACCTCCGCAAACCCTCTTTAACGGGTTGATGGCACGGCACGGGTTGCATTCGGCGTTCCAGATGTTGATGTGATGCCCGGAGGCCGGATGGCGGTGGCTTGTCACGTTATCAACTGCTTACGGAAAACACTTATGTTGCTCGCTAACTCCAGTACAGTACGTCCCGACACGCGGCCAGGTTTCTTGCCACAGCAGACAAGCCTTGTCTTGCGCTGTTGGGTTTCGGGGATGCATGGTGGCAGGCATGGTGGCATGGTGGCGTAGGGATGCAAATATGCGGTGCGTGTAGGCAGGCAGCGGCAGCCCCTTCCATGTGACCGACTATTACGTGGACGTTACGAACCGCGGGACGCTAGTTGTTGCCGGTTTTGGGATCCAAATGCGCCCTTTTTTTAGCAGCTGCAGCAGCAGCAGCAGCCCTCGGGGTTTTCTCCTTGTTAAACTAAGACATAGCTAGGTGCCTGGCCACCTGGAGGGGAACCTCGTCCCCTGATGAGGGTTGGGAGGAGGACTCTCGGCTGGCTGGCTGGCTGGGTTTCCTGCGGGAGGGCGAGCCTTTAGCAGCGCTTTGGGGCTTGGATGTCGCTTGGAAGAAGATGCGGGTGAGGGTAGGGCCCATGGGTCACACAGCCTTGCGGTAGCTCCCGGGCTCGTTTGACGATATCTACATATCTCTTGCCGATTCTCAGTATGCATGCGGTGGTGGTTGTGATGACTGATGACGACCGGGTGCTGTGTGACTTTGGGAGGAGGTCTGGCGTGGCAGTGTAGCACGAGCGAGCGAGTGGGGAGTGCGAATCGTAACCGTACGAATGCGCTTGCACGACGGGTTGGAAACGTTGCCTACCTTTTTGGGGGGGCAGAGCTTGAGGAGTAACGCTGTGACCCATGGGTCTCACTGGGCCTTGGTGTTGCCGGCAATGTTGTGTCTGGTGGTCCCTCATCGCTCACGTGGCCTGAGAGGTAGATAAATCCGTCACAGTGCGTGTCCTGTGCAGTTTTCCACGTGTGCATGGGAGTCCTACTGTGCCTCATGGCCGGAAGATGATGAGCGAAAGGGTGCGTGCCGTGTTTCGCCGCTGGCTGTATGGGCTGACCTGGCTTGTCCTCTACATTGGATGGGTTTCTTTCTTTACAGTCAGCATGGCGTGTCCGATGCTGGAAGCCCCAACCAAGTCCACGAAGAATGCACGGCTAGGTTGCCAGCATCACGCCATCTGCCGTACAACACACAAGTGACAAACAGCCGGTAATCCGAGTGACGAAAATGAACACTTTAAACAACTGCAAGGTCTGTCGCTGTGATGCCAACATTCCCTTTAAACCTACAAGCACGCTGTGTATGTGTGTGCACATGGAAACCCCAAACATCCGCTCACATACTTACCTTCTGCACCAATGCGCTTTCCTTCTTCTTCTTCTCCTTGCAAACAACCAAAACACTATCTACGCCAAGAGGCCCTTGTTTCCTCGCTAGCTTTGTTATATGTACCTCTGATCAATGCCCCCTACCACACACGACACACACGCCCCTTCCAGCCGGGCAACATGTCTTTTGCTGCCTCAACCCAGCAAGCAATAACGAGCTCCGAAACCCTCCCCTCAAGGGGACAAACCAACAACCGACTACACCACCGACCACAAACCAAAATCGACACAAGCGAACTGACAAAGATGTCCACACAAACAAACCCCTGTCGCCACGTAGCTTGAGTGGTAAGCCACCTCAGCCCACTCACGGCCTCCACCCCCCATCCGCATATAACCTCTGACCATGACCGCAGCGCGCAATCCTCTCCTCATCACAGCCACCGCCTGAAACACAACCCCGAGCCACGAAGCGCGCCAAGAACAGCTCGCGCCCCCTCTGTGTGCACCCGTGACAGGACGGCATACGACACGTCTGTTGAAGACGACACGGCGGGAATCACACCTCCTTCCTTTCGCCTCCCGCGGGGACTCCGTGGGAGGGCGCTCCGATGCAACTCCGAGCGCACCATAGCGATACCACAGCGCACACACCCACACACGCGCGCGCGCCACTGATGGATCCCCTGCTCCGCCGTTCCACCATCCATTCGTGCCAACAGCTACTACAGACCCACCACATCCCAACCGCCCCATTTCGATAATCTTGATAAGCTTTCTTCTCTTCCTCCTCCTCCTCCTCCTCCTCTCCGCCCATGCCCCCCCGCTGCCGCTCACTCCGCCTTGGCCAGCCGCTCCTTCCGCGCCGCCTCGCGCTGCACGTAGCTGCGCAGCCGCGTCATGGGCGACAGCAGCAGCAGCGCCAGTGCACATGCGCCCACCAGCGTGGCGAAGTAGGCGTTCCAGCCGTACTCCTTGACGATGATGGACAGCGGGATGCCTGGGAGGGGGGGGGAGGGGGGGGGGAGAGGGGGTTAGGGGGGATTACCGGCATCAGCACCGCGCGACATGAGATGCTTTAATGCACCTTTAGGCCGCCTCCAGTAATTCCCATCCCCACACCTGTATCCTGCTCCCCCGCCTCCATTCTGAGATCCTGTCCCCCCAAACTCCCCCTGTATACAGCCATCAACCCCATACATGTAATCTCCCCGCCCTCCTCCTCCTCCCCCCCCCCACTCACCCGCATTGGCCGCCCCCAGGTACGCGATCCAGCCCAGGAACCCCTCGCTGGCGCCCACGCTGTCCGGCCCCACCAGCTCCGCGCCGCACAGCCCGATCAGCATCTGCGGGCCGTACAGGAAGAAGCCGATCATGAAGACGTTGGCCCACTGCAGCGCCGCGGGCACGGAGGCGGGCAGCGCCTGGAAGGACAGCAGCGCCGCCGCGATGCCGACGGTGTACCACATGACAACCTGAAGAGGGGGGGAGCGGGGAGGGAAGAGGGTCGGAGATACATTTTAAGCCACAGGAAGATTGTTAGGGGAGCGGGGGAATGTGTGGCAACATGTCGTCAAGCCGCAACACAGCAAGCCAACACACCACAAGTGGCGTAGTTCCCACACCCGCCAAGCTTTCGCCTCCTGTCCCCTCACCCCTGGCCCCTCCACTCACCCCCTCACCCCCCCCCCTCCCCCTCACCGTGACTCGCTTGCCCACGTTGCCTCCCTTGCCCTTAGCTCCCGCAATCAGACCGTCCGACAGCCGCCCCGCCACCAGGCTGCCCACCAGCCCACCCAGCTCAAGACCCGACACACGCACGGCAGCCTGGGAGGGGGGGGAGAGGGAGGGGAGGGGGGGGAGAGGGGGGGGAGGGGGGGGGGAGGGGGGGGGGGGGAGGGGGGGGGGGGAGTAGCCAGGTAAGCGAGCGGCGAAGTAAGGTAAGCATGGTATACGCATGGAAATATGCATGGGTATCACACACGCATGGAAAGAGGAGGCCAGTTTGCACTGCAATGGATGGCCTTTGTGGACTGCACGTGCAGGGCGAGGGGACATGAGTCGGTGCATGGGACCGTGCTTTACTTCTCATTTCCTCCCCCCCCCCCCACCCACACACCTCTGAACTCCTCTCCATCCCCCCCACCCACACACCTGCGCCGCGTCCTCAATGCCCTTCTCCTTGATCAGGTAGAACACGAACCAGGAGGTAACTCCCTGGGGGGGGAGGGGGGGAAGGGGGTTTGGGGGGTTAGATAAACTGGGTTTGGGGGAACAATGAAGGACAATGCGTTAAGCGACAGAGTGGGGCAGGGGGGGGGCAGGGGCCAGGGAGGAGGAGGTTCCGAGGTGCGTTCGGAGCGGGTGGATGACCGCGGGGGGTGTCCAAGAGAGCCAACCAGTGCCGACGTACCCAGCGCCCCCCCCACTAGCCCCCGGCTGCCGCTTCCCCTCTCCCTACTGTCTCTCGCCCTCCCTCCCGCTTTGGCCCTTCTCAACCCTAACCCCCCTTTGGGTTGGTCTTGCTTCCCCCCTCCTCCTCCCCCTTCCCTCCCTCCCCCTTTCTCCCCTCCCCCCTCTCTTTCTCACCTGCCGCACCACGTAGATGAAGAAGTAGGTGAGCGCCATGCCCCAAATGTACGGGTTCTTCAGCACGTGCTTCACAAGAGAGCCCCAGATGTCGGCCTTGGGCTTGGAGGCGGAGGAGCCATGGCCGCCCGCCGCTGCCTCTGACACGGGCTCCACGGGCGGGTGGCCCACGTCCTCGGGCTTGTCCCTGTGGTAGGAGGGGTAGGGGGGGGTGAGGGGAAGGAAGAGGGTTAAGGAAAGGCAACATGCAGGACACGTTGTAGGAGGGGTTGTAAGGGTGGCTGAAGATGCAGGGCTGGCAAGGAGGCGATGAAGCGACAGGGAGCGGGGTGCGGGCGGGAGGGGGAGACAGAGCAGCGGCTTGGGGGGGAGGGCCAGCTGGCCGGGCGAATGTAGCCCCACCCCACCTCACCCCCCTAGCGCAACAAGCCCTTCTTGCGCTAAAGATGTCTTGAGCCCTGCTGCCACCCCACCCCACCCTCGACCCTCCCCTTCCCCTCGTCATACAGCTCCTCAGTTTCCTCTTCTGACCCACCTGCACGCCTTCCCATGCCTCCCCCCCCCACACCAACCGCCCGCTCGCTGGAGCGTCAACCTTTCATCACCACCGCGGACTCGGTAACGGTAGGGAATACTAACCGACACTTTGTCTTGTGGCGCCCTGCCGCCTCCCCTCCCCATTGCTCTGCCCTAACCTGTGGTCTCCTATGGTTTGGTATGGTCTTCGACCCTCCCCCTCCCCCCCCCCACCTGCACGCCATGAGCACCAGCAGCCCCACCGCGATGCCGATGACCCCCGGCGCCCACATGCCCCACTTCCATCCCATGGCCTTGGCGAACCCGCCCGCCACCAGCGGCGCCGCGAAGCCGCCCAGGTTGTGCGCGATGTTCCACATGCCCCAGTACGTGCCGCGCTCGTTGGAGGCGAACCAGGTGGTCAGGATGCGGGCGCAGCAGGGGCCGCCAACACCCTGGGGAGGGGGGGGAGGGGAAGAGTGCCCAATGTATTGAATGGGAAAGGCGAACAAGACGACAGAGGGGGGTAGGGGAGGGGGAAGAAATGAGAGGTGGGGGACAGTCCCATGGACGGACTCATGCAGGGGAAGAGGGGGGGGGGGTTCAATGATTAGAGCTTCACTTTACATTTATTCCCCCCCTCTTCCCCCCCCCACACATTGGGTATTCGTCTCCCCCCCCCCCTTCCCACACACACACACACATTGGGTATCACATATTGGGTTGCACATAACATTATTTTCCCCCCTTCCCCCTCCCCCTCCCTACCTGCAGCGTGCCGTTCAGCGCCCAGAAGAAGCAGAACCAAGCCAGCGAGGTGCCAAACCCGAACGCGATGTTCACTGCCGCGGTGGCCATCAGGCCCCCCGCCAGCAGCACGGTGGGGGAGAAGCGCGCACCCAACACACCGCTCACGAACTTGGACATGCCTGGGGGGAGGGGGAGGGAGGGGGGGGAGGGGGAGGGGAGGGGGAGGATTACTAGGGATACATAGTCCGCAATAGGCTGGATTAGATTGAGTATCCGTGTTGGGTTTAGTAGCAGCAGCCTGGGGGGGAGAGAGGGAGGGGGGATCAAGAGACACTGACGATGCAGGGGGGGAAGGGGGATGGGAGGGGAGATTAGGGCACTAATGGACTAGGGCAGTCAAAGACCAAACCAAACCATAGGAGGCAGGCAGGGAGGAAGGGAGGAAGGAGAGAGGGGCAGAGGGTGGCTGTGCAGCATCAGCAGCAACCCCCAGACGTGGCGAGGCGGTTGGGTTGCCGCCCGGCACCTCAGCAATCGTCCCGCAGAGCCCCACACAGCACATCGACCCCACCACCTGCATGCATGCGGCTGCCGCGGCTAGCGGGGCCAGCAGCGGCACCTCATGATGGACTGCAACCCCGCAGCTCCCCCCTTGGCTATCCTGCTCCCCCCTCCCTTGCTTCGTCAGTGTCTCATTTTTTTACCCCCCCCCCTCCCCATGCTTCGGTATGGTCTTTGACCCCCCTCCCGTGCAGCCACACGCCCGCCGCAGCACACCACGCCTCAGCCTGACAGGGACCCCCCACCTGTCACCCTCCGAAGCCCCGTACCCCTAGTGACCGATGGTTTCTCCCCCTTTACCCCCCCGCCCCACCCTACCCAGCTCCAGCCCCTCCCCTCCGCCCTTTGGTTTGGTCTAAAACTTTGACCCTCCCCAAGCCCCTCGCTCCCACCCACCCATCCGCCTTACCCTCCTCTCCCTTATGACACGGTCAGTTCGTTGTTTCCTGTTTACCCCCCTCCCCCCCCCTCCTACCGTATGCGATGGGGAAGATGGAGGTCATGGCGCCGATCTGGGTGATGTCCATGTGCAGCGAGGGGTCGGCCACCATGACGGGGGCAGTGTAGGTGAGCGAGTTGCGGGTGAGGTAGTAGGAGGAGTAGCTGGGGGGGGAGGGGAGCAGGGGGGAGGGGGATTAGGGTGGAGCGTTAAACAAAGGGAACTGGCGAGCTGTATGACGAGCTTGCGGGCGGGGGGGTTGGTGCTGGAGAGAGCCCGAATGTGATTGGGAAGGGGGTTGGGGTTTGCCCAGCAACGAGGTTGCACGGGGCTGGGAGGTGGGTGCAGCGGGGGGTGGGTGAGGGGGCCACCCAGTGCCCCCAGAACCACGTCCCTGGAGGGAGCCTCCCTGGAGGCACCGCACCCCACCCCCAGCCCCCTCTCCTGCGAATCTCCCCTACCCGATCACAATGCCGAAGAATACGAACAGCCGCCGGCGAATGAAGTCCGGCGAGTACTGCGGGGCCGCGGGGGCGGCAGCCGCCTGCGCCACCTCCGCCACCACAACCGGCTGAGCGGCCGGGGCGGGGACGGGCGCCTCGGGCTGCGGATGGCGGGATGCGTAATGGAGAGGGAGGGGAAGCAGGAGCGGGGGGGTTGGATGCGCAGACAGGAGCATAAAAGGCTGGGTTGTGGCGAAGGCCGGGGTGTCATGGCGCGTCAGCTGCAACAAGGAGCGTCAGCTACCCCGTCAGGCGTCTATGAGCTCCGCTAGGTGCACTTCCTTGTCCCTCGGCCGCCCATAATCCCAAAGCCTCCCCAGAAAATTAACTGTTTTGGCCGAATTAGTACAGCACGAGGTAATTGTCCCTGCGATGCTGACCTTGCTGTTGCTGCCGTCATCGGCCGCAGCTGCTCCGGAAGCGGTGCTAGCAGGAGCCCGTTTGAGCAGGCCCCGTGGGTTCCGAGGTGTGAGCATGCTTGGCCTGCGGAAAGGGCATCAGATTGGACAGAGACCTGTCAACCGCAGAGGCCAAGCACGAACACCTGGGAACATGCATCAACGTTCACAAGCTGTAAGGATGCAGCAACGGATAAGGAGGTAGCAGCTCCTGTCTCTCTGGCTCCCTCGTATAACGCTGCTCGCTGACGGATGCAAACCGGTTATGCCTAGAAGCAGGCGTGTGCGCCGATAACGGTATGTAAAGCCCTAAACATGTACCCAAAATTGTCAACGAGGTGTCGCACCCTACTAATCCGCACCGTGCCGAGGAACGCAAAGGCGCGACCAATCCGACCGTTGTCCCACAGCGCTGCTGTCGCAGAACACAACGGCCCTGCATTTGGTTTGCTAGCATAGTGTAGAACCTGGGGTCCTGCTTATGTGTGATACCTACAGGGCCATTTGCGGAAAGCAACAGCCGGTTATAAGCGTGCCGAGGAAAACCCAAGGAGTAGGGTTCAAAGATAGATCAACTATTAATGAAAACGAGAAGAAGTCAATCATGGTCGTATCATATCCCACCTTTAGGGAAGTTACCCGCCTCCTGTCGCGCTTCGACACTAAAGCCCCGCCTCTCAAACAAAAGCTAAGGCCGCTGAGTTTGCTAAGGGCAGGTGCACACTGATCACTGCAGAGCAGTGTTTCCTGCTACGCCCCAAGAGGTGGTCCCGTCAAATGAGCAAGCGATCGGGCCTTTCTGAAAGTGTTCGGGCGCAGCAATATAACTTCTACGTTTTATAAATGCAAGAACAAGTTATCCTAAGGCTACTAACAGATAAATGCAAGCATGGGAGTTGGGACCATGTCTACGACAAGAAATCCAATGCAAAAAATTGGAGAATCGCTACCTATAAATCCGTACGTATCTAAACGGCGAATGAAAGAGCATAGATACAGCAATACGCGTACAACACTCTCAGGTGAGACAGAGAACATCCTAATTCTTGTCTTCTCTGTTATCTCCGTCACCGTACCGGGGATCAAAGAAGTATGATTACTGGCTTGGTTTGGACTTTATCACCACACATTAATGGGAGGCCTTAAGGCGTCAAGTTGCGGAGCACCATGCGGAAGCGGGCGCTGCGACTTCTCCTCATGGGGCCCAGGGGTTACTGCTGGCGGCGCTCGTCCTTGCACCTGTCACCTGAGGTGGGGAAAACCTCCACAACAGCTTGCTACGCGTGCCACGTCTTCCTTCTTTCCCTCACCGTTCCCGCACACAATACACAGCTGAAACGGGCCGGGTTGTACTTAGCTGCCATAGGAACGAAGCCTTTTTGCTTGTATCATGTCCCCTACAAGCACCCTCTTACACAGCTAAAGGTGCTATCCAACTCCAGCTGGACGGCCTGAATCATACATGACGTCAGTCGCCCCATCATAGCAACCCAGGCCTGGCCTTCCCCTGCACCCCCCTTTCCTCGTCCGCCCCTTCCTCCAACGCAGGCCCCGGCTCCGAAACCCAACAGTGCTGCATCCGTATCACTCACAAGCGCAAGTCACCGCCGCACCCTCTTCCCCCTCCCGCATGGGGAACAACACCCTCGGCATCTGCCGCCCCCCCGCGGCCCCACTTCCCGCCCCACCCACCTCCACCTACACTCCCGGAACCCCCACCCCTCACCCCTAGCCACCAGCACCAACCCTGGAGGTCCATTAGTTGGTGATGCCAGGCTGCGCGTCGGTCCCCCGCGCTTGCCCATTTCCACGCAGCAAGCCAGCTCTGGTGCCGCGGGCGTCACCACCACCACCACCACCATCACGCCCCGCCTCACATCTGCATGCCGCGCCGGTTCGCTGCACGCGGCTGGCCTGTCTGATACCCTCCTGGCGCTGCATGCCCCCCCGCACCTCAGCCACCGCCGTGGCTTGAGCCGCGTGTCTGAACAGGCTCGCAGCAGCGGCAGCAGCAGCAGCAGCCGTCGGGCTGCTGAGGACATGTCAGCAGCAGCAGCGGGTGCGGGCGCAGGTGCCACCGCCCCTCCCGCAAAGCCTCCTCCGAGGGGGCTTTTCCGGGACCGCAGCCCTGCTCCCCACAACGGCACCAGTCCAAACCACGCCAAGGCACCCTCCGTCTCAAGACGCCCTCCGCCTCCCTCACAGCCCCAGCCCCAGCAACAGCCCCAGCAGCAGCACCGGGGTGCACCCAGCGGCGGCGGCGGCAACGGCGGTGACAGTAGCCGCCCGCCCTCCTCCAAGCCCTTCCGCCCCGACCCCCGCAAGCAGCGCCCCCAGCCGCTGCCCCCGCTGCGCAGCCTGCCCCACCTGGCCGCCCTGCTGCCGCCGCTGCGGGCCGCCGCGGTGCTGCGGGAGGAGACCCGGCGGCGGGAGGTGGGCAACCAGCTGGCGGACTGGCTGGCGCAGCACCACCCCTGCCACCACCGCTGCAGCAGCAAGGGGGAGGATGAGGCGAAGTCGAGGGGGGTGCCGCGCGGCGAAGTACCGGGAGGCAGCAGCCACAGCAGCAGTGACACCGTAGCAGCGGGCGGGAGGGGAGCGGCAGCAGTCGGCGGAGGCATGTTGCCTGATCAGGCGCTGCTGCTGGCGGAGGTGGCGGCGCTGTGTCCCGACCTGGCGGCGCGGAAGCGGGTGGTGTGGGACGCGCTGCTGCCGCCTCTGGTGGAGGCGGCGACCGCGGCGGCGGAGGCGGCGGAGGCGGCCTTGGCCTCCAGGGCCGGTTGCGGTCCGGGCTCGGACCTTCTCGGAACCCCTCCATGCAGCCCAGCGGGTGCATCGGGTGCCGAGACTGCATCGGGTGCCGAGACTGCATCGGGTGCCGAGACTGCATCGGGTGCCGAGACTGCATCGGATGCCGAGACTGCGGATGCTGTGGCAGGTACCCCCAGTACCCCCTCGGGGGGGCAGCCGGGACATAGTTCACTACGGTGCGGTGTCGGGGGGCCGCTGCAGCCTGAGGCCGCCCTGGAGGTGTTGTCGGGATGTGCGCTGGCGCTGCGGGCGGCGGTGGTGTGCGGACAGGGGGCGCACCCGCTGCTGCCGGCGCTGCGGCGGCCGCTGAGGAGGCTGCTGCTGCGGGGGCTGGGGCTGGCGGACGGCTCCGCTGGCCCGCTGGTGGATGGGGAGGGGGAGGGGCAGCACCTAGGACAGCTACAGCATGGGGACGGAGCGGATGTGAGAGGAGGAGGAGGAGGGTGCGTTGCGAAGGCGACGATGTTGGCGGGTCCAAGCGGCGGCCAAGAGGCGATGACGTCATCAACGGTAGCAGAACACCAGTCCCTGCAGCCGCTGCAGCTGCAGCACGAGCAGCAGCAGCAGCAGCAGGTGCTACGGTTGTTGCTGCTGCTGCACCTGCAGAGCGCTGAGGAGGAGCTGCTGCTGCAGCTGCCGTCGGCAGGTGGTGGTGACGGTGGGGATGCTGTAGTGGTGGTGGGGGTTGCAACTTCGGGGGCTGTCAAGGCGGGGGCTGATGCTGTCAAAGCGGCACTGGCGGCATCCCCGCCGGCTGTTCTGGAGGCTGCACTCCGCTCCCTGGTGCTCCAAGCAAGCAAGCAGCAGCAGCAGCAGCTAGCTTCCCCTCATGGCGCGTTCGCCTCTTCTGCCTCCGCCGCTGCCGCCGCCGGCAGAGTAAGTGACCAGGAGGCGCATGCGCCTGCCTACCCCTATCGGGAAAACAGTGGCCTTGTAGCGGCGCCTTCTGCCGCCGTCGTGGCACCCCCTGCGGAGGTGGAACCGTCGACAGCACCCGCAGCCACCGCCGCAGCCTCCGCCGCCGGCCCCCTCATGACATCTTCCTCGCTGCGTGCCGCTGCGACCCTCAGCGCCGCCCTCACCACCTGGGAGGCCCTGCTGGTGGGCGGGCAACAGCAACAAGGACAACATCCCCTGGCAACCCCTCCTCCTCCTCCTGATGGCGATGGGGAGCTGTTGGCGGGTCTGGTGTCGCTGGTGGGCGCATGCAGGCGCCGTCTGCTGCCGCCGGAGAGAGCCCCCGCACCCGCAGTGGTTGAGGAGGATGCAACAGCCCCGGTAGAATCCCCAGCAGCAGCAGTAGCAGTAGCTTCCTCCCTGCAGGAGGCCCCCTGGCAGTGGGCTCCGCGGCTCAGCCAGCACGGGGCCGCCATGGAGGCGGTGTGGGCGGCACTGGGGCCCGCCACACAGCTGCTGCTGCTGGAAGGGAGGGTGGCAGAAGCAGGCAGCGTTGACAGCGACGGCAAGCGTATGTTGCAGCAGCACTGCCAGCAGCAGCAGGGGCAGTTGTTGTTATCGGAATTGTGCCGACTCGCCTCCGCATCGTTGTTCGGCGGCATTGGTGCTGGCGGCAGCGGCAGTGGTGCTGTCAGCAGCAGCGGCAGCAGCAGTGCTCTTCACAGGGATGGAGGGCATGTGGCCCCCCCAGCGGCGGCGGTGGAGGAGAAGGAGGGCTCTGATGCGGTTCCCAACGGACAAGTCCAGGTGGGTGCGGACCCCACGGAAGCTGCCAGCCACAGCGGCCCTAACAGCACTAGCAACACACTTGCCAGTAGCAGCACCCCCAGTAGCAGCAACAACTCCATTAGCAGCACCAGCACCAGCAGCGGGGCCCCCAACGCCCCCAGTGAGCCCGACAAGCTGCTGGCGCTGCTCCGAGCGCACCAGGTGCTGCGGCGGAGGCTGGGGGCAGGCGAGTTTGAGGGTGCCGGGGATGTTATTGTACGACAGCAGCGGGAACTACGGCAGCAGCAACAACAGGAGCAACGGCAGGGGCAGGGTTACCGTGAGATCAAGGAGGTCCAAGTACAAGACATGATGGGCACCGCGGGGAAAGGGGGAGGAGTGGTTGACATCAACGGTCACCGGTACGACAGCAGCAGCAGCAGCGGTTGGTTAGGCAGCAAGGCTAGTATTATTCATCCAAATATAGGCACGCGTAGTAGCATGGGCAGCAGCCAGATAGCTGCTAGTGGAATGGCACCTCCTGCCGCCACCACCGCTGCCACCACCACCACCACCACCACCAGCAGCAGCAACGAGGGGACGGGTGGCTGCTGGGAGTTGCTGGCGCTGGATCGAGTGGTGCTGTCGTCCACTCAGACGTTCCTGCGCTCCTGGCTGCGAGGCCAGCCGGGTGCGACCGAGGCTGCTGCTGCCGCTGCGGATGCACCTCACCCCGCCTCCCTGGACAAGGACGCGGCGGGCTCCGACAGCAGCAGTGGCCCCAGCAGCAGCAGCTCCTCCTCCTCCTCCTCCCCAGCCGCCCTCAGCCTGTCTGACTCCGTGCAGCTCACGGTGGGCCTGGCTCGTAACGGCTGCCGCGACTGGCACCTGCTGTGGAGGCTGCTCAGACACCAGGCAGCGGAGGCGGAGGTGGCGACATCCACGTCAGCGCGTGGGGTGCGGCTAGCAGTAGCAGCAGCAGCCTTTTCGGAACCCCAGGGCGATTCCTCCTTAGCTGCGGAGGCTAGGGCGGCCGCGGAGATGGCGGCGGCGGCGCAAGAGTCGTCGTCGTCGTCGCCACCGGAGGCCACACTCGCCTCCGCAGCACCAGGAGCAGCACCAGCAGCAGCAGCAGCAGCTCAAGGGGGCATGCGCCGCCGCCGTCTGCGCCTGCATGCCGCTGCGGCGGTTGCTGCGGCCCTGCAGCACAGCAGCCCGGAGGAGCTGCGAGGCACCTGCTGGCCCCGCACCGCCGTCAAGCTGGCGGCAGCGCTAGCTGACGTCAGCAGCCATCAGCGCATCCAGCCGCTTTCGCCGCCGCTGACGCAGCATACTCCACTGGAAGACGCGCATACCAACAACAGTGCCCGAGGCATGTCGTACCAAGAGGCAAGTACGGCAGTGGCGGCGGCGGCGGAGCGGTTGCTGCTGCTGCATGACGTGGACTGCTTGCCAGCTGACGTGGAGTACGTCGCGACGTGGGTCCGGAGCGCCGCTGCACTGGCGGAGGTGGCCTCGCCTGTTGACGATGCCGCGACCCAGGCGACGACGGCGCGCCCCTCAGGGCACCGCATCTCCTCCCCCCGCGACACTGACGTTGACGCGGGCGACGCCGGCGGCGGTGTCACTCTAGGAACGGGGACTGAGCAGCTCGCGGCCTCAGCACGTCAGCTGCTCCTTCGCGCCGCCACACAGCTGCGGTCCCCACCACAGCCGCCGTCGTCCCAACCGCCGCCACCCTCCTCCGACATCCGCTCCAACCGCCGACAACGGGGAAGTCGCGAGGGCGCCGCCTCTCCTCCCACCAGTTCAGATGTGGGTGCTGCAAGCTCCCTCCCTTCCCGGCCCCTAGCATCATCATCATCATCATCGGCAGCAGCAGCAGCAGCGGCCCATCTGGAGCTCCTAGCCACCTGTGCGGCGGCTCCGGCGGGATGGGTGCCGCCGGAGGTGGTGGATGGCTGCTTGGCGGCGTTTGTGGACGGGGCTGCCACCGCCGCCGCCGCTGTGTCACGTTCGCCGCCGCCGCCCCGCACCTTCTGTCACCCAGCCGCCAGTGTTGTTGGAGGCAGCAGCAGCAGCAGCAGCAGTGGCAGCACTCAGGAGCGGTGTAACAGCGGTGTGGGGCTGCAGGCTGTGGGGGTGCTGCGAGCGCTGGCGACGTTGCGCTACATCCCGGACGCCCGGCTGCTGCTGCCTGTGCTGGAGGCGGTGACGGAGGCCGCTGGGGCAACAAGGCAGGGGCCAGCGGCGGCACTGACTACGCGCCCTTGGAGGCTGGCGGCAGGAGAGGCAGGTGGTTCTTTCCCTGCAGCACCGCGAGAGCAGCAGCAGCAGCCCCTGCAGCAGCAGCAGCAGCCCACCGCCCTGCCGTTGGGGTCGCTGGTGGCGGCCACCACCGCGGCGGCGGAGCTGGCGGAGGCGGCGGCGGAGGTGGCGGAGGCGGCGGCGGAGGTGGCGGAGGCGGGCTGGGACGCGGCGGCGGTGCTGCTGGCGGCTGCCGTACAGCTGCGTGACCTGACGGAGGGGGCACTGCTGGCGGCGGCGGCGGAGGTGAAACAGCCGCAGGAGATGGGGAGGTGAGTCAGGCGCTTCTGTCCATGTCCAATACCGCGATACCATTCTTGCTGCTTGCCGGCTGCCGTACCACGCCCCCTATCCTCTCTAACCTCCTATTGCGTCCCCTCTTCCTCTCCCATCCTCCTGTCCCCTCCCCAGCGCTCCCCCCTCCCTGCCCGACCTAGCCGCCCTGTGCGCCTCCCTCGCCCCCCTGGAGCTCCTGTACCCCCGCCTGATCACCGCAGCTGTACGACACAGCTTAACCCGCATGCGGCCGCCGTACGCACTGCCGTACACAAGCCCTCAAGCAGCAGCCCAGCCCTCGGACTCCCCATGCCTTCCGCAACCCCCTCACCATCAGCCGCACCAGCACTTGCAACCTCCTCTTCCACATCTTCACAGCAGCAACAGCAACAGCCCCCTCACCGCCACCTCCTCCTCCACCTCCGCCGCCAGCCCAGCTGACGCCGCGGCCGCCTGCCAGCTGCTGCACCTCGCGGCCCAGTCGCAGCTGGCGCCTGCAGCCGCCGGCACCGCCGCCGCAGTCGCTCGCGCTCGCCGTGTCGCATTCCTCGTACGACACGCCTCTGGTAGCGGGGAGGTCAACCTGAACCAGAACCCCGGCGGCGAGACCGTGCATGCCGCTGCTGCTGCTGCTGCTGCTGCTCCCGCTGCCGCTGCCCTCCATGCGGCGTGGAGCAGTGCTGCTGCAGGTGGCTGCGACCGCGTTACGAACAAAGAGGGTGGCGAGGGGGCGGCCCAACAGCAGCACCAGCAGCAGCAGGAGCAGGAGGGCGAGCAACAGGAGCAGGAGGCGGCAGCAGCAGCGGCGGTTGTGGGTCTGGCCCCGCTGCTGGTCCCCGGAGTGGTGCACCATGCGGCCGTGCTGCCCCTGGAGCTGCTCGTACAGGCGCTGAGGGCCGTACAGGGCCTGGCTGACGCTGCGGCCGACGGCTCCGTTGCTGCTGCGGTTGCGAGGGCTGCAGCAGGCAGTGCTGGCTGTACGGCAGCAGGCGGTAGTGGCTGTACGGCAGCAGGCAGTGCTGGCTGTACGGCAGCAGGCGGTAGTGGCTGTACGGCAGCAGGCGGTGGTGGCTGTACGGCAGCAGCGAGGGTGTTGGGGGCGGGGGCGGCTGAGGGGCTGTCGGAGCTGCGGGATGTGGTGGCGCGGCGGGTGCTGCGGGAGGGCGTGGAGGGGTGAGTGGTGGTGGGGGTGGAGGGCTCTGTCGCCGTGGGGCTTGGGGGTTGAAGGGGGAGAGGGAGGAGGACAGCTGACAGGGGGGCTGCTGTGCGCGGGACAGCTGACAGGGGGGCTGCTGTGCGCGGGACAGCTGACAGGGGGGCTGCTGTGCGCGGGACAGCTGACAGGGGGGCTGCTGTGCGCGGGACAGCTGACAGGGGGGCTGCTGTGCGCGGGACAGCTGACAGGGGGGCTGCTGTGCGCGGGACAGCTGACAGGGGGGCTGCTGTGCGCGGGACAGCTGACAGGGGGGCTGCTGTGCGCGGGACAGCTGACAGGGGGGCTGCTGTGCGCGGGACAGCTGACAGGGGGGCTGCTGTGCGCGCTGCTAGCATGCGTAGTACACAGATGCGCTGCCGTGCGCGTTGTGGTGCCCCTCGCCGAAGAGAGGCCTTGGATGTACCTGTGCATGAAGGAGGTGCATGAGGGCGCGCGCCCTTGCGGTCCACCATGGCCCACCGCACACCCTGAGCACCCCCTGCGCACCCCGTGCCCTGTGTCCCTTACAGCACCCACATGCCCTGCAACACGCTGCCGTGTCGTGTCGACCCCTCTTGAGAGCCGCAGAGCCGCCAGACCACATCGCTGCCCCCCAACCCCTCCTGCATGCCCCCTCCCTCCCCTAATGCCTATACGTACCGTGAAGTGCTCCTCAAGACGCCCTCCTTCCCTGCTTCCCTCCTCCCCTCCTCCCTTGCCCCGCAGCCTCCCCCTCCGCCTCCTCGCAGCCCTCGCGCTCTGCCTGCCGCCGCTACCCGAGCCCCCCTCAGAGTGGCCCGCTGCAACAACAACAACAGCAACAACAACAGCAGCAGCAGCAACGCCCACGCAGCGTCAAACCACCGTGACAGTCTACTCTCCGCCTCATCCGCCGCCGCCGCCGCCGCCAGCCAGACGGAGGTGGCTCTGGCGATCAAGCTCTCCTCCTCCAGATCCCCCTCCAGATCCCCCTTCTGCTCCCGACCTTGAGGAGGCAGAGGCTGAGGCGGCAGCTGTGACCCTGCGGAGTCACCTCAACGGCGGCATGGCCCCCTCCCCGCCACCCGGGGGCCTGCGCTCCTCCTCTTCCTCCTTCAGCCATGCCACCACACGCGACGCTGCCGGCGCTGCCTCAGCACAGCTGCCGCATGAGCCCACAACGGCCGGCATCCCAGATCTCACATCACCTCCTCCAGCAGAACAAGATGAGCAGCAGCAGCAGCAGCAAGAGCAGCGCCGGCAGCAGCAGCGGTACGAGCAGCGGCAGCAGGTCTCGGAGCTCCTCACCAGCTCCCTCAGTGACCGTCTGTTGCACCAGGGAGAGGCTCATGTCGTACACATCGAGGATACGGCAGCCACGTTTCTGGATCTAGCCGCCGCCGGCACCCTCCGTACGCATCCCGACCTGGCGGCGGCGCTGCTCGACGGAACCGCCTTCCGACTCGCCGACGACGCCGGCGGCGCCGCATTGACACGCATCACCGCGGCGCTGGCGGCGGGCGGCGCTGACCCGTGGGTCTCTCACTGCCTCTCCCGCGGCTTAATGGACGAGATCGCTGCTGCCGTACAGCGGCGCTTGCGGCTGCAGCAGCACCACCACCACCACCCTAATTCGCAGCAGACGGGTCAGGACTGCCCGCTCACGACGTGTCAGCTGCTTGCCATGGCGGCCTACGCGCACCTTGTGTTGGTGGCGGAGGAGGAGGAGGCGGAGGTGGCAGCGGCGGCAGCTGCCACCGCCGCTTCGGAGCCTTCTACCACCAGCGGCGGCGGCGCCCCTCGCCGTACCGCTTACATGCTGCCCACGCTTGCTGGCATGACCGGCGGCGGCGGCGGTGGTGGTGGCGGCGGCGGCAGTGCCGGTGCTCCGGGCAGTGTATCGCTGCTGCGAGTGTTGGGTCGGGCGCTGGGGTCGCGGTGCGAGCAGCTGGCGCCCGCGCAGGTGGTGGCGGTGGCGGGGCTGTACGGCAGTCCGCGGCTGCGGGAGCCGCACCTGCTGCAGCGGCTTCTGGGAGAGGCGGCGGGGGCGGCGGGTGGGGGGAGGTGCACGGTGGGTATGGGTGTGGGGAGAGGGGGAGCTGGGAGGGATGGGTTTGGGTGGGGAGGAGGGCAAGGAGGGGGGCCGAGGGCTGGGATGGGGATTGCGGGATGCGAGGGGGTGCATAGGCATGAACTAGTAGTACGGCATCTACCGCTCTAGCAGCAGTGGACTCCCGCCTCTTAAAGAAGCCCCCAACACACATGTCCTTATCGGGTTCATTCAGCAACCCACGGAGTGGCCTCGTCATACAGCTCGTCAGTTTCCTTTATTTTTACTCCCCTGCTACCCCCTTCGCGCCCCCCCGCGCCACAGCCTGACCAGCTGCTGCAGGTGGCCGGGGCGGTGTACGGCGCGGGGCTGCGGGACAAGGCCCTCTTCGCGCCGCTGGTGCGGGAGCTCAGGGCGCGGGCGGAGCAGCCGGGGGGCGTGCCGGCGCGCACCTTGCAGGCAAGGGGGCAGGGGGCAGGGAAGAAGAAAGAGGAGGGGGGAGCAGCAACGAGGGGAGAGCAGCAGGGGGGTGGGGACGCGTGTTGTGTTCGTCATTATGGGCATCATGGGCAGCAGCAACTCCCCCGCTGCTATTCTGTAAACCCCTTGTGCTGCTGCGACTGCTCCTTACGTCGCTGTTACCCGTACTGCCCCTCATGCTGCTGCTGCTGCTGCTCCTCCTCCTCCTCCCCTGCCCCCCTCGCTGCCAGGCCGCTTCCTCGCTGCTGCGGGCGCTGCGGGCGCATGCGGACGCGGCAGCACTGGAACAGGTGGGTGGGTGGAGTGGGTGCGTGGGTGGGTGCGTGGGTGGGTGGGGTGAGGGGGGGTGGGTGGGGTGGGTGGGGGTGGTTGGGGTGAGGGGGGGTGGTTGGGGTGGGTGGAGTGGGTGGGTGGGTGGGTGGGTGGGGTGAGGGGGGGTGAGGGGGGGTGGGTGGGGTGAGGGGGGGTGGGTGGGGCGAGGGTGGGTAAAATTATATTAGAAATGCAAACAACTAAAGTCCCAATCCCATATCCCGACTCATGCAGTGAGTGCAGTGGGTGGGTGGGTGGGTGGGTGGTTAGGGCATGGCCCACCCATGCATGCGTCCCCTGGCATCTGAGGATGGGGGTGGCGGTGACGCCTGGGTGGCCTGGGGGGGAAGGTAGGGGAGGCGGGGAGCCCTAGGGGAGCCCTAGGAGGCATGTGCCTGGAAGGGGGGTGGTTGGGACGCTGGGCAGTTGGGATGCCGCGGGATGGAGAGCTTGCATGCCGGGGGGATGGACATGACGCTGCGGCCTGTGGGGGACCCTGACTCGGACTTACTTTGTCTCTCAGCGTGTCCTTGGGCCCGCCTGGCTCGTACGGACACACTGTACACGCGTAAAGACTGTAACTATAACTGTGCATTGGTGGTGCGTTTCCATACGCCCATTATTGCCAACCTACTGTTCGCTGCGCTGCCCCACCCTGCCCCCTCCAACGCAGGCGTTCATTCAAGCCGTGCGCAGCAGCCAAGGCGGCTCCTCCGCGGGAGCCTACCGTGGGGCGAAACCTGGTTGATGATAGGGCGGGGTTGGGTCACGGGCTCAAGAGGAAGGGAAAAACAGGCAGGGGTGTTGTAAGGATAGTGACAAGGCTGTAGTGTCATGAAGGTACCGGTAGTAGCAGTATGCGAGTAATACAGGGGAGTCAGAACGTAGGCTGGATATAGTTCCTTTGATAGTAATGCCAGGATCTAGCTGAGCCACGCCTCAGACGGACTTGGCCTCATGGATGGCAACCTGAAGGAATATATGTACAAGTGTGTTCATGACTTCCAGGCAGCATTGCATCGTAAACTTTGGCATTACTGCCGTATTGACGTCAGTATGCATGCCGTACTCTGTTGCGCCGTAGTTGTATTGGGAGGGTAGAGCCGTAGAGGTAGAATTGCCCCCTTGGTGCCGCGTCGCGTCGCGGCGGGGGCCCAAAGGCCTACATAAGGGGTTTTTGGCAAACAGAAAACTCATGAGGTTACTGCGACGCCAGACGATTACCGGAAGAGGGTTAACCACTACTCATCAGGAAAGCGTACGGCGTTTGGCGGTTGGCTCCGCCGTTTCTTCCGAAGACTGACAAAAGTCTCTCTGTTTCTCCTTGCATATGGAATGCTCCATTAGGTGACTGTTAGCTACAAATTTCAAGTCAAATCCACAAGCCTTAAGTATTATCGTCAAGTTTTAGCATTGTGACGTATTCGATTCAATAAATAGTTATAGTATTGACACCGTTTAACAAATAGTTAGTGTTTAGAAGTGGCAGCACAAGCGCGACTACCGGTACTTCGGAATAGACATAAACAAAGCGAGCTGCGCGTTGACTTTGTCATAAGCTTTATTCTATTTCGCCATGGAGGACAGCGATGGAAGTGCAAATGGCCGATCGAAGTGGGTCTTCAATGCAAGCCGCGCATCTACCGCGGTTAATGCCTTTTTAACGAGCGTGGTTGTAAACTATATCTCTATGACGGTGTAGGATGCTGCCGCAAACACTTACTCTGGATCATGTCTCGCCAGCGACGCGCCTTTTGGAGAAGCGACGGCAAATGTTCGAGGTGCAGGAGGCCTTGGAAGCCCAAAAGCAGGACTTTAACCGGAAGGAGGAGGTCTTCAAACGTCGCGAGGAGGCCCTAAAGCTTAAAGACTTGGAGCTTCAAGAGTCGCTCATCCGCTTCAGCAAGTTCCTCCAGGAGAACGACTCTAAGCGTGCGCGTGCAGAGAAGAAGGCAGCCGACGAAATTAAAGCTAGATTGCAAAAGGAGAAGGAAATCGAGCAGCTGACGGAGGTATTAGAGGAGCTTAAGTCGGAGAAGGAGCGCATTCTGGAGGTCCTGGAGAAGAACATGCGGTAGGTTGCCCAGCTGGCTTGTGGGTTTATCGCCTAGCCGATGGCAGTCGGGGTGGGGGCAATGAAAACCCGCGCCACGCACCTGACAGTTGCCAAGCAAAGTACTCTCGTACTCCCCGGGTACCCTATCGCTTGTGGAACACACGTCCCCCTCCTCCCTCATCATCCCTCTTGGAATTATCAGCTGTATAAACCCCGCCCAGTTCGGCTATCCTTTTTGCTACAAGCTGCTGACAGCCATGTCAGTTCCTTGTGGGTGGCCCATGGTTCACCAGCTTGTCATCCTAGCAATCCTAGTCGCGGCCTTGCAGCTGAACACACATAGGTGGCCTTGCTTGCTCGCAGATCTTCCTCACAGCATGGGAATCAGCATGGAAACCCCTTCTTGTCCTTCTACCATCACTCTTGACCATAAGCACCATCTGGCACCCTCCCAAACCCATATGCCTGTGAACTTGCACCCCTTATCTCACCCACTGTTCATTGCGCTGCCCCGGGGTCCAGCCCCCCCTCCCTATCCCCTGATCCATTTCTCCACCTACAATGTGTCGCCTGCAAACACCTCCTCCTTTCCTGCCCTCCTTCTCCTTCCCTCCCCGCCCTCCCCTCCTTGCACGCATGGTTATTCTCCCTCCCCCTTCCGCCCCCCTGCCCAGCTACCAGCACTACCTGGAGTCGGTGCTGGAGGTGGCGGACGAGTACCAGGAGGTGTCGGACCTGCTGCTGCGCCACGCCACGCTGTCCGCCACCAACGCCGACCTGAAGGACCACCAGCGCCGCTGCAGCGAGCTGGCGGAGAAGGTGCGCACGGAGCTGCAGATCTACGTGAAGCAGAAGACCGACGAGATCCTCAACCTTAACAACCAGGTGAGGGGGGGAAAATTATATAAGAAATGCAAACAACCAGGTGAGGGGGGGGAGGGAGGGGTTGGTGGAAAGAATTTCCAATGTGTGGTGTGATAGTGGTACATTTAGCTGACAATCCCTGGTGGAATCAACCGTGAGTCGAGCACTAATGGTGGTTGGTGGGTGGGAGGGGTTGGCGGAACTAATGATACCGGTAACCAATCTGTTGGATGAGAAGGGGGAGGGAGGAGGGAGGGAGGAGGGATGGGGTCGGTGGGTGGGCGGGGCGGAGCTGCGAGGGCTGGGTTAACGGGGTGCGGTGGTGATGCAGACCGGGATGCAGCTTTGGGCGCACAGGGGTTGGATTGAGGTCGTGTGGCTGTGTGCAGGTGAGATGGATAGGTTTGGGGAGAGATTAGCGACAATACCGGTATGGGAGGGCGATGAGGGCCGTGGTCGCTCAGTATGGAAGGCTACCGGTAGCAATGGGTGCAAAAGATGGGGGACAGGAGCCTCCACGTGATTGCTGCAACACAGTGCTGCTCAGCACTCAGGGTATGGGCTCATGGGGGAGGCGCACGTGCCCCTTGGCGTGGTGTTGGCGTGCCACCACCGCACTCCCTCCACGGCTCTCGCTGCTCCTGGACCTCATCACCCCCCCTCAGCCGCATGTCCACCCACACGCAGCAGCCCTGGGGTTTGCCGTTGGCGGCGTGTTCACAACACGCCCGATTGCAGCAGCAGCAGCAGCTGCTCCAGCCGCCCCATGCTAGCTGTGCTACTCTAACCGCCCCCCGCCGCCACGCCTGCCCTGCACCCCTCCCCTCCCATGCAGGTGGCCAAGCTGAAGACGGAGCTGGAGGGGTACGAGGCGGAGGCGATGGTGCAGGAGGCCAAGAAGGACTCCAGCTTGCAGGCAAGTTGGTGTGCTGCACATCTTGCACTGCGGGGCATTGCGCATTTGATACCGCTACTAGCCCTAGGCATCGGTGCGTCGAAAGACCAGGGATAGGCAAGAAGGCCATTAGAACCGGGCAGGGTCATCCTCCACAGCGTGTCAGGTGCGGACGCCTGCCCCCGCGGTTGCCCTCCGCAGCGCTCTGCCAGCACATGCCTCCAACATGCCTCCATGCATCCGGTTGGATCCCTTGCAATCCCATGAACCGGTGCACAGCGTAAAGCGCCCGTCGAGGTGCCCATGGTGCTCAATGTCTACTTCTCTAGTGACGCCTTATCATACGGCTACTCAGTAGTTTCCTCTTTACTCCCAACCCGCCACACCATTCCATCCGACCGTTCCCACTCCCTATCCTTCCCGACATGGTTTTACTCTTTCCCCCTTCCTCCCTTCCCCCCTTCAACCCTCTCTTCTCCCCCCACCCCAACCCAGATCGCCAGCCAGCGCACGCTGGAGTACGGGCAGGTGGTGCTGTCCGCCGACAACATCTTCAACCGCTGCCGCTCCAAGAGCTCCATCGGCCACCCCGCAGAGTCCAACCCGCTGCACCAGCTGGACGTCATCGGCAACTTCGTGTCGGACCTGGGCGTCATCATCAAGCAGTTCCGACTGGAGCAGGCGAAGAAGTCGTCGCTCATGCGCGCAGAGGACTAAGAGTGGCGGGGGGGGGAGGGAGGGGATACATGGGGAGGGAGGGAGGGTCCAAGGAGCGGGCTGGCGGCATGGTTGGGTGTGCGGTTGGGGCTGTGTGCAGGTAGGGTGGTCGGAAAGCTGTACATGCTGAGAATGCTCCGAAACGGCCGTGTTAAGGTCCTATGCATAATGGGACCACGGAAGGTTAGGCGGAGGGACGGCCGAACGAGGCTTTGGGTTTTACTGCAGGTGGCCCTGTGTTCCGCTGGGTGCTTGGTTACGGCGGTCGGTAAGGGTTGATGCTTTGTACTAGTAGCGCCGGGCATGCTCTCTACCGTGACGGCGAACGTTTCGAAAGCGTTGCGTGAGGTTAGCATACGGATAGTTCATTAGAGCTGTGGTTGACGGAGAGCTGGCTACGCTGCGGGCAACTAGATAAGTGTATTGCAAAGGATGCGGTGCCGTACCGTGAGGGGTTGCACACCTGTGCAATCAAGGGCTATATAGAGTTAGGTTAGGCACTGCAGGTGCTGAAATCAATACTGGTTCGACTGTGCGTGATGTTATGCGGCGGTCTTCACATAAATCGGCGTTGCAATGTGTGCTTCGCTGTCGCATGCCAAGCTGGGGGCACAAGCCCAACCATACCCGCATGGTATCAGATCTGCAACCGGAAGCACCGTGCGCGGAGGAGTCGCCCACTTCTCCTGAACACACGCAGACAACAGCATCCTTTTAATTCCATGCCTTTCGGTGGCAACAACAACACATGTCCAAATTTGCATCAAAACACATGACAATCGTCTGAACGACAACCATATCTTCCTTCGACTGTCTTCCTCGGGAGGCGCCAACCCACGACTAAAACGCTCTTTTAGGGGCACACGGCGCCGCAAGCTGTGGCCTGCATGGCCCGCCCCAACCAGCAGTCCAGGAATACAGTTCAGGTCTTTAATGTCAAAACTCGCTGCAGTCCTCAACTCCTAATGGTACAAGTCTCGTTACAACGCACGTAAAGGTACAACAGCAATACAGAGATGGCGCCACAACGCACCATGCTCCTATTGTGCACTCGGAAGGATAATCGTACACACAGCACCGGTAATGTCCAGTAAGCTTACAGGAACCGCTCTCACACAACAGGCAAGGGCGTAACGAGGCAAAGTTGTGAAACCGCCGTGAACTCCCCGAAACACACACGAAGCTTGCGCTTACCGTTGCGACTCGGCTGCAACACTCGATTACTATATACAACTGCTACCTGACAACTCATGGGCTGACGCCCGTTCAATACGGCTTACGGCGTCCCAACTGCGCTGCTGTGTCCCCGGGTAAAAATGGCCCTTGCCAGCTTCCTAATTCAAGTCTGTCTGAGCGACCGGCATTTGTAGGAGTAGGGATGCTACGACTATGCTCCATGAAGGGCTATGAATACGACCTAACCAGGTATCAACAGCAAAACCTCCGAGGAAAACCCACCCCGTTGCTCATACGCAGCACACGACGCTGCCATCGGCTCCCCCGAACGTGTTCTCGCCGCTGTACGTGATGTAGAGGAAGCCGTCCTCGTCCTTGTGATCCTCGTAGATGGACGACATGAGCGCCGCTGCAGGGGGTAGGGGAGCGAAAAGCCAGGGGCATGTGGGGGGACATTGGACCTCGGCGAGCACAAGAAACATATAACACAACCGCGAGCTCAATTGGCAAGACGCCAATACGTTTGCGTCTCGAAGTTGTAAACGTGCCATCGAAACTAGGGCTTTTCCTCGATAAAGGAACATGCTGGTGCGATGCGCACGTAGGTCTGTCGTGGAATGCTCCATGCCAGACCACATGGGCATGATGAAGACAGAAAACTCTAAGAGAGAACACCCATTGTTCAACAAACAACTCCACGCAGGGCGTACCAGTTGGTGGCAGGACGTTTTTGACGAAGATGAAAATCGCCTTCTCCGGACTAAGCTTTATCCGCTTGCGGATGACGTATACAAATTGCCCAACAGTCAGGTCCGAGGGCACCAGATACCTGTAGAGGCAGGTGTTCGAAACTAAACTTTCCGCGGCCATTGGTCTGTGACCCTAGGACTAGACAAGGACGTAAATGCAGCTTACTTCTTCTTGTCAATATCGGGAATGTCGCTCCGTTCAGCCTTTTCCACGATGACCTGCAGAAGATGCCCGTGAGCATTTGCTAAGCAGGACCTCGGTCTGGGGCTTCCTGCAACTCCCTTACCGGAATGCGGTCAGGATACTTCTCCTTGATACGCGCAGCCTCGGCTTTCCGCTTGTCTGCATAGGCCAAGACCGAGGCCAGAAGAGGGTCTGAGACGACCTACGGGTACCGACCAACGTGTGCAAAGCAATTGGAAATTATCCTCACCTAGGGAGTGCTCCTGCTTAAACGTCAATGGTCGAGAGCCTCCCATGATCAAGCTTGTGAACTTGCCAACTACAAAGAAGTCGCCTGTTTCCCTTCACCACAACTGCTAAAAAGCTCGCAAATTGCTGTATGAAAGTCTGCGATTGTGCTATGAGGAATTGGAATGTTGTGGAACATCTCTGCCGCAGTTAACACTCTGCATGAAGGGCTCAACTAGTTGTACGATGGTTCCGGAGTTGTCAGGGTAAGGTGATCCGACGCAGAAAGCACGCACACAGCACCGGCGGCACCGGATATAAGTTATCATCAGACTGGTGTACTCATGCTGTTAAGTACTGGCAACTTCCGCGAAGCGTTGTTGCTCCGCGCTCGCTCCAGTCGACTTGGCGCTGTGAACCACAGGTACTATATGAAAGATGATAAGATCCACATAAATATTGCTAAAGTTCATTAGGGCTAGGTCTTTTAGGGGCACCTCGCCGCCCAATGCCCGGCAGATACACCTTAATCATGTGCTGCGAACTGTGTGCGGCCAGTCATAAGGCGCGGGTTTTGCCTCGACATGGGACATTGGGAAGCAATGTTAACATGCAGAGGGCATGCAGGGGGTTGCGAAGGGCTACAGGGGCACGTGTCGCCATTCTGTGGAGACATGCAGCGGCACTGAAACCAACCTAGCACTGTCGCATGGGGCCGAAGCTGGCTATCTTTCCGCACCGAAACCGCATGCAGTAGCGTTATCTCTCCCTACTCACACATCCTTTCCCGCTCACACATCACAGTATCAACCTCCTCCCCAACCATTTCCTCACCCATTTCCCCTCCACCCATTCCCCCTTCTTTCCCTGCCCCTCCCTTCCCTCCAAATTTCCCATCTCTCCAAGGTTACCCAGCGCCCCCAGTGCTGCTTCCAGACTCCCCCGGGGCTACCAACAACACCTCCACCCAGCCACGTTCTCCACACCCTCACCCTCGTCCTCCCTCGCCTCTCGAAACCTCACCACGACACTATTCTCCATGGCCTCCTCCGCCTCCACCCCCACCTCCACCTCCGCCTCTGTGGACCCCCAGCAGCAGCCCCAGCGCTCTGTCAACCTGCTAGTGGTGGCCGGACCCGACTCGCCGGAACTCTCCGTACTGAAACAACTGCCGTCTGCCGTTCAGGTACCGGATCCGGATCCTGTCGTACGTGCGACAACACCATACCCGTACGGCTGATTCCTAGGAGAGGAGCTCCTGGTTGCTTGCATGCCACACCAGCCTTGTTGTTCTAAAGCTACCGCCGGTATGTTGCTATACATCTACCCCACCCACCCCCCATGTTGTCTCCTCATTACCGCCCCCCCCCCGGTGTCGTACTCCCCTCACTGCTGTGTCGTACCGCTACCCGGCTACCCCTACTAGTACCCCCCGCCGCACTCCCCGCCGTACTCCCATCCAGGTTGTTGCCGTGGGCCGCAACAGCGCCGACTTCGCGCACCTGAGCGAGTCGCAGTGGCGCAGCGTGAACGTGCTGCTCAACTGCGGAGTGGGCAAGAATGCGGGCAAGCGGGATGACATACGGGTGAGGAGGAGGGGGGCGAGGGAGGGAAGAGGGAGGGAAGAGGGAGGGAAGAGGGAGCGAAGAGGGAGGGGAAAGGGAGGGGAAAGGGAGGGAAGAGGGAGGAGAAAGGGAGGGGAAAGGGAGTCGAAGGAGTAGCAAACAACAAGCGTGGGCAGGGCAAAGGGGATAGGAGGCGGTTTGCCATCCTCCTTCAACACATTGCCGACATTGGGAATTCCTCTTTAGCTCTTTCCACCCTCTCCCCCTCCCCCTCCCTCCCCTCCGCCAGGCCCTGTGGCCGCTGCTGCCCTCGCTGACCTGGATGCACAGCGCCAGTGCGGGTCTGGAGCACCTGCTGTTTCCGGAGCTGGTGGAGGGACCCGTGGTGCTCACCAATGCAAAGGTGGGGGGAAGAGGGGAGGGGTCTGGGAAGAGGGGGGGACGGGGACGACGGGGCGAGGAGAGGACGTGGGAAGCAGGAGAGATGTGAGGGACGGTGCGGGTGGGTCGACCTGGCCTCCAGCTAGGGGTTGAATTGCTAATGCGGCTGCCGAACATGGCTGGGTTGGAAGAAACGGATGAAGACAACAGCAAGAAGGTAAACGGTGGGGTCGGTGGGCTCCAACCCAGCGACGTGGTGGGTGGCGTGTCCTGCCAGCCTCAGCTGCGCACGGGGCCATGTTCCCTTGGCTATCCCCGTCCCCCCTCCCATCTTTCCTTTTCCAGAACTCCCCGTGTATACTCCCCTCTCCCTCCCCCCTCCAACACATTGGGTATTCTTCATTTCCCCCCTCCCGCTCCCTCCCCCCTCCTTCCCCCTCCCTCCCTCCCCTCCCAGGGTGTATACAGTCACAGCCTCGCGGAGTTCGCCCTCACCGCATGCAACTGGTTCGCCAAGGACCTGCCGCGGCTGAGGAGGCAGCAGGTGTGTGGGGGAGGGGGCGCAACTCGGTCTTGAGCCTCGACATGGTGAAATGCTGATCGCGATTACGTGGGGCGGGGGAAGAATGGTTTTGCAGTTAGGGAATGAATGAGTGGTGCAGGGTCCGAGGCTGTGGCGAACTTGCTGACGCTGGCGTTCCCCGACCTCCGCTAGCGGGTGTTGAGTTGAGAGCGCGAGAGTGCGTGTGCCCGCGCTGCTGCGTGTGCAGCTGTGTGTTTCGGTGCACACGGGGGCTACCCGTGGGGCCCGTGTGTTCCCCCCTGGAGGAGGGCTGCCCCTGCGTGCCTCTCACCACTCTGTGCCTTGATGACTGCTTCATACCGCCCAAACACACATACACACCCACACCCATAAAGCGTACGACACACCCACTGAAACGTACGACACTTTACTTCCCCCCTCCCCTCCCTCCCTTTCCTTTGTACGGCACTTATGTACGGCGCCCCCCCCCACCAACCAGGCCGCGTGTCAGTGGGAGCCGTACGATGTGGAGGAGTTGCGGGGCAAGACCATGGGCATCATTGGGTGAGGGGGTGAGGGGGCGGAGGGGGGGCGGAGGGGGGGAGAGGCGAAGGGGGCGGAGGGGGGGCGGAGGGGGGGAGAGGCGAAGGGGGCGAAGGGGGGGCGGAGGGGGGAAGAGGCGAAGGGGGCGGAGGGGGGGAGAGGCGAGGGGAGCGGAGGGAGGAAGGGGAAAGGTGGGAGAGGGAAGGTGAAAGTGGGAAAGGGGGAGAGGGAAGGGGGGTGAACAGAGGCGGCACGGTGTTTGCAAGCGCTTTTCACGGTCTTAGTGCGTGCTTCAGGGGGGGAGAGGAGGTCGAGAGGGGCTAAGTTCGAAGCGTAGCTTTGTGCCTGAGCTGCCTCCGCTTCCCGGACGGCCTGCGTGTGAGGGTGGTTCCGAGCGGCTGCTGGGAGGGAGGTAAAGGCCACCATGTCAGCTCCCCATGGTGAGGCCTGCATGCCATACAGCTCCTCAGCTTCCTCCTTTTTACCTCCCCCCACCCAAACCCTCCTATGGTTTGGTATGGTCTTTGACCCAAACCCTCCCCAATCCCCCCTCCCACCCAACCCCTCCCCCCAGCTATGGTGACATCGGTCAGGCGGTGGGGCGGCTGGCCAAGGCTTTCCGCATGCGTGTGGTGGCGCTGCGGAGGCGGGTGGAGCTGACGGAGGAGGAGCGGGCGGCGGGGGTGGTGGTGAGGCAGGGGGGCGGGGACAAAGACCATACCGAACCATAGGCAACCACAGGCTGGGGCAAGACAGAGAAGGGGTGTGTGGTTTCCTTTCCGCTCATTCACACAGCTCGTCGGTTCCTTCCTCCATTTCCACTTCCCTCCCCTCCATCCTTCCCCCACAACCCCCTTATGACACGATCAGTTTGGTTTTTCCTCTTTAACACCCCCCTCCCCTCCCCCTCCCCTCTCCCCCCCCAGGACCAGCTGTTCCCCCCCTCCCAGCTGCCCGCCCTCATGGCCACTAGCGACTATGTGGTGGCCGCCACCCCCCTCACCCCCGCCACCGCCCGAATGGTGGATGCGACCGCCATTGCCGCCATGAAGCCCTCGGGCGTGTTCATTAACGTGGGGCGGGGGGGATGCGTGGAGGAGGAGGCGCTGGTGGAGGGTGAGCGGCGGGGGGGAGTTGGGGGGCTGGGAAGGGGGAGGAGGGGGAACATGTAGGAAGAAGCCAAATGTGTGACAGAGCCGGGGTGGGATTGGAGGGGGTTCCCGCACGCTTCTAACCTCCCCACCCTAACCCCCTCACCCTAACCCAACCCTTGCCGCAATGCGTGCAGGATCTGCTGCCCCACGTGGCTTCGCTCCCTTCCCCCTTGCCCCTCTCCACCCGCCTCCCTCCAGCCCGCTCTAACCCTTCTCCCCTCTCCCCCCCCTCCCCCCCCAGCCCTCCAATCGGGTCGCATCCGCGGGGCCGCTCTGGACGTGTTCGCAGTGGAGCCGCTGCCGCCCACCAGGTGGGGTGGGGGGGGGGGGTTAGGGGGTGGGGAAGGGGCACCCCTACGTCAAGGTCGTGCATTGCAGGCCACTGCACAGGCAAAACAACACACCGTCATGGAAGTCGTCTACCTAGGCAAAACCCCCAACCAAACTTACAAATGCGCGCCTCGCTTCGGGCGGGTCGTGCCTGCAGTACCCAATCCCCTCCTAGCCTCATTACATGCCTTGCCCTCCCCCCCCCTTCCCCCCCCTCCCCCCAGCCCGCTATGGCACCTGGACAATGTGTTGCTATCACCGCACTGCGCCGACCGAACCAAGGAGTTCCAGGTGAGGTGGGGGAGCGGGGTGGAGAGGGGGTTGGAGAGGGGGGAGCCGACACGCGTGGGCCTGCTGGCAGTTTGTTCGTACCTGCGGCGGCCCAAGCAGCGGCACCCGACAACGCCACCTATTCGCACCACGCGCCCCAATCCACGGTAGCAGCAAACACCTCATCTAACCCCTCCCCTCATACGTCGTCCTACCCTTCACCCCTCGCCTTTTACCCCCCTCCTTCTCTCCTTCTCCTCTCATTGAGGATTCTTTTTCCCCCACTCCTTCTCCGCCCCCTCTCCCCCTCCCCCTGTTGTTTGCCACCCTCATTCAACACATCGGGTATTATTCTCCCCCCCTCCCCCTCCCTCCCACCCCAGTACGAGAGCCTGTCCTTCTTCCTGGACAACATGCGCCGCTTCCTGGCAGGGCAGCCGCTGACCAATGTGTGCGACAAGCGGAGCGGGTACTGAGGGGGTGGTGGGGGAGAGGGGTGGCAGGGCATTGTGGGGTGCGGGAATGGGGGCAGCATGGGGTGGTGGGTAAAAAAGAGGAAACTGACGAGCTGCGTGACGAGGCTGGCGGGGATGGTGGAGGGTCGGGAGCTGGGGGAGGGCAGCAACAGTATTTATTTCAAGGGCAGGTCTTCACAGCAGCGCGAGCAGGAGCATTATAAGCAGGATGAGCAGCAAGCGCACAGGAGGGTTAGGAGGTGGTGAATGGGGATTTGCTGCAACGGGCTAGGAGTAAGTAGGAAGATGAAGAGGAGGCGGTGGAGGAGGAGGAGCGAGGAAGAAGGCGTTCAGGAAAGCAAGAAGGTGCGGTATGCTAACCGATAGACCTGCGCCGCGAGCGGTGTGTTAAGAAAACTGGCCGCGAGTAGCGGTGTGTGTGAGGTGGGTGGTGGCGCCTGGGTGAGGCGAGCTCCGGGGGTACGGATGGGGGGAAAATTATAAATAAATGCAACAACGCAATCCCAATCCCGAATCCCGACTCATGCAGTGAGCGCATTCGGAGACACTAATCTACGGATGGGGGGAAGCAGCCGGAGGGGTGATGGGCTGCTATAGCGGTGATGGGGGTGACGGCGGTCAGGCGGCGGTTGGGGTTAGGGTTGCGCTCTCACCTCCCTACTTTGGTGGGGGTGAAACTGCCCCTGATGTTGCCCCACCTGTAACCCCTTTTGGCATCCTTGTCCACTTAAACATGCACCTACATCGCCGCAAACATTCAACCATTTTTGCTACGTAACCCCACAATGATCGTTCGACTGTACGACGCCCCCGCGGCGTCCGACCCTCCCCCCCCGGCAGTGCTGCAGTTATCATTTATCCCCCCCCCCCCCGGCAGTGTGGACCGTCGGCGCGGCCGCCGACCCTCGATTCTTCGTCCACACCTTCCCAGCCTCCTTCCATGTTCCACCGACTCCTGGTAAGTACCACTTTTTGGTAAGTGCATTCTGTTCTTTCGGTTAAATTATATCGGGTAAGGTGGGATGGACCGGCTACCATGTTTGCACCCCATGGTGAGGCCTTGTCATACAGCTCGTCAGTTGCTTCGTCAGTGTCTCATCATCATATATATATTTTTTACCCCCCGGCAGTGTGCGTGTGGGTAACGACGCGCCGCTGTCTGCGGGCATGGATGTCTGAAGGTCCGTTGCAGCTGGAGCACCTCTAGCCTGCTATCCTGCAGCACCTCTAGCCTGCTAGCTACCAGCTACCTATCTGTTCAGCAGCACCCTGCTTTTGGAGGACGTCCCCTAACGTTTCTTGACAACGTCCCTAATGCAGGGATAGAACCATATTGGACACTTCGCGTTTACTCGACGAAAGGCATGATTAGCAGTAAACAACAGCAGGCACACACGTACAGTGCACGCCGATAATGATAATTAATCATCATCCGAAGCCATAGTACGAGGTGACCCGAGGGTCACATACGGATTAAGGCTGTACCCGTATGCGTATGCATTCACAGCATATATCAGGCAGCTCACAGCATCACAAACATCACAGCATCACCGCCCTTCCTTCCCCTGGCCACGCTGCCGCCGCGCACTCCCTCCTCCTTCCTCCTCCTTCCTCCTCCCCTACAGCGCCCCTGCCTGCAGCTCGTTGCTCGGGTCCTCTCCGAGCAGCTCCGGGTATGCGGTGGCCACCTGGGGTCAGGGAGGGAGGGAAAGGAAGAATATCCAATGTGTTGTGTGACAGTGGTGAACTAGGCGACAAGCCCTGAGGGGAAAATTCCGTGAGTCGAGCCGAACTGGTGGCAGGGGGAGGGAGGGAGTAAGATGTGGCAATAAGGAAAGGGGATGGGGTAATAAGGAAAGTGAAGTGGAGGGTTGCCGGCATCATGCACACACGGCATGTAGGAATGTAGCTCATGCGATAATACACGAGATGCGGTGCGGCATGGGCTTTCAAAAGGGCTTGTATACTGATACCGTATACCGCCACTAGTTTTTAGCCACATGCAGGAGCCACGAGGGCCCCCACAGCTCTCAAGGAGAACAAGGGTGGGGAATGAACCGTCGTACACCTGCATGTCAACATGTGGCTCAGTTGATGCAACACACACCTGCATGCGCCCATCACACCATCCACCGCAAAAAAGCGTTAACTTCAGCTGCACCTGTTCGACGTTCCAGGGTACCATCCCAACCACCCCTCACCTTGTCGCCGTACTTGGATCTGATGCGGTAGCACACGACATTCATGTCGTACGGTCCCAGCTCCAGAAAGGTCTTGTCCTGCTGGGGGTTGCACAGGAAGATCAGCGTGTAGAGCGCCAGCTCAAACTCGGGGGAGGTGCCTGTGGGGTTCGGGATTAGAGGTCATGCATTAACGCAACGGGCGGCTTTGGGAGTGAGGTTAGGGTGGGGTGGCGGGCTGGGTTTCACAGTTCAGGATCAGGTACGGCAAGCAAGGATGGGCTGGTTTGCAGCCTTTGGCGCTGGTTTGTCGCCGATGGGCGTTTCAATGTGGACGGCTGAACACCAGCCACTCACCCACGAAGAATGTGGACGCGCTCTTCTCCTCGCCGCGCCAGCTGAACTGCACCGAAACCAGCCGGTCCTCGTTGTCGGCGGTGTCGGGGACCTGCCGACCCGCGGGTCGTGGCCGCACGTAGCCCAGGTAGTCCACGTGGCCGCGACCCTCCTCAATGTAGAACTGCAGGAGACCACGCAAGGACGATTTTCCCCGTTAAAGGCGTGAGGTATGCATGCAGGCACAAACCCATTTGGGTTGGGCATGCAGACGCATTCCCAGTTATAGCGGTTGGGGCCAAAGAGCGGCGGAAGCAGGGGATAAGGTCCGGAATGGGGCCAAGTTTTCGGGCGTTCGTAGTGCAGTGCCGCTTACTCGCCTTTTGCTGAGCTCACGTGGAATCCAAAACCCCCAAAGTCAACAACCATCTGCCACCTGGCCCCTACCTGGATCCAGTTATGGAAGCCCACGATCACGTCCCCCTTGCTCTCCCCCACGAACACGTGCTCGAAGCCGCACGAGTCGTTCTGACCGTCCCGGCGGTAGAAGCTGAACCACATCTGCAGCGAAGCAGGGACACAGGGCATGGCGCACGCAAGAACGCGCATGCATTCACACACGTACGTTGCGTTGCCTTACTGCGTTACTGCTGATGGGCCCTACATTCCATTGACACACGCAAATGCATGTGAACCCAGCTCCTCGGTTTGGCATCCGTAACCTTCGCAAGGGGGCAAACATGTTGCTTACCGGACTCATATATGTCGAACCAACTGCGAGCTGCGTAAGCGAGCTGGTATGCATGTGTTGCCGCAACTGAGCTGCGTAAGGGTGCTCTGACACTCTGGGTGTCGACAGGTGCGTGTGTTAAGAAAACTGGCCGCGAGTCGCAACGTACTGGGTGTTAAGAAAACTGGCCGCGAGTAGGAACGTACTTTGATTGTCGGAAGATGAAGTCCCCACAGAACCGCCGCAGGAGCCGCGTACTGTGTGTTAAGAAAACTGGCGTACTGTGTGTGTGTCGCACCTGGTACAGCCTCTCCTTGAAGTCCGCCACCCCAGCCGGTGCCACTCCGCGCTCGGCGCAATACCGATGACAGTACTGCATGACCCTGCGTGGAGGGGAGGGGGGAGTCATGGGGGGTCGGGTGGGGTAATGTGTATAGGGTTATCACAGTGGGGGTGGCGGGAGGACATGCGTTAGAGAGGTGCTTGTGGGCTTCTTGGCTTCCTCCCGGCTTCCCCACCTGCCACGTGGTAAGCGGTTAGTAAGGCTCCTCTCTCCCTGCTCACCTGACGTCCGGACACCCTACCTCCTTCCTCCCTCCGCAGCTCCAATGCCCCTGTGCCCTACTCGTATTCGTATTCTAATCGGGTTTGGTCCTTCTTTATGCCCTCCGCCGGGGCTTCTCCCACTACCCGCTGCCCAGCAATTCCGTCAACATAGTCCCTGCTGTCCATGCCCCGTTATCCCAGGATGGCGACCTCTCTTACTTTGTGCGCAGTACGGCATCGAGGAAGCCATTGACCTCCTTGCGCTCCTGCGCTGTCTCCACCTCGGCTTGGCCCGTCTCGCGCTCGTAGTTATCAAGTAGGTTGTAGAATCTGCAGCAGGGCACGGGATTGGCACATGATGCTTAGAGACGTTCAGCTGTGGGCACCAGGAAACGAGTTGTAACAACACTGGTAACGGGAAAGGCACGAGGAGGGCGCTGCAGGCTGTGTAGGACTGCGGCCAAGCATGTGCGTGCATGTTGGCACAGGTAGCTTACGTGCAGTTTGAGTAGAGCCGCGAACATCGGGGACCACGACAACCTACATTAAGTACGTTGGTTTCTGCCATACGTCCCTCTTGACTCCTTTGAACAGCTTCTCCGGGGCAGCATCGCCTCGCTGCCATATCGACTTGCCGTGCTGCGGTTAGACCGAAAATTTAGCCTGAGCTGCGTAACCCATATAGTTTTCATAATAGATCTATTATAACAAAATTGTAAAAAAACTAGTGGAGTCGGACAACATGCTGAACGATGCAAGCGTTCCAAGTCCTATGCACCTGAAGGTTGATAGCGTAGTCGACTCCTGGCTTAAGGCGGTTTTCGTCAAGCTCCCACAGCTTCTGTGCAGCAGCAGTAAGGTCATCTAGCTCTTCAGCAGTTGGCTGGACCATGGCTGACAACGTGACGGACACCCCTAAAATAATGGCTTCTAAAAGTTTGGATGAGCACTACCCATACCGCAACGGCCATTACACGAGCACAAACCGCCAACCGTCAGGTTCCGGTAGGTTGTACGAAAACCCAACAGATAATTTTGGGCCTATCATTTTGCCAAACCCAACAGGTTCAACAGGCACGAATGAAGCAGTTTTGGATCGCGCTATGCCCCTCGCAGTTCAATATGTTCCGAAGGGAGAAATACTCTACGTCTAATTGTATGCAGGTTAGTTTCATCCACGCTGGTTGGTCGGGATGTTGCAGGCTGGTAATCTGTGACCTTGCCACCAAGTGAGCATTGTTCAAATTGATGTCAATCCTTTACCATCGTTACAATGAATGGAGGGGGTCTTACCCCACACCGTTCTCGTACTTGCCAGCAAACCGGTGGGTGCCGACATAGCTCCAGCCGCCTTTATTCTCCCCAATCCATGCACGCCTTTATGAGTATGCGCGAAGGTGGGCACTAGTATCATGATCCACAATCCCCCACTATTTTCTCATTTATTTACTAATCTACAAACCCCTACCACCACGTATAACTACAACGCATAGCAGCCTGGCATGGGCAACTTTGCATAGGTTCTAGTGGGGATGCTCTACAGATGCCTATGATACAGGCACGACAACATCCATCTTTCGCTGAACATAGCATCTACATGCACCACCCATCATCAATGCATCAAGCTAACTACCTGCATCTCGAATGCCCACATCCGACACAACACATTAAAGCACCGCTCCGCACACGTTATCTATGCTATCGTACACTCCGCGCAAGTTTTCCTGCCTCGGCCGCAGCACTTAGTGCCCACCAGCGCTGTGACGCGACCGCAGGCGGCGGTGGCTGCTGTGCCGTTTGGGCATTCCCTGCAGGTTGCGGCGCGACACCCGAGCGGACATCAGCTTGAACTCCGTAATGGTTGCTTGTGCAGGCTTGGGCGTAGGGGCAGCTGTTGTGGCGGGCTTGGGCGTAGCGGCAGCTGTCACGGCGGGCTTGGGCGTGACAGCAGGTGTGGCAGCGGTGGTGGTGGCCGCGGCGGGCTTGGTCGTTGCGGCGGACACGGTCGCAGGTGCGGCCGTGGCCGCGGTCACGGTGGGCTTGGTTGTGGCGGCGAGCTTGGTGGCGTTGGCCGGCGGCGAGGTGGGCGGGCGGGTTGGCAGGGAAGCGGTGCTGTTGGCGGCCACTGGCACCTGCGTGAGACACATGAAAGGGGTGGAGGGGGTTTGCACTTAGGGCATTTCAGGCATGTCACTCCGGTACTGCTTTGCTGCTCAGGTTTTGCTGCTCAGGTATCCTCAACCTGGAAGGCTTGCCCCTGCAATTCGTGCACACCCCAAGCCCTACCCAGTCGTACCTCGATCGGCAAGCTGCTCTTGTAGGCGCTGACGGTTGCCGCAGTCAAAGCTGGGAACTGTCCGCCGCCGGGGAACTGCAAACGAGTTCAGGTTTGGTTGGGTGATTAGGATACCTTGCGGAACTGACTACACTGGCATGGCTGCACTGGGTGCCGTACCAACTGTAACCATTTGTGCAACACCTTATATCCCATCGTCTGTCGCTTCTCCGCACTAACAACATTCACACGCATGCACACGCGAGGATCTCTCGCCGTCAGATGCGCCTCCGCCTCACCTCGCCAGTTTGACCCGCCTTGGCGATGACGCCGGTGAGGACCAGCTTGCGTCCGAACTTGTCGGTGATGCGGAGGTCGTAGGGCGGCGAGGGCAGCGCGGACAGCTCCCACTCGGCTCCTGCGCAGGGAGGAAGTGGATAAAAGCTTAGGATTTTAGATCAGGTACAAGTAACAAGCTTGCAGGGTTGACGGAAGCCTGGGCAGTCCACCTCATGCCCAATTCTCGTCCAGCTAGAAGCCACCTGCCTTGTATGGTATACAGGTACATCGCGCCAATCGCAGCCCACCACAAAGCACAAACCCACCGTAAGTGTTCTCCATGGGCTTCCACACGCGGCCAGATGCGTCAGCGCCTGAGGCAGCCTGCGCCGCGGTCTGTGTAGCGTCGGCAGCGCCCACCGTTGAGTTGCTGCCCACAGCGGCGGTCTGGGGAAGGTAGTCCCGAGGGAGAGGGGGTTAGGGAAAGGTCATGCAAAGAAGTTCAAGCGACCCAGATTCGTACGCACGCTTGCATGGTAGACCAACATGCACTTAGACGACACCGCGTATGGCCAGACCAGATGAGGGCTGCACGTCCTACAGGACACCCAATACCCTTCGCGCAAATTCCCCCAAGTTCCCATGTTCCCCCAAGCTCCCAAGACCTACAAGGGACCTTGCGAGCTCCACGCTCACGATGCCTGCGTCGCTGGCGACACCCTTGATGCTCAGGCGGATCCATCCGCCCTGCACCACACGGAAGCTGTCGACTCGGACGGTGATGTTGTCTGCAGGCGAGCACTCGACTTGGCGGTACTGGATGGCTGTCTTGCCGTACTCGAGGCGGGCGATCTGCTCGAAGGCGAATGCGTGCATGTTGAGCTCGTATGGGGCGCAGCTGGGGCACTCATCGGTGACCACCACTGTGACGGTGCCGGTGCCGACGCAGACCTGAGACGATAGGGGTGTTGGAGAGGCGAAGGGAGAGTAGGGCGCTATAAGTGATGGTGCTACGTCACGGCGGTGTATGCGTCAGGGCAACTGGAAGTGGGTCGGGTGATAATATGATCTGGGTCATGACCATCTGCGGACGGCTTGCCGCGGATATGTCACAAGACTCTGTTTAACGCTGTAGACAGCATGAGAACCGCAATTGCAAATCTCATTATTCCTCGTGCAAAGCAACACGCTGCGACGAGCTACACAGAGAAAGGCCCAGAAGATGCGCAGTGGTGGGCCGCGTATGCGGACTAGGCAATTACACACCTTGGGATCGGTAGAGACGCACTTGACCTCTAGGCATGTCCCGCAAGATGCCTGGGAAGAGGGCGAAGGCGCAAAACGGAGGTACTTGTTAAGCTGGGCTGTTGCTTAATGCCGGTTTTTAACATGGCAGGATACCCTTAAGAACAGGTTTAAGCAGGTTGCATCGAACAGGCAAAATTCGAACGTACACGGGCGCTGGTAGGGACAGGGGGATTCCCTGTGCTAGAGAATGCTTACCAGAGGCCGTTGCTGGACGAGGGGGCTGCTGGCCGAGATGCCGGTAACAAGGTAGAACGGCCACATCTTGGAGTCCATTTCACCGTAGCCGCATGCTGCAAACAGACAGAAAAGGTAGGCAATGCAAACACAGTCAGAAAGGTAGGCAAGATTGCAAGGCGTAACTGCAGTGCGGCAAAGACATTCGTCGCGACTTTTCGGAAGCAATGGGACAAATAGAAGCTGGGGCTGAGGCAAGCTATTCTATACTCTATATTGCAGGCGAATATAAAAAACTGCAGGCGAAAAGAAACTTGTATGCGAATATAACATGTGACTAAAGGAGCCTCGCAGCGCACGCACCTCCTGGCGGTAGCCGCATCTCAAACGGGTCATCTTGTCCGTCCTACGGAGGATAAGGAACAAGATAGAATAGAATTTTTCCAAGCTGCGGTGTTGAGCTCTTTACCATTTTGTAGCTGCGTCCATGGCTGGCGACCTCATGGGCAATGTGGGAAATAGCAAATGATGTTTCTATGTGACTACAGGTAAACACCCACCTGTGGACCTCCCCAGAATATGGAGGTTCCGTTAACGAACTCGGAAAGGGGCATAGGGTTGATGATCAAGTCCGCTGAGCAGCGCCATGCCAAGATGGCCAAGAGCAGTCCAAGACGGGAGCCGGAAAGCTTCGGGGCTCGTGATCGCAGCATCATAACCGCACAGGAATGCTAAGCGCCAAACTGCAGCTCTTTTGAAAGTCGGACAGGAAGGCCGCGCGCACCGGTGATACGCGACGGTATGTGCAACGACTGCGCTGCACGTAGCTGCGGACGACCCCTTTAAGATAAGTATATAGAAGAATCACTAGGTAGATGGAAAGTAAAGAAACAAAGCGATTTTTATATCGTCGCGGAAGCAGTCCTTACAATTCTTCCGTACAATTTGTCATGCATGGCGCCAAGCACTAAGCCGCATCTCAGCGCACCTTGGGCTTAGTAGAAAATGCACTATGGAAATGCCAACAATCCCTACTCCAGCAACTAAACACAAACTCAACTGCAACACAAAAGGCAGCGATGTTAGCATTCGTCAGCAAAAGTCGTAGTCCCCTAGCGATACGCAACCTTCACAAGCGCCGGCCTAATAAGCAGCTCGCCAATCCGATATCCTTTCTGGAAGACGCAAGTCACCGTGCCGTCCTCCACGTCGTCCCTGTCCTCGCGCATTACAGCCTCGTGCAGGTTTGGGTCAAACATCTCGCCCTCCTCGCCGACCTCCTCCAGGCCTTGCTCCCTGCGCAATAAACGACGCATTTGTAATTAGGCATGAAACAAGGTGACCTATATAGCAAGTGATCATGGGTGGGAAAGCACCGTCCGTTATATCCAGCGTGCACGCTCAATTTGCATTTCGCTATCCTCGGCTGCTCAAACGCACCACCCGACCACCTCTCTCCCCATTTCGCTCCCATCCCGGCCGACCCATTGCCTGCTCCCAACCATTTCCACAGTCCCGCCTGACCCAATTCCAGCCCAAACCGAGCACCCCCAATTCTTCGCCCCCAATACCGCCGCAGCCCAATCCCACATCCCATCCCGTCCCGACCCACCTCAGCAGCTGCGTGAGCTGGGCGTTGATGGCCTGGTACGCCTCGTGTACGGCGCGCTCGCCCCCGCTCTTGGGTTTGATCTGGGTCGCGGCACGCGCAAAGTTATCCGCAATTCCCAGCAGCGGCTTTAACACGTCGGCCTTGGCGCGAGCGGTGGCTTGCTCCCGCTCCGTCTGGGCACGTCGCCTGCAGGGACCGTGCAAAGGTTTGCGATTTGCAACGTAGGTAGGGAAGTGAGGATCCATACAGAAAATCCGTAGGACTCAGAACGAGGCACGCAAACATCAAGCACAGCTTGTGCAGGTTGCTAAGCGGTGAAGACAGCGTACGGGGCGATTTGGGTCGATGCGGGTGGGGTTGCAGCCCGACCCAGATCGACCCAAATCGATCCAGATCGACCCAAATCACACTGATCCAAATCACAATGAGCACGAGAGGATAAACGAGTAGCACCAAACCCCAAACCCCAATAGTTCACATATCTCATCATCGCCTTTGGTAACCCACATCGCCTTTGGTAACCCCGCCGGGCAGGCCGAGAGCCAGGACAACCCCTCGTATGTGTATGCAACCGTACATGTGCTCCCAACCACGCTACCCGACCCATGGGTCTTTCTACAACCTACTTGAAGTTCGCAAAATCCGACTGCAGCCTCTGCAGCTGCTCCCTTGCCGCCCTGAGCTTCGCCTCCGCCACCGCCACCGCCTCCTCCTCCTTCTCCTGCTCCTTCTCCTTCGACGGTGACGGTCCCGCGAACCAGCGTCTGCGCTTCTGCTTCTGCTGCTGCTCCTGCTGCAGCTTCTGCAGCGCTTGCAACTGTTGGTGTTCCCGCACAGCCTCCTCGACCGCCTCGTAACGCTCTAGCAGCAGCGACCGCAGAGCTCGCGCCCGCGCTAGCTCCTCCGCACTCAGCAGCGGCTGACGTTCGGCCCCTTGCTGCTGCTGCTGCTGGTGCGTGACGTCCACGTTGTTTCCGCCCTCCCCTTCTTCCTCCTCTCTGCTGCCCTCATCCTCTTCCTGCTGCCCTACCTCAACCTCCGCTTGCGCTTCTGCTTCTACTGTGTTGGGCTCCGCTTGGGCGTCCTCCTCCTTGTCAGCAGATTCCTCCACCTGCTGCTGCTCCTCCTCCTCTTCTTCTACTACGGGTGACACCACGGCCTCCACCTCCGCCTCCGCCTGCTCCTCTTCTTCTGCCTCATCTTCATCGCCGTACAGGTATCCGTACTCGTCGTACGATGTCGGGCTGTAGTACCCGTCGATGCTGTAGCTCCCGGGCAGTTGACGACTGCTTGCGGGAGCTGATGACGACGACGATGACAGTGCTGACGTCACGGACTCCGGCGCTGCCGAAGCCTTGGAGGCTCCCTCGGGGCTGCTGTTATGGCTGCCAGCCTTCCGCAACTCTTCCTCTTCCTCGTCCGAGGGCGAATCCACCTCCAGCTCAATGGGCCTTACGGCAGCAACAGCGGAGGGCGATGGCTGCAGGGGTGGCAGGCTGCTGCTGTTGCGTTGGTCGCTGCTGCCCTGGTCGCCCGAACCCGGCTGGTCGGGAGTCTTTTGTGCGGACTCTTCCATGCTCAACTGCTTGGGGTGCATGGGCGGAAGGACCGGTACGACATCACCCGCCTCCTCCGATTGTACGACATCTCCTCCTGACTCGAACACTGCGTAGTTGTCGTACGGCAGGGACAGCATCTCATCAACGGACGCCAGCGCATCTGCTGCTGCAGGGGACCGCTGCTGCGGCTCCTCCTGCTGCTCCTCCTCTCGCTCAAGCTGCTGCTGGTGGTGCTGCTGCTGGTGCTTTCCTGCATGAGCCGCCTCCGTTCCTTCAGCAGCTGCTGCCGCAGCCGCAGCAGCGCGTGCCTGCTGCTGCTGCTGCTGCCTCTCCCGCTCCTGCTCCTGCCGCCTCAGCATGGCTGCCTGGCGCCATGCAAGCAGGAAGGGTCGGTCCAGGGAGGCAACTGCGCGGACGGCCTCCGATACCTCCGCTTGGCTGAACTCGGCCTCACGCTCCTGCAAGCAGGGGCCAGCAGTGCAGTCAAGAACATGGGGTGCTGTAGCACTCTCGTACAGCAGTCAGGGTTTTGTAGAAAATAATGAAGCAATTATGATGTGGGTCGGCGGGGAGCCATTGCCAGGGTCCAACAAACAAACAGGACGTATGCACTCGGCAGCACCAGCCAGGAATTAACCACCCCTGATGTGGGTCAGCGAAAGGCCCAGGGTAGACGACCAGGGTATGCGCGACCGTGCCACCCCCCCCCCAGACCTGCCACCTAGGACCGTACCCCCCCACACACACACATCATCACCTTCCGACCACCCTGTACGTTCCTACACGCGGCCAGTTTCCTGAACACACATCCACCCCCCACCCCACCCCACCCCCCCCACCCCACCTGCAACACATCCAGGTAGGTCCCCAGCCAGGAGCGACCCGGATGGGCGCCCAGACGAGCCAGCGACACCTGGGGGGGAGGGGAGCGAAGGGGGGGAAGCGAGGGGGAGGCGAGGGGAGAAGAAAGAGACCCAGTGTGAAGCGAAGGGAGGGAGAGGAGGAGAGGAACACGGGGGTTGGAAGGGGACACAAGGGCGAGGATCAACGAATTGGTAGAAGGGGACAACGTAGGGAGTATGGGTGCTACATGGGGGCTCATAAGAGCAACGTAGGGAGGCTCATAATCGTGCATGGGAATCACCCGCCCTGCTCCTCCTAACCGCGCCCCCCATCCCGCCCCCCTCACCGGCAGCCCCGCCAGCTCCCGCGGACTCATCTCCCCCAGCAGCTCCTCGCAGCGATCCACGAAGGACTGCATCCAGGACCTGGGGGCGGGCGGGTGGGGGCGGGAGGAGGGCGGGTGGGGGCTGCGGCTAACGAGAAAGGGGCTCAGGGGGGTCTGGTCAGGAGGCGGACAAGGGCAGGGGGGGGATGAAGGAGGGTAGCGGCATGCACTGCCCCCCTCTTCTTTTGGGCTGCTGTTCCTTACCCCCCCCCCCCCACCAGCTCCCCTTAATCGCTTTCCCGGCACCTACCGCCTCTTGACCCTCCCCCTCCCCACCTTCTTCCCCAACTTGTATCACTATCACACCACACTTTGGGATTTCTTTTTTTCCCCACCTTCTTCCGGCTATTAGCCATGCACCCAGAGTCCCTCACAGCAGCTCAATTCACCTCATCCTTACTCCCCGTTGCCCCTCTCCTGTCACCCCTCTCCCCCCCCCCCTCCTCCTCCACCGCTGCTACTTCACCTTTTCATCACAATCCCCCTCTCCCTCCCCCTCACCCGCTGGGCCTCACGCCGCATGCCGCCAGCTCCGCCGCCACCCCCGCCAGCTCCCCGCCCCCCGCACCCCCCAGCACCTCCCGCAGCCGCCGCAGCAGCGCCACCAGCAGCCGCTGGTCCAGGTAGCGCAGCCGCAGCACGGAGGTGAGCAGGCTGCGGGGGGGTCAAAGACCATACCAAACCATAGGAGACCATAGGGGGGGGGGGAGGAGATGAGGAAGGGGAGGGTGCGGAAGAGGAAGAGGAGGATGGTTGCGGGGGAGGAGCAAGGGTAGCACCAACCCAGCCAAACCCAGCCCAACCGCCAACTGCCAACGCTCGGTAGCCCCCATGCAGCCAACCCATGCAGCCAACCCAACCCAACCAATGCACCCACCTCGCCGCCTGCTCCGCACTCGCTCCCTCCAGCCGCCCCAGCGCCGCCTCCCCCAGTCCCTCCAGCAGGTCCCCCAGCTCCCCGCGCTCCCGCAGTCCCAGACCCCGCAAGCCACCTCCCATAGCACCCCTGCTTCCGCCGCTACCACCACCACCGCCGCTGCTGCTGCCGGTGACAATCTCCGCCAGTCGAGCCGCTGCGGCGGTCAGGCAGTCCAGATCCAGCACCTCAGGATAGGTGAAGAGGAGGACCTGGGGGTGGGGGGGGGGGTTGGGGGGGCGTGTGGAAGGTGTGGAGGATCGGGGGTGGAGGCGGGAGCTGGAGAGCAGGGGTAGCAGGTAGCAAGCAGCGGCGCGCAGGTACGTAGTAACGTCAACATGAGCAAGACGCGGTGGGGAAGGTACCGTAGGGGAGGCCTGTCCCTCAAAAAGGCCTGTCCCCGGTGTCCTCACCAATGATTCGATTCCAGTTTCTTCACCCCCACTCACCCGGATTTCCTGCCAGTACTCCGCACTTCGCAACCTCCTCGCCAGCCGTGCACGCAGCAACTCCGTCGCCTGCTGCTGCTCCTGCTTTTGCCTCTCCGCACGAGCCGCCGCCTCCGCCTCCGCCTCCGCCGCCGCCTGCTGCAGTTGCTGCTCCTCCATTTCCCGCTGCTGCTGCCACTCCCGTCTTGCAGCCTCCTGCCGCTCCCGCTGCGCTCTTTCCTTCTCAGCAGCCGCCGCCTTTGCCGCTGCAGCAGCCGCCGCCGCAAGCTCATGCCGCCGTGTCCCCCGCTCCCGCGCCACTCGCGCCCGCACCTCCTCCACATGGTGCATGAAGCGCTGCCGCAGCTGCCGCGCCTGCTCATGACGCCCCATGCGCTCTAGCGCGCGAACAGCCGACGTCATGGCCTGTGCGTCGCGCTGAAGCACATAGCTCAGCTGGTCCTCCTCCTCCTCCTCCTCCTCCTCCTCCTCCTCCTCCTCCTCCTCCTCCTCTGATTCCGCTTCATCAACCTCCTCCGCCTCCGCTGCCTCCGCCTGCGCCTCCGCTGCCGCATCTGCTTCAGTGCGTGCGGCAGCCTGCTGCTGCTGCCGCTGCCGCTGCTGCAATTCCTGCAACTCCACTTGCCTCTCCCACTGCCGCTGTCGCTCTAGCTGGGCAGCTTGAGCCGCCTGGGGCGCTGCTTCCTCTTCCTCCTCCTCCTCTTCCTCTTCACCCGTCTCCCTTACTGGCTGCTCCTGCTGCTGCTCGAGTAGTTGCTGCCGCGTCAGAGGCTGCAGCTGCAGCCGCTGCGGCTGGAGCTGCTCCAGCAACCCCGCCAGCGTGCCCTCGTCCGGGCTGTAGCCCACACGTGACAACGCGTGCAGCAACCGAGCGGCGTCGTCGGGAGTTAGGCGGCGGATTGCGGCGCCGTCGCTGTCAGCGACGACCGCGGCCCTCTCATGCGGCTGCATGCCTTGCATCCGCAGCTGCTGCGGCTGCTGCTGTTGCTGACGCAGGCGCTCGGCTTCTGCAGCCTGCTGCTGCTGCTGCTGCCTCTGTTGTGCCTGCTGCTGCTGCTGCTGCTGCTGTTGCTCTTGTAGTTGCAGTTGGTGCTGTTGCAGTAGCTGGGCCAACTGGGCGTCACTAGGGCGGTGACGCATGGCCGCGAAAGCATCCAGCAGCTCCGCGAGACTGGGCGGGAGAAGGGGGGGAAGAGGGGGAAGGCGGATCAGAGATATACCAAAACCACAGGTTAGGTAAAGGGAAGGTAAGGAAAGGAGGAGGGCACAGAAGTAAGCATGCAACACAGGGGACGCAAAAAGACACGGTTGGTCTTCGGGCGGAAAATGCAGAAACGTTCCTCAGACTGTTGTTGATGCGAACGACACACAACACACCTGGCAGGTTGCGGCTGTTGCTGCTGCAGCTGAGCCGGCTGTTGCTGTCGCTGCGCCTGCTGGTGCTGCTGTTGTGCCATTATCTGTCGTACCATCTCATCGCACAGGGCGGGGTCGCGCACACCCGCAGCGGCCAGACCGGATGCCAGACGCGCCAGGGAGGCAGGGTCGTACTGCGATAGATGGCGCCTGCGAAGGGAGGGGGTGTGGAGGTGTGGGAAAGCCACGGTATGTAGGACATGGCATGGCATGGCAAACCTTTTCTGCGGGATTGCGAGGAAAGGCGAGGCAAGGGAGCAAGTGCCGTAGCAGCGGAGCAAGCAGCAGGGCGCAACTCCTCCGAAAAGCAGTCATCGGTATAAGAGGGCAAATCAACCTACCTAGCGTTCTGCAGCATAGCTGCCCGCAGAGCCTCACGTCGCCGCTCCTCTTCCTCCTGCTGTTGAAGCTGTTGTTGTTGATGCTGCTGCTGCTGCAACAGCGCTCTACGCCGGGCAGCAGCAGCAGCAGCCGCAGCAGCCTGCTGCTGCTGCCGCTGTTGTTGCTGTTGTTGCTGTTGGCGCCTGTAGAGTTCTGCCGCCTGTTGCTGTTGGATGTAGCGTGGTGTCGGGGGTCGTGGTGGCGGTGGCGGTGGAGGAGGAGGAGGAGGGCGGCGGAGCTCCAGGATCTCCGGTGCCGCAGACATGAAGCGAAGAAACTCGTCCGGGTCCTCCGCGGCCCTGCAGAGGCGCAAGAGGATACTGAGGCAGGACAGGTGCAAGAGAGGTGCAAGAGAGGCGCAAGAGAGGCGCAAACCACATGTCTAACCATGAAGACGATCCAGAACTTCGTAATGCGATGTAATGCTGCTAATCCGGCCCACTTGCGATAGGCGCCACACAAGCACCCCTCCATCCTCGGTCAACAGCCCACATGGTCAACGCAATGCAACTTCTCATTCGACGCGGCTCAGATGTCCTGACACATACACTCGCCACGGCCAGTTTCATACCATACATCGGAATACACATCATCACTTCCCCAACCATCAACGCAATCCTAAAATCCAGCTTAATGCGGAATCTTCATCCATATCAATCCCCAACCATCTGTCCAGGGTACCTTCCACTAAGCAGCTCCACCAGCTGCTGCAGGTCCCGCGGCCGCCGCAGCACCCCGCGGCGAGGCAGCGACACGCCGGGTCCGAATGGGAAGCCGCCCTGCTGCGCACCCGCAGCCGCAGGAGCAGCCACAGCAGAGTAGCAAACGAGGGGCGGCAGGCGTGTGAGATACGTGTGGAGTGCACTCAGGTCAGCCTTTTTACAAAGGCCGGCATGTAGGAATCCGCTCCTCTTCTTCAGGTGTGTGAGAGTAACAAGGATATCCGTACAACGTCGGATGTTGCTGTATTGATCGCGTGCAGTAGTTGCTAGCTCTGGACTCACCGGTACGCCATACGACGCGCGTGCCAGGACTACGTGGGTAGAGCGCCGCCGTCCCGCTGCTTTGGTCGCCATGATGGCCACACGGCCATCGCTGCGCGACAAGAACTTACGTGCAGGAACGGCAGTTGCGTGATGCTGAATACTGTATGGGCGAGCCCTCGCAGGGCAAGTGGTGGCCTGCACGCGGTGACGCGAATGGCCTCGATTGTCATTGTCCGGAAGGTACTAGGCGCAAAAGCCGGTCGAATCCCAGTTTTGAAGCAAAAGCACAAGAATTGAGTCATTTACAGAGGCAACGTCACGCTCGCGAACGCTCCATACGGGACGCCAACCGGGACGACGGCTTTCGCGTCAGCGTGCTAAGGTTGACGGATCTAATCCGCAAGCATCACTAGCTGTTAACACTTACCCTCATCTTCCGTTTTGGGCCTTAAGCGTCAAGCTTCACCAGGAGCCACACATCCAAGCAAATAACGATGGCAATCCGAGCTAACGCGTCTCTCTTCGTAGCCTATCAGTACGTCAGTATAAAGCTAAATTGAGACCTGTCGTGTTAGGTTGCATACCATGGGCTTGTCTTAGCATCCTCACTGAAATGCGTCATTCGTCATGAAGTCATTCGGCCAGCTTACACCCAATGATTCGCTTATCCGAAGCTAACCAGAGCTCTACTATTAACGTGTAAGGGTGCTTACATATATCCCATGGATGTACACGCAAGCGCTTGCACGGCTTGTTACAACATTGCTGCGGTTGCTGCCATCCATCCATGCCAGGCCACGTTACTTACCTGCCCGGCGTGGCCTGGCCGACAAATGTGATGGGTTGATCTTTGCCGAGGACCCTGATGAACAGTTTGAAAGCATGCCAGGGGTAATATGGTTTCACAAAAGGGCCATGATACCCCACAGGCAGTACACGGCCGTGCCCTGCATGTTCATGGAAAAACGTTTACATGGGATTCAGGATGTACGGCAGGTGGCATTTGGGAGGTAGCAGCTGCCGTGGAGGGCTCCTGGCGATTCAGCGCGCAGCAGCGGCAGTGGGGGGGCACCGCCGCAACAGCAACAACCGGACCAACACATCATCTGTCCAGCAGCAGCAGAGCCCTGCGGATCTCGTCGCGACGCCAACCCGGCGACCAGCAGGGGGGAAAGAAGAATTCCCAGTGTGTTAAATGAGGATGCAAACCAGACGACAAGCTCCGTTGAAGTGGAGTTGAGTTAGTCGAGCCGAACAGGCGACCAGCAAGGGGGGAGGGGTCTGCCAAGGGAGCCGGAGACTCCGAAGGCGATGACACCGGTACAGGTGCATGTTACACAAGGCGGCAGCTGCGTCATCCAACCAACGCACGGTGCCCGCAGGTTGGGCCCAATGCAAGCAGTAGCAGTCCTTCGAAGAGGCGCTTATACCTCAAGTGGAGAGAGACGAACATTATATGTATAGAAGAGCACTCATAATCCCCACTTCCGCGCCCACGCGGATAAGATTGTACCTTGGGTTGAAGTCGCACGATGGATGGGGGCTTGACACGTGCTAGTGCCGGTTAACCACGGTGGTGGGTAAGATACAATTCGTTGCCCCTTTTTTCATTATTGTTTGTTTCATGGTGCCAGTAGATGGCCTTCCTTGTTAATGCGGCAATCAGCATAATAAAATCTGCTTGCCTGCTGCGCTTAGTCATGCTGCGCTGGCTAATGGGCCGCTGCGAACAAGTCATGGTGCGCCCTTAGTACCTGCCGCCTATTGCTGCGTATATTTCCATCAAGTTTAAGTTTTGCGAACCCTTCACACATTAATCGGCACACTTTCCACCACGGTTAACAACGGCTTTCAAAGAGTAAAATTCAGACCATGGCAGACACATGCATAATATGACTGCAATGCTATGAGTTCATCGTTAAGTCTTAGGCTAATGCCGGCTGTAACGGGCTGTTGTAGTCTGTTCCTCTGGATCCAAAGTGGACGAGCGCCACACCGCCACGTTCCATGCCTTGATGCCTAACAAATGAACAATTTGATACCCTTGCTTACCTGTAGGTAACATCCAGAGCAAGTCACATAAGCACCATTTTCCATTGGCTGGCTGTGTGTCAGCCTTCAACCAATTTGCCTGTTCCCAAGTTGACCCACGTACTATTGCTTTTCCCGGCAGTCAGCTTACATGCTTATATTATGTAGGCGAGGCCACCACCGGCTCTAATAGTTACTTGCTCTGACCCAATAGGGTCTTTGGCAAATGCCGAACGATAACCGGGGCCTAGATGGCCCTGATGAATCAGCAACAACTTTTGGGAGCTTGCCGCCCCCTAAAGCAACGAAGTATGCATGGATGCCCTCGAACGAAAAGGTCAACCATGAGAACTTCCATCGCATGTTGGAGGAGTACAGGACGACGAAGAAGCGTGAGCGGGACCTGGAGATGAAGATTAAACAGTAAGTGTTACCAGAGCTGTTGGTCTTGTAAAGAAACATCTGTGGCCTCGGTTGGCAGGTGCGGGCAGTTGGCCTGCATGGTTGGGGCGCAGCTGCTGAGCAACTCACAGCCACGGGTACCAGGGGAACCGGCATGCTGAAATCACTACCGTGCATGTGGAAGACTCTTCTTTACTAACTTCAGCTCGCACTGCCGAGCTGCATGCTGTTTGGTATGCAACCAAACCCGTCGTCCTCCCCTTACGCCAAATGGAATTTGACGCGGCCGCAGGCTAGGTGCGCAGCTCGCACGCACGGAGGAGGCTGCCAAGCGTGCTCTGGTCCAAACGGATTCGACCGCCAAGGGCGGAGCAGCGCAGAAGCTGCTAGACGCGGAACGTGCCATCGCCAAGCTGCGTGCGGAGAATGCGGACTTGACTAGCAAGCTTGCCAGGTGGGTGGGACCCAAATCAGCAATGCTCAGCCCGGCGCGTGATGTTGTCACGCACGTGTGGTTTGCTACACCTTTGGGCCCTTCGGGGCTGTTCCTGTCTCAACCTGCCACCCTTCCACATCTCAACCTGCCACCCTTCTCCTCCCTCCTGCCCACACGCGCACCCCAGGGAGAAGAAGCGCTCCGCCGACTACAAGTCCCTAGCAGATACGCACAAGCAGCGGCTGGACTCCTTCCTTCGCGACCAGCGCCACCTGGTGAAGCGCGTGGGCGAGCTGGAGCGCAGCCAGGCGGCGGTGAAGCGGCGGCCGGAGGAGGAGTTCTGGGGCGAGGAGGCGGGGCGGCGCTTCGTGGCGCAGCAGGAGGAGCTGGTGGCGCTGAAGGAGGAGAATGCGGCGCTGAAGCAGCTGATGGAGTCGGGTAGGGCGGGCAGTGGGTGGGTACCAGACAGGTGGAGTGGGGAAAGAGCGAAAGACAAGACCAGGAAGTGGGGATTAGGGTGCATGGGGGTGCGAACGGTGCATATGGCTGTGTTGTGTTGGGTGGTGGGGCCACACCCGTCGCTTGTGGGTACGGGATGTAGCTGCACACTTAGCCTCCTACTCGGAAGTGCGCGGATGGCTGTGGGAAGGTGGCTTGTGGGCATGCAAGCATGCGAGGAGTCCTGTCATGCATGCTGCTCCGCACGGCCTGCATGGCGCATACAGCCGGCGCAAGTGGTCGGTGTTAGGCTGGGAGACCACACATGCCGCCCCACCCGCTCCTCCCTGTGGTCCAGATGGCCCGGTGGCCCAGTGCAAGGCGTACGAGGGGCAGATCAACGAGCTGCAGAACCTGGTCAAGTTCTACGAGCGGAAGCTGGCAGCGTTGGTGGAGTCGGGGGCAGCGGCTGCGGCAGAGGTAGGCCGTTGAGGAGACGCTACCTGTAGCAGCATCACGTTGCTGCTACCCGTCCTGTCACCTGGTACCGCCCTCCTTGTAGTGCCCGTCCTTTTCTGCTTCGTCCCGTCCCTCGCACAGCTGCATGCCCGCGTGTACTGCATAAGAGGGGCCCCTGTTGCCCTGCATGCAGGCTGCGGCCAGCGGCCCCGGCCCCGAGGACTGGGTGTTGGAGGAGTTCTGGCACAACGACGAGATGTACCTGTTGGACCGCAAGACCGGCAAGCTCTTCACCGTGCCCGGGGACAACAGCTACCCCAGGCCGCTGGGTAGGCGGGGGTGGGGAGGGGTTGGCAGGCCGACCCAGGAGCGGACCCAGGCCATCTGGCACATGAGCGGCGGTGTTCCTTGAGTGGCAGCGTGCCCGTTGCCGTGGAGCTGTTCATGGCTGTGGCCTGTGATGACCTGTCACTACCTGCCGTACACTCCAACACGCCTTTGTTAACACACTCGTGCATGACCAATATGCTCGGATGCATGCCGTGTATCCCCTCATGTCCTCCCACGTTACCGGTACTCGCCACCGCCCCACCTCCCTCAACCCACCCCGCCCCGCTCCCCAGGAATCCGCAACGCCAAGGACGTGCGGCTGGGCTGCCACAACAGCATGGAGCGCTTCCTTGCTACCCTGGACTCCTACCTCGTCAACAACGCAGCGCGCCTGCAGGAGGTGTTTGCGCAGTTCGACGCAGACAACAGCGGGCAGCTGAACCGCCGCGAGACGGCTCGGCTGCTGATGGCGCTTATGCCGGACCTGAACCAAGTGTAAGGGGAAGGGGAGGTATGGGAAGGGGGGAGGCATGGCGGCATGGGCGTGCATGGGACGGGGATTGCAGTGGGGAGGGAAGGCGCCGCAGCCAGGAGACCTGGCGCATGTGGGTCATAACACAGCGGATGTACTCAGGTCGGGGCCTTGTGGGTTCCAGATCCACATCCAGATGGCACGGTTGGGGGTGGCATGATTGTCCCTCCTCCTCAGTCCTCAAGACGCTGACCTCCATACCTCACCTCCTCTTCCGGCCCCCCCCCACAGCCAAGTTGAGGAGCTGCGGCTGATGCTGGATGCGGACGGCAACGGGCTGATCAGCCTGCAGGAGCTGCTGGACTGCATCAAGGAGGCGTTCGCGGCACGTAGGTGCATCTTGATACCCGCTTAAAGCCCTTCTCCCCTTCTGTGCGTGTATGTATGTATGTATGTGTTACAAGCTTCGTACCGAGCTCGTAAGATCCGTCCGAGCCAGAAGGCTCATGGATCGCGAGCACAAAACGCGAAAAACAATCAATCGTGCGTACGACATGCCTGTGCATGTGCGCATGTCGTACACCTCCGTACGGCTCCCCTCATGCGTGCCACGCCCGCCCGGCTGCAGGCACCGCTGCCAAGGTGGGCCGCAACATCGAGGTCAACGACGCACTGGACCGAATCCGGGATGTACTGCGGCTGAACAAAAAGGTACGGCACGAGCAGGGGCTGTTTGGGGGGGTCAAAGATATACCAGAACCACAGGTTAGGGCAAGGCAATCGGGATTTAGGGAAGCAGTTTTTTCACGAAACATTAACGTTAGCTCCCCCTGCGTTTGGGGGGGGGGTGGCGGCGGTCATCTTGCGCTCGTGTTGCGTGTTCCCTGGCGGTGGATGAAGGGGTCAGGCGGGGGGGTGCAGGCGTGCGTGAAGGGGAAACCTCGTCTGCCCCCTTTCAGCACGTCTGTCGCAAGCCCTCGGGCCTGATCACGAGGCCCGCATGAGCCCCAGCAAGACCCGAGACCCCTGCCCATGGCCACTTTCAAGGGCTTGCAACCCCTAACGTTACCCATTTTCCATTCCTCTTCCCCTCTCCTCTCTGTTAACCTTCGGTTGCCCTCTCCCTGTCGGGCGCCAGGCGGTCGCAGAGGCGTTTGAGCAGATGGACAGCGACAAGGACAGCTGCCTCTCGCACCTGGACGCGGTGAAGCTGCTGCACAAGTTCCTGCCAGGTGGGGCGGGATATGGTGTGAGCGGGCGCCGCATGGCATGACACTGACTGGCATGGCATGACGCCATATGGCATGACACTGCATGGCATCGCACATGGACAGGTCTCGGCTAACCTGACGATCCCATCTAGCCGCCACCCCATGGGGCCACACCCGTCGCCGGGTACCGGCTGCCTAAGCTCCACACCGTCCCGATTAGGCTCTTCCTTCTCTTCTCCTCTTCCTGCCCCTCAACCTAAACCCCCCATCTCACACCTTCAACCCAACCCATCCCACCCCCCACCTCCCCCCAGACATGGTTCCCCGGGAGGTCCGCTACCTGCTGTCCAAGCTGCAGCAGTGGGACGTGGTGGGCGAGGGGCGGCTGAGCTGCGAGGAGCTGTACCAGGCGCTGGAGCTGGCGCGCGTGTTCAGAGTGGGGCTGGGGCTGGCGGGCGCGCAGCGGACTGCTTCGCCGGAGCGCTCGGCGGCACGGTGAGGGGGAGCGGGGGAAGAAAAAGGGGTGCATGGGGAGAAGTAAGGAAGAAGGGGTTGGGTAGGAGAGCGGATCTACTACAGTAGAGTGTGGGACTGGGGCTAGGATAGAAGGGTTTTGGCTGATCTAAGAACGGGAGTACTTCGAGTGTTCCGTTGCTAGACGAGTGACAGGTAATGCGCACCCAGACATGCCAACCCAACCCAAGCTGCTGCTGGGCAAAGCTTGCTGGCTATTCCTCTGGACAGACCTGACTTCCCTTCCCCTTCCGGACCCTTCCTGTCACAGGGGCGTGTCCCCCACCAAGGTTCACGGCGGGGTGGCCCCCCCTTCCGCCGTGCCCGCCCTCCGTGCCAGCGCCCGGGTCACTGGTGGCGGGGGCGGAGGCATGAAGGAGGCGTTCATGCGGGAGAGGGTCACGCAGCTGGAGGTGGGAGTGGCGGGGGTGGGGGGAAGTTGGGGGGACGCAGAGCATGGTGTGATAAAAGAGCAGCAGCTCCAGGAAGGGAAAGGATCGCTCCTCCTGTCGGTATTCTTTGAGGAGGGCCCACGGGCCCTCATCCTGCTGTGGCGTGCCGAAGCCTGGCAAGCCGAGTGCTTTGGTACTCGACGGCGTGCGTGCCGCCCTTAGATCTCCACGACATGGCAAAGGATGTGTACGGCATCTGTGGCGGCGGCTACTGCACAACAATCAAAACAGCATGCCCAACAGCCCAGCAATCGTGTATCTGGCACCCGAGCCGGTCGTAACGGTGTCCTAGCGCTGGAATTAACCCTGGCATATCCATTACTCTTGTGTGGGTTGTCACTGTGTGTGGGCGGTGCAGGCGGAGCTGCGGGAGGCCAACCGTCGGAACTCGGAGCTGGAGGACGACAGCAAGAAGGTAAGCAGGGAAAGCATGGGAAGCAAGGGAAGGGGCCTTTTACCCCATTCCAGTAACTCCCCGAGCAGCCCAGATTTCCAGGTCCTGGCTGGCACGCATGTTAAGTGCTGTACCAAAACCATCCACGCCCTCCACGCCCCCTCACACCGCTGCCAGAGTGGCCATTACCGGTATCGTCCACAGAACACATGGTTTCACCTTCCTCTCTGTCCCTTTCCCCCCGCCCCCTCACAACTAACCCTTTTGTATTTCGTGACAGACTGCTTCCCTCTGCCCCCAATGCTTTGCCCTAACCTGTGGTTTCGGAATATCTCTGCTATACCCCCCTCACACACGTACGTTCCTATCCCAGTGCGTTCCTACTCGCGGCCAGTTTTCTTAACACACACCGCTCCCCCCGGGCAGGTTGAGGTGCTGCAACGTGACGTGGCGCTGTACAAGGCGCGCATAGAGGAGCTGGAGCGCGACTTCATGCGCATCGACGTGCTGGGCAACATGGAGGGGCTGGGCGGCAGCGGCGCGCCTGGGGACGAGCAGCTGAAGAAGGCGTGGGAGATTGCGTCCACGTTCAAGAAGAGGTGAGCGGGCGGATGTGTGGGCGGCAGGACGATGTCTGCTGGTGCTGTGGGTATTGCTTCATGGGGGTTGCTAGGGGGGGAAAGAAGAATACCAAATGTGTTGAATGAGGCTGGCAAGGGGGGTGTTCACGTTCATGAGGAGGAGAGGAGGCGTGCGAGGGCGGCTGGCTATAGGCTAATAGCGGGTTGGCTTGCTAGGCGCTGCTGGTATGCGGCTTTTACGGGCATGGTGCATTGTGACAGGCCCTTCCCTCTGATCGGTCTCGGATTCTTTCTCCCCCTGCTTCTTTCTCCCCCCCCCCACCCATCCACCCATAACCTCTTGTTTTGCAGCACCCTGCCGCTTCCTATCCCTATTGTTTTGCCCCGGCCTGTGGTTTTTAATGGTTCGGTATGGTCCTTACCCACCCACCCTCCCCAAAACCTAACCTGTAGTTTTGGTATACGGAACCTCTGCCCCCCGATTACCGTACCCCCCCCCCTCCCCCCCTGCCAGGTTCCTGGAGCACAAGGGCGAGCTGGACAACATCCGGCTCATGTATGCGCGCATGCAGGCGCAGCTGGACGACACACACAAGCTGCTGCACGAGGAGCACCGCAAGCGATTCAAGTGAGGGATGCCGGCCTGCTTGTTAGATGTGTATGATGTTAAAATCTGTGGAAAGGGGTTGTCTTCAGTTATGTAAGGGGGTGTTGTCTTGGGGTTTGGTTGGAAGGAAGGCGGGAAGCCTGCCTGAAACACGCCCCGTTTGCTCCTTACTAGCCCCCTGGTCTTACTCTTTACCCCTCTTTCCTCCTTCCTACCCTTCCTTACCCCCTATCCCCCCCCCACCAGGTTGGAGGATGAGATCACGCGTCTTAACGTGGACCTCATGCGCATCGGCGATCTGGAGTCCAGACTCACGCATGAAAAGTGAGGCACTGCAGGGCTTGAAATTGGCTGGGGCTTAAAGAGATGGACTGGGCTACCCCAGTTGTAACCGTGTGGGGTACATCTAGACGGGACGCCCTTCGGTCCTACCGACCTCCCCTGACACCCACTCTTCGGAGTTGCATGCTGGCTGACACATGCGCCCGGCAGGCTTTGACGCACTTCATGCGCCCCAGCAGGAATTCCACTAGCCGCAATCCGCCCCTCCACACATGCCCTCGCCGCCGCGTTTCCGTTCCATTCCTGTACCACCCCACCCATTTCCACCTCCCCCATTCACTCCATCTTATCTCTCTTCCCTTCACCTCCCTTCTAACCTAACCCCCCCTATGCCATCTTCTCCCCCCCTCTTTTCCCCCCTCTTTTCCCCCCCTTCCCTCCCCCCCCAGGGGCGAGCGCATCAAATTGGAGCGGGAGTACCTGGCCCTGCAGCAGAAGGCGCTCAGCGCACCCGGGGAGGCGCTGGCGGAGGTGCGGGGGGGGGGCGGGCAGGCAGGAGGGGTGTACCCGAATTATAGGTTACCGTGCAGGGGCTCAGCAAGCCTAAATGTTTGCCGGCACCGCACAGTTATTTTTTCACACACCCCAACAGTCTGGTACGGTCCTCCTCGCGACCAGTTTACTTAACACCGTCATGGCACACCCACGCACACAACCCGGCGTGTAGCGATCCTGGTGCAGCCCCGGGGTTCCCAGGTGACAGGTAGCAGCCGAGGAATCGTGAGGTGGACACTAGATTATACTGCTTGTAGGCAGTGGTTGTTTGGCAACTTCGACCCCCTGTGGTACGGCTGTGATCCCCATGGTACGATTGTGACCCCCTGTGGTACGGCTGTGCCCTCCCCCGTGGTGCGCGCAGGTGCGGTCGCTGCGCGAGGAGCTGTTCGCGGTGAAGCGGGAGAAGGCCACAGCACAGCAGAAGGAGGCGGAGGTGAGGGGGTTGGAGAAATACCAGGACCGCAGGTTAGGGCAAAGCAATGGGGACATAGTGAGGAGGGAGGAGGGGAGGGGGTAGAATGGATAGGAAGGAACAGCTCCGGTGACCAGCTCGGGATTGCTGTGCATGGCAGCGGACGCAGACCGGCCGCCCGTATCCAATCCCTCTTTGCACCTTCCGGCAATGCTGCTCCTCATGCCCGCGGCCCCCCAGTCGTACGGTATTCCTCCCATGTCCACCCTCCGTCTCCACCTCCCTCATGCCTCTCCCTCCGCCTCTCCGCGCACCCACCCCCCCACCCCACCCGACCCTACCATGATGACGCCTTGCATGCGGTCAGTTAATTGTTTCCTCTTTACACCCCCTCCTGCCTCTCCGCAACCCCCCCCCCCCCACCCCTCCGCAGGTGCGCCTGGAGCTGAGCCACGTGCGGTCGCTGCTGGACGGCATGAACGCGGAGTCGTACCGAGTCATGCAGGACGAGAGCGACGGCATGAAGAAGCGCGTGGCGTCACTCACCCTGGAGCTGCAGGCGGCCAGGGACAAGCTGGCGGTGTACATGAGGTGGGGTGGGGGGAAAAAGAAATTCCAAAGTGTGGTGTGATAATGATACAAGTTGCTGACAATCCCTGGGAAGGGGAAGGGGAAGGGGGAAGGGGGTTCAGGATGGGGGAAAGGGAGGATACCCAATGTGTTGAATGAGGCTGGCAAACAAGCCGACGAGCTCCTGGTAAATGGAACCGACGATGGGATGTGGGAGGGAGTTCAGGATGGGTGGGTAAGATTAAGAAAACTTACGAGGCAACTAACGAGTTGTAGGACAAGGCTTCAGGATGGGTGGGGGTCCGAGAGGGTGGATTAAGAAGCCGAGCTGGATAAAAAAGCCGGAAAATGGGTGTACGGGAGGGTGCAGGGTCGTTAGGGCGCAGGCAATGCTGATGGGGAGGCTGTGTGGGGGGCCGCGCTGGACTAGAAGGGAGCAGCTTGCTTTGGCGGTGTGGGTGAAGGATGGAGGAGGGTTGGGTAGGAGAATGACGAGGATACGAAGATTCGAGGACCATTGCCTCTCATGCTGCCCCGCTGTGTCCTGCTGCTGCTGCTGCTGATGTGTCCTCCTGCTGCTGTCGCCGCTGTGTCCTGATGCTGCTGATGTGTCCTCCTGCTGCTGCCACCGCTGTGTCCTGATGCTGCTGATGTGTCCTCCTGCTGCTGCCACCGCTGTGTCCTGATGCTGATGTGGGTGCTTTGTTGGCTGCAGGACGGCGCCCTTAACGAGCAACCTGGGAGCGGATCTGCTGTTGGAAGACGGTGAGCGTGCCGGCGCGGTCTGGAGTAACGTATTCGATTGTACCGTAGTCAGGGTGCGCTGGTAGCATTGCTACGAAGCCGTCCAAAGCCGTGTGCGCTCACTGCATGAGTCTGGATATGGGATACGAGATTGGGACTGCAGTTGCTGCACTTCTCATGTATACTTTGCCCCCCTCCCCCTGGTCTCACTAATGCGGAATATGTATCCCTATTACCGGTACTCCCCCTCCCCCAGACCTGCTGTCTGGCAGCAGCGACCGGCGGCCCGACGCGGACAAGAGCCCTGAGGAGCTGCGTCGGGAGCTCATCCAGCTGCGGGACGTATGGCGGCTGGACCAGGGGGAGATCAAGAAGCTGCACAAGGTGAGAAACACCGGTGCATGATCGTGTCAGCCTGTACGCGTGTCCACAGTGTGTCCGTACGACAGTGAGGGGTGGCATGGACACAAACGAATGAATGATATGCGTTACATACCGGTAGTGCGAAGACAGGACTCGTAATAGTGGATTGGAATGGTGATAAAGTAAGGATGGAGGCTGGACGACCAGCAGTCATGTGTGCCATGGTCCAGTGTCGCCTAAACGGGCAGTGGGTCTTACTATGGCAATTCTTTGACTACGCGACGTTTGACAAGAATGCACCTCCCGCCTCGTTTTCGATCCTCTGCCTTTAACCGAAACACAACTTCCAACTCCAAACAAAAAGGTGTTGGAGACCGAATCCGCCATTACGCTCGAGGCCAAGGCCGCACTGGAGGAGGCTCACCGTGAAATGGAGCGACTCAAGAGGGACCTGCAGGGAGACCTGCGAAAGATGGAGGTGAGACGGTGGCCGTCCATACACCGCTGACCCATGGGTCACCCGCGCTGCCGATCATCAAAACCTTCTATTGACGTTTTCTTTCGTGAGGCACCGGCAAAGCAATGCACGGCTCCTCTTACCCTCCCTTCCTCAACACTCCTCAACACCCCCCCCCCGTCCATTCCCCCGCCCCCCTCCTTTTAATTAATTTTCCCCTCTTTTTCCCCGTAGCGCGAGTTGGAGCGTCGCGATGAGAAGATCCGCAAGTTGGAGCTGCAGCTGCGCGGCGCCTACAGCGGCATCAACCGGGCACTGCGCTCCAGCACCCGCGGGGCGCGGGGCGGCGCCGGCGGGCTGCGCGACTCGCTGCGCTCTGACACCGACGACTTTAGCGAAATCGCGGAGGAGCAGAACGTGTTTGAGCTGCATGTCACGGAGGCGCAGATCTACGTGAGTGGACGTGGAGGGAGGGTAAAGAGGAAACAACTAACTGACTGAGGGATAAGGCATCAACGTGGAGGGAGGGGGGAGGTTTGGTTGATATGGCTGTGGGGAAGAAGAACCTGATTGTCAAGGAGAAAGGGTTGCTGCCTCTCTTACCGGACTACCGTGGCATGGGTGCTGCTTCCTTACCCGCCACACTCTCCCGCGTCCCGCCTGAACGCTCTTCTCCTTTTCTCCCCGTCCCTGCCACTCCTCCCATTCGCCTCCTGGCCACCTTCGTCTACAACATGATATTTCTCCTCCTCCTTCTCTCCCCCCCCCCCCGCGGCCCGTGGTTTCTTATGGTTCGGAATGGTCTTTGACCCCCCGCCCGTACCCTCCCCTTACCCTGCAGGAGGAGGCCCTGGGCAAGGACCCCTCCGTCTTCTTCACCTTTGACTTCTTCATGCACGAGACGCAGGCCACCCCCGTGCTCGCCTCCAACGCGCCCTCCTTCAACACCCTCATCCAGGTCAGTTGCAGGCAGGCCGCACTGCTACTGCCGTACTGCCGTATGGGGGCACCATGCTACTGCCGTACTGCCGTATGGGGGCACCACGTCACACATCGGAACCATTGAGCCAATCCCCAACCGCGTTGGGCACCCACGTGTCATCCCTCTAGGGTGCCACTCCTCGATACATTACACACGCTTCCAACCCTTTAAACCTCCACCCCTCCCTCCTAACCCTCTTAACCCTCTTAACCCCCCTCCCTCTAAAAAACAAACGTACTTTTACCCCCTCCCCCCTCCCCCCCCAGTACGTGGTTGACTCCGACCCCTTCCTGCTGGAGTACCTGGACTCCCACGTGATGGCGCTGGAGCTGTGTCGCGCGCGGGGCTACGACTACGACGTGCTGGGTGTGGCGCGGGTGCCGCTGCGGCAGGTGCTGGAGGACCTGGAGATCGGAGCAGGTGGGAGGTGGGAGGTGGGAGGACCTGGAGATAGGCGCAGGTGGGAGGTGGGAGGTGGGAGGACCTGGAGATAGGCGCAGGTGGGAGGTGGGAGGTGGGAGGACCTGGAGATAGGCGCAGGTGGGAGGTGGGAGGACCTGGAGATAGGCGCAGGTGGGAGGTGGGAGGTGGGAGGACCTGGAGATAGGCGCAGGTGGGAGGTGGGAGGTGGGAGGACCTGGAGATAGGCGCAGGTGGGAGGTGGGAGGTGGGAGGACCTGGAGATAGGCGCAGGTGGGAGGTGGGAGGTGGGAGGACCTGGAGATAGGCGCAGGTGGGAGGTGGGAGGACCTGGAGATAGGCGCAGGTGGGAGGTGGGAGGTGGGAGGACCTGGAGATAGGCGCAGGTGGGAGGTGGGAGGTGGGAGGACCTGGAGATAGGCGCAGGTGGGAGGTGGGAGGTGGGAGGACCTGGAGATAGGCGCAGGTGGGAGGTGGGAGGTGGGAGGACCTGGAGATAGGCGCAGGTGGGAGGACCTGGAGATAGGCGCAGGTGGGAGGTGGGAGGTGGGAGGACCTGGAGATAGGCGCAGGTGGGAGGTGGGAGGTGGGAGGACCTGGAGATAGGCGCAGGTGGGAGGTGGGAGGTGGGAGGACCTGGAGATAGGCGCAGGTGGGAGGTGGGAGGTGGGAGGACCTGGAGATAGGCGCAGGTGGGAGGTGGGAGGTGGGAGGACCTGGAGATAGGCGCAGGTGGGAGGTGGGAGGTGGGAGGACCTGGAGATAGGCGCAGGTGGGAGGTGGGAGGTGGGAGGACCTGGAGATAGGCGCAGGTGGGAGGTGGGAGGTGGGAGGACCTGGAGATAGGCGCAGGTGGGAGGTGGGAGGTGGGAGGACCTGGAGATAGGCGCAGGTGGGAGGTGGGAGGTGGGAGGACCTGGAGATAGGCGCAGGTGGGAGGTGGGAGGTGGGAGGACCTGGAGATAGGCGCAGGTGGGAGGTGGGAGGTGGGAGGACCTGGAGATAGGCGCAGGTGGGAGGTGGGAGGTGGGAGGACCTGGAGATAGGCGCAGGTGGGAGGTGGGAGGTGGGAGGACCTGGAGATAGGCGCAGGTGGGAGGTGGGAGGTGGGAGGACCTGGAGATAGGCGCAGGTGGGAGGTGGGAGGTGGGAGGACCTGGAGATAGGCGCAGGTGGGAGGTGGGAGGTGGGAGGACCTGGAGATAGGCGCAGGTGGGAGGTGGGAGGTGGGAGGACCTGGAGATAGGCGCAGGTGGGAGGTGGGAGGTGGGAGGACCTGGAGATAGGCGCAGGTGGGAGGTGGGAGGTGGGAGGACCTGGAGATAGGCGCAGGTGGGAGGTGGGAGGTGGGAGGACCTGGAGATAGGCGCAGGTGGGAGGTGGGAGGTGGGAGGACCTGGAGATAGGCGCAGGTGGGAGGTGGGAGGTGGGAGGACCTGGAGATAGGCGCAGGTGGGAGGTGGGAGGTGGGAGGACCTGGAGATAGGCGCAGGTGGGAGGTGGGAGGTGGGAGGACCTGGAGATAGGCGCAGGTGGGAGGTGGGAGGTGGGAGGACCTGGAGATAGGCGCAGGTGGGAGGTGGGAGGTGGGAGGTGGGAGGACCTGGAGATAGGCGCAGGTGGGAGGTGGGAGGTGGGAGGACCTGGAGATAGGCGCAGGTGGGAGGTGGGAGGTGGGAGGACCTGGAGATAGGCGCAGGTGGGAGGTGGGAGGTGGGAGGACCTGGAGATAGGCGCAGGTGGGAGGTGGGAGGTGGGAGGACCTGGAGATAGGCGCAGGTGGGAGGTGGGAGGTGGGAGGACCTGGAGATAGGCGCAGGTGGGAGGTGGGAGGTGGGAGGACCTGGAGATAGGCGCAGGTGGGAGGTGGGAGGTGGGAGGACCTGGAGATAGGCGCAGGTGGGAGGTGGGAGACACCCCTGAGCAGGCTGATCGCGCCCTCCTGGTGTGCGCGTGTGTTAGAATAACTGGCCGCGCGTGTGTGTGGGTGTATCGCCTGGGGGATCGTGTCGCTGCTGCCTGTGGAAGAAAGGAGAAACATTGAATGAAAAGTGGAGCAACGGAGGGGAAGGGAGTGGGGCAGGGGAACCCGCGGAGCCCCACCCAGCGACGACCTTGGACTCCCCCGTGACCTCCCCTGTGGCCTCCCGGCCCCCTTATCCCGGAGTTTTCCTGATAAACTGCTTTCCTCTATCCCCGTTGCTTTGCCCCAACCTGTGCTTTTGGTATATCTCTGAAACCCCCACCCTGGGCGCCCCCTCGCAGCCCTGGGCTACAACCGCGCCTACCATTACGCCGACGTGTTCGGAGCGGACGGCCGCCGCTTGGGCCGCGTGCGCTACGGCTACTGCTTCCGGCGTCCGCTGGACTCGCTGCTGCAGGAATACCGGGCGCAGGCTCGCAGCAAGCGCGCAGCGGAACCCGACGAGAGGGATCCCGCCACGGGCGCGGTGCAGCAGGTGTGGGGTGGGAAGGGTGGGTGGGGGGGTCAAAATACCGGTAGACCAAACCGTAAGAATCCGGGAATGTGGGCGAAACAAAGGGGGAAGTGAGGCGGGCGGGTGCCACAAGTTACAGAGTGGGTGGGTGGGTGCTGGAAGGATGGGTAGGATGCTGCTGCGGGCAGGACGCGGGCGGTGGGTGGGTGGGTGAGGACTTGGGGTGCTCCTGGGGACTGTTGAATGGGAGCGGGGTGAGGAGGTAGGCAGGCACGCGCTCGCTCATCGCCCTGTTCCCCCTGGGTCCCCTTTCTCTCCCGCCTCCTCCTCCCCTCTCCCCTCAGGCGCTCACCCAGGCCGGCGCCAGCAGCTGCATCAAGGTCATCATTGAGCGCTGCGAGCAGCTGCTGCCGGCGGGCGGCTCGGCGGCCACCATGCGGCCCTACGTGCACTACAGGTGGGGTGGGGAATTATAGATAAGTGCAAGGGAGGGGGGGGGCGCGAGGGAGATGCAGGGATGTAAATGAGGAGCCTCTTGGTCGGGATAGTTGATGGGGCTGGTCAAAAGCCGCACCACGCATGCTCTTCTTCTCAGTCCGGCGCTGCGCTGAAACGTTTCACCTCTATGGTCAACATTGACTCCCCCCGTGCACGCACGCACGCACCTCCTATCCTTCCATTCCCTCTCATTGTATGACATCCTCAACCCCACACCGCCCCCTCACCCCCCCTCACTCCTCCCTAATGTTTTGCCCTATTTTCGTCGTTTCCTATGGTTTGGTTCCAACACCAACACTCCCTCTTGTGGCACCCTGCCGCCTCCCACTCCCCCATTGCTTTGCCCTAACCTGTGGTCTCCTATGGTATGGTACCCCCCCCAGGTTCCCCGGCCACCGGCAGTACCACGACACCCGAACGCTAGCCGGCGCCTCCCCCGTCTTCAACGACGAGGCGGTGTGGCCCATCGCACGCACCACCGCCCTGGAGGCAGACCTGCGCACCCGCAACCTCACGCTGGTGGTGTTTGATGATGCACAGGTGGGAGCAGGGCGGGGTGAGGAAGCGGGGTGAGGAAGCGGGGTGGGGATGACGGGGAGCTGTGGTGCACTGGTGCCAGCGTTACGTCGGCTGAGTTGCCTGTGTCTCTGCTGCTGCTGCTGCTTAGTTGAAACCCCGAAACGCCGAAACCTGATACCGGTACTCACTTTGCGAAAGGGGTTGCTCTGTGAGTGTGTTGTCAGATGCATGGCGCATGGCTGCCCTTGCTTGCGCTCACTTCTTTTGAAACCAAGGGTCTGCCATTACTACCGAGCATTATCCATCCTGAGCCCCACGCACCCTCCTCCCCCCGCCCTGGCGCTGCCGTACACACACACGACAGAGCGACGACCCGCTTCGTGCCATCGTGGGTGTGGCTAGCGTGCCGCTGGCGGGGCTGGCCAGCGGGGTGCCTGTGGAGGGCGCCTTCAAGCTCACCAACCCCGTCACACGCCAGCCGGCGGGGCGGCTGGTGTTGGGACTGGGCTGGCACAACCCGCTGCAGCTGCCGGGAGCGCCACCGAAAGGTGCGTGTACGTGGAGGGAGGGCCTGCAAGCGTGGGAGGCATGCAGTCGTGGGGGGCATGGGTAAATGATGGGGGTGGGGGTTGGCAGCCTGGAACTCTCTTACTCTTAGCTCTTTAGCGGACCAGCTGATCAATCAAGGTACCGGTGCGGCACCAGCGCTATCGCATCACTCATCGCGCTCCACAACCCCTTTTGCCGGTTTCCCCCCCCCCGGTCTGCGCCCCTGCCTGTTTCCACAGCTCCCGCCCCCAAGGTGCCCATCAGCAGTGAGCTGCGCGACGAGGGGGCGCCTCCCGACTTCAGCATGGCTGCCAACATACAGGTGGGTTGTGGGGATGACAAGGAGCCGCGTGCATCCTTTCCTCCGCAGCACTGCAGGTTACCCCGCAGGTTCCCTTACGTCAATTTGCCTGCCACGGGGAACCGTCGCCACGTCGCCCTTGTTTCCTTTCACGTTTGCTTCGGTCTTGAGTCAACCTGCTGATACCTTGGCTGTTCCTCCTTGCCCTGCTTTGCCTTGCATTGCCTTGCTGCAGGAGCTGCTGCCGGTGTCCGGCCCATCCAGCTGGGGAGCGGGTGGGCGCAGTGGCATGCTGCAGCACCCGCCACCGCCACCGCCGTCACGGCCAGGTGCCGGACTGCTGCCGCCGTCCCAGTACCCTCAGCAGCAGCAGCAAGGTCGGCAGCCGGCGGGAGGTCCGGGCGCCTACGATGGCCACGGCTTGCTGGCGGAGCTAGGTAAGGCAGGAGTGGGAGGGAAGGGATGGGAAGGGGCATGGAAGCGGTGGCTGTTGTGGCTGCCGTTTATGCCCCACATCGGTTCCACATGGGTTGGGGACCGGTATCATGTTGGGAAGCGCGTACGCGCCTGCGGAACAAGCTGTACTCTTCCGCAAACCAATGGCCTCCGGTTACACTGGAAACGTCCCGGAGACAAACCCTGTGGCAACACCTTGCAGGCGGCAACGCACCCTCCGGCGATGGTTTCGGCCTGGCTGCAGCATCCCGGGGCCCCCACCCGCATCCCTCCCAGCCACCACCCCAGCATCACCCACACCCACACACGTACGGCGCCAGCGGTGCGGGCGGTGGCGGCGGCGGTAGCGGCTTCGGACTGGCAGCAGAGGCAGCAGCACGACAACAGCCGCCGCAGCGGCCGGCCGCAGGTAGTTTTGGCCTTGACGCGGAAGCCCATGCAGACCAGTACTCGCGTCATTACCAGCAGCAGCAGCAGCAGTCGTCGTACGGGCAGCAGCAATCCCCGCTTAGACCGCAACCCTACCAGCAGCCATCTGCCCTCTCCGGCCGGAACCCCCCCGACTCCTATGGTCTGGGTGCTGAGATGGCGGTAGCAGGGGGAGGGCCCATGGGGCCAGGAGCAGGGCTTGGGCAGCAGCAACAGCAGCGGCAGGGCTCCTTTAGCCGCCCGACACTGCCTGGGGGGCTGCCGCCGCCGCCGCAGCCGCTGGCTCCCAGCGGCGCTGGCGGGCGGTACGGCGGTAGCGAGTATGCGGGTGCTGCCTTGGGTGGAGATGGAGGTTCCCGGCGGCCGAACGACGGCGCATTTGGGCTGGAGGTGGAGGCGGCAGGGTGAGGATGATGATGAGTGCGTTTGATTGGACACATACCGCCCATGCTGATATGCGCATATGCCTGATACGGTACCCGACTGGCATCCTGCGGGTACGTGTTCACATCCTGACGTACACGACTTGGGGCATCTAACGGTACACAGCCCTGGATGGCTGTGCTAACAGGCCTAGTACCGTAGCTTTCCGCATGCTACCGGATGCTAAGAAACCCCCACCCCTAAACCTTCACCGCGTTCCCCGCGCCTGCACGCCCTGCAGCCCTGCTCGCGGCGGCCGACCGCCCTCCCGGCAGCACTCGGGCGGGCTGGTGCAGCAGCAGCAGCCCCCCCAGCGGGAGGAGGGCTTCGGGCTGGGAGCCGAGCTGCAGGAGGACACCAGCAGCTCCTCACCACCGCCAAGTAAGCACAACGCCGTAGTAGCTGTGTGTTAACAAAACTGGCCGCGAGTCGGAACGCACTTCCCTGTGGGTTTAAGGAAACCGGCCGCGTGTGTGGCTTTTGTTTTGCGAGACTGCATGGCCCGGCAGTTTGGTTACTAAAAGGGATGTGCAATCGTTTGGCACATCTTCTAGCCATCGCCGCTATCGCCGCTACACTGGTTTGATGCTTCACGCCTTCTTTCGCAATGGGCATCGCTCTCCCCGTCCACACCCTCTTGATCCATCCTCCTGATCCATCCCCCGCAGGGAGCATGATGCTGTCCAGTCGAGCCGGCGGTCGCTCCCGCTACGCTGACACTGAGCTCTCGCTGGAAGCCGCCGGGCCGCGAGGTGTCAGCAGCGGCTCCGCGGTCGGGGGCGCTGCTCCCATGCTGCCGCCCTCGCAGCTACTGCCGCCACAGCAGTACCCGCAGCAGCAGCAGCAGCAATATCCCCAGCAGCAGCAGCTGCCGCCGCCTGATGCTGCGCTGGACCCTGTGTTGCGGCGGGAGCGGGCGGAGCCGGCCTTCTGGTCGGGCCTGGAGCACCGGTTGGTGCTGTGCCTGCATTCCCTGGAGCTCACGCCAGAGGTGGGGTTTTAGGGTACCGGTAATAGGAACGGGGTCATGGGGAGGGGGGTGCGGCTCGGAGGGGGACACGCAGGGGCGTGACTTGTGAGGAGCTGAGCGGGGAGCTGCTAGTTTGTGCTCTCGAGGAGTTCGTCATGTACACTCACGTTGCAAACAACAGTTCATGCGATTGGGAGCTACAAGCCCTGGCGTTCCTCTCTTCCCGCTGGCTGCCTTCCCTTCATCTTTGCATGCGTTTGTGTTCTGATATACCGTACTCACCCATCACCCTGCATGGCACGGCTCTTCTCTCCCCTCTCTCTCCCCCTTTCTCCCCGCAGGCGCTGCGCAACCCCCGGCTGCGCAACGTGGTGCTGATGCACTCGCTGCTGAGCGAGCAGGGCGGCGGCATCAGCGAGCTGGACACCTGCACGCAGCCGCTGCCAAAGGGCCCGGGGGAGCTGCAACTGGGCTACTGCGTGTCGTACAATGTGCTGGTGAGTGGGCGGCATGTGTGTTAAGAGAACTGGCCGCGAGTCGGAGCGTACCGTGATTGCCGGTGTCTGCGTGTGTGTGTCGTACAATGTGCTGCTGGTGTGGGGAGTCGTGTGTACCCAATGCATATGATGAAAGGAGGCATGGAGTGCCGCCGGGTTCCGGTGCATGGGCGACGCCGTTGCTGCATCATTGCCGGCGCCATTACTCCTTGCCAGCCTATCTTGCAGTTGTACACCCTCACCGCCGTCTCACTATGTTATAGTGCTCTCCAACTGCCGACTCTTCATCATGCCTTCCCTACCGCATGACCTCTCGCGCCCACCTTAGGCGCCCACCGCCGCTTCCGAGCTGCATTCGTCGCTGTCTGGCGCGGAGGATTTCTCGCTGGAGGTCAAGCTGATGAGCACCGCCGCATCGCGACTGGACATGAGCAGCATCGCACAGCCGGGGACGCTGCAGGTGGGCGGAGGGGGGGGGGTTGGGCGATGAGGACGCGTAGGGGCTTTCTAGCCGATGGCTTGCACCGTGCACAGTCATCAGGGCAGGTCCGGTAGGGGCAGCATTGGGCAACCTGAGATGGTTGCGAGTCCGTTGCGCAGCTAAAAGTGGAGCATATGAGGCATTGCTAGCCTGCAAAACCCATGGGATGTCGCGGCTTGGATGACCCATGGGTCATTGGTCGCCGTTGCTCGCAGGATTCCTTGGTCGCGCGGGTTACTCGTATTCTCGTATACGGTACTGAATGCTTGATTTTACACCTTTCAATTCGCTCCTCAGCGCACCGGTACCCCCCTCGTGTCTGCTCGCTTTCCCCGCCCCACCCCGCCCCGCCCCCAGACGGCCGGCTACTGCATGCTTCCGCTGGCAGACATCTGGTCAGGCCGGCGGGGCAACCTCATTCAGGTGAGCAGGCAGCGCTTTAGGTATGCTGAAAAGCATCATACTTGCCCCTTGCGTCGCCGCAGAGGCTGGGGTTAAGGCGGTTAAGGCAGCCCACAAGTTTAGTGCTCTGTAAAGGCGTCCTCGTCCCTTCCTACGTGGCAGCACGCTGGGTGCAGCAAAGTACCACCTTCTCCATAAACCCTGATTATTCCTGCTCAATTTTCTCCTCCTGTTCACCAACTCCCGTTCACCATCTAATGGCGCCCCCACAGGAGCGCATCGAGATCCTGGAGGACAGCGATGACATGGCGCATGTCGCCACCCTCACGGTGACGCTGATGGCGGAGGCGGCCCTGCGCACCCTGCGGCAGCAGCAGATGCGGCGCTGAGGGGGAGGGCGAGCTAGATATCGCGGAAATGAGTAACAGGAGAGCCGTGGGCAATGTAAGGGGCACTGGGAAGCGTGCATACTCGGCGGGGCATGGCTAATATGTTATGCAACGTTACAATCAGAAACGTATGGTGGTTAATATTATCCTGGGCGAGCGGCTACTGAAGGTGTGGCGGAATCGGCATAATCGGAAGACACCGATTATCTGTGCGCGGTCTCGCATTCCTGTAAAAATATTCCGAGGAATCTGCACTTTGTTACGGCATCTACTACGGGTGGTCTTCGGTTAGGCACGTGTATCGTGCGAAAATACGCGCTTTAGTGGCGAGAAGAGGAAAGGTGGAAACCAACGCGCTCCGAGACCAGTCTTCCAGCAGGTGGTCACTTGCAACTTGCGCGCTACCCGCTGTAAAGCAGCCTCATGAAGCTCTCCTCGCAATGTTAAAACATACTATTCAAGTACCCAGGCATCAAAGGCCTACATCAGGGATCTCTAATACTGTATCCCGTCGCACTGCGATTGCTCTTATCGTTGGCTTGACCGGCTCAACTGCAGCTCGCTTGCACGCGGAAGAGTCGGCATCATCGAGTGCATCAGTCGACTCGCGAGAGCCCGGTGCTCCTGCGGTTGCCTTTCCTGTTGCCCCGTCGACTCCAGCACCACATCCCAGTGATCCTTCAACTTTTACGTACGATTTCGCATCGGATGTTCCGTGTAACTTGCGCGTCAAAGAGTACTGGGCTATCATCAACCGCAACCGGACCGGTGCTTGGCAACAGATAGCACAGCAAATTCAGAACAGCAGCTATCAGTCGCTAACCCAAAGTCTCAATTTTGGGATTGTGGCGGAATTGCGGCAGGCAGCTCTGTATCTTCCATGGGCATTGCTTCAAAACAGCGAGTACTCGGCTTCGGTGGACGCCTTCAAGGCGTACAAGAATTTCGATGAGCATGTTAAAGACTTGCAGCGTACAGCAGCTGCAGCGGCCGCACAGCTTCCCGACGGTCACACACCGCAGCAGGCTCAGCAGGTCCAGCAGGCCTTCATCCTGATGTCGGCTTCCCTCGACGGCTTCCTGGCAACAATTCCCGCGCGTTACACCGCTGGCTTGGCGTTCTTCAGGTCACAGGAGTCACGATGATGACGGCGGGTGCGTCGGGCCGTGCTTTTGGGTTTGAGGCTGCAGTGGGATGTGTAGGAGACCCCCCTGGATGTGTACCGTGCCGCAAGCGTGGGTGTAGCAGTAGACAGCGGCGCGGCGCCCTGTGGAACGCTTTCCGGCGCCTCATGCCGTCTTATACACTTGCTTATTTCAGGCTCTGTCGCACCTTGCTTCTGCCCGTGGTTGCAGGGGTTATCACGACAACGCAACGCTGGCACTTGTCGTACAAGGCAAACGGAGATCCTAAAGCCGAACAAGTCGTGATCCGAGGATGCGTTCCGGCTGCGACGTACTGTCGTGGAGGCCATCTTAACCGCATGCACAAAGTGCTGCCCCATGCTGCACGGGCTTTAACTTGATGGCTTACGAACGGATCCTGCTTGCCGACTTGCGCGGCGTGCCAGCTCGCGTGTTTACCCTATTTTGTAGCGGTTGGTGGTTAGTTGCCGAAGTGGTACGGGGCCGCACTCTGGACTTGCTTGCTTTTACACTACCGGACCGGGCATGTTACGTGGTTAGGGATTGGCTTAACGCGAATGGAGAGGTGCTTGTACAACGTGGTATGTTGTGTGCATGTATCACTCCTACGGATTCTGCGGTTCATGGGCCTTGGAATTTTCATTTGGGTGCTACACGGCTAAGGGGGCCAGGGCACCTATGCTTCTGCAGGCCCCATGGCAGCAGTTGGTGTAAACAGGATGGGCAGAGTTGTGCAGTTGACACCCTTCATCCGGTGAGAGCACGGTCAGTAGCTACGTGCTTTCACAGACTTGAGGTACTTGCCGGGCGCTTGCTTCCGTCTGGGGGAACGCCGTTTTGGTGCATGAAGGGGATCGGGTGAACCACTGTAAAACACACTCGGGCATCCCCAGTTCCCCACGCCACACAGCAAGGCGTTGCATACAGCTGCTCGGCGCATCTGGTACATGGCACTGCATATGCTACATGGGGGAAGCGTCTCCTACGTAGCGTTCAGGGCCGAGTTGCGATCCCATACGCCGAGACACTCGCCAACTGCTCTCCGACTTTACGTACGACTCCAATTCTCGACAACTCCACATGTGGCTCCTTAAGTGCAATATTATCCAGAATGCTAAGATATATATAAAACTGGACATAGTCATTATAATTAATTCCTTCCTCTGTACCTCGCGGAAATGAGCCGTAAGAGGCCCCCGGACAACCCACTTGGGTCGGCCCTGTGAAACAGGGCCCTCTATATAGGCAAAGTTGCTACATCTCTATTTGGGAAGGAGCCGACGCCCTTTTGGCGGGCTGGCAGGCCCTTCCCAGCATGGGCCAACTGCCCTCCCACCCCTCTTTGGGCAGCGACTGTTTGCAGCCTTCGATAGCGGAGATGCGGCAGGCGTGGAGGTACGTAAGGACTAAGGAATTCCCGTAGCACTCTGGGCAGTATGGATGGCCCTCTTCCCTGCGCCTCCGGGCATAGTTGTTTCGATAAATCACTCCTGCTGCTATATGTCAACTGCAGACTGTCCTTGACGAGGTTGCCTCGGAACAGCGTCGTGCCACGCTTGTAAACAATTTGGTTCACCATGGCCGTTCGCTGCTGCAAAACGCGGCGGTTGTAGGGGACTATGGGATATGCCAGGTGGTAAGTCACTTGGCAAAACAATGCGGGACACCACCGGTTAAGGTCATAGACAGACTCTTGAAGGGAGCAGGCAGCATAGCAGTGGACACACCGCTGTTTGCCCCCCATGTACCAACCCAAAGCAGCTCTCGCTCATCCCCTCTTTCCCCCCTCCCACTCCCTAAACAGCTCCTTAATGCCGGAGCAATCCCGGACTTCGACCTCGACCGTCCTACACCCTCATCCTCCTCTGTTTCATCCGCCACCTCTCCCTCTGCATCAAACCCCGTGGATAATGCCCTTGCCGACGGCGGCGGCGGCTCTCCCCTCCACGCCGCTGCTGCCGTGCTGGCCGCCTCGTCTTCCACCACCTCCAGCCGCAACAGCAGCAGCCTTACCCGGCAGCGCCTGGCTCGCACCATCGGTGTGCTTCTAGACGCGGGTGCGGACCCCTGCCGCGAGAACCGAGCCGGCCTGACCGCCTTGGACCTCCTACTGCTGACGTCGGCAGCGGAACCTGCACGTACGAGCAGTAGTAAAAGTGAAGGCTTGAGAAGCGGCGGAGTCGGCAGCAGCGGCGGTGGTGGCGGTGGCGCCATTGGGTGCTGGGGTGGGCTGTTTGCGGCTCTGAAGGGCGGTGGTAGCGGCATGTCACGAGCAGGAGGAAGAGCAGGAGGAGGAGGGGGTAAAGGAGGCGCAGCGGGCAGCAGGTGTGCGCACCTCACTGCCGTACAGCGGCGGATGGTGGAGGCGGGCGGACTGCACAGCTGCTTGGCCTGCGTGCAGGTGAGGGCAATGACCCCAATGACATGGCTGTGGCCCAAGGTGGTTAGCTTGTGTTGCCGGGCACGAGGACTCGTGCACGCCGTACGGCATGCTTGGAATGCTGCGCTTCATAAGGGGTGCATGGATGGGTTAACATGGGCCCCTCGGGGCTGACGTGCCCGCATGGGCTAGCGGGTATACCGGTACTTCAACTCCGCGCCGCGGCCGCTGTGGTTGGCACTTCATGACCGTATGTCTACGCCATTTAAGCCTCCTGCTCGTTCTTCTTCACCCTTGTTCCCCGTGTAACAGGTGGCCTCCTCCGTGCACGACCCACATGACGGCAGCCGCAGCTCCCACTGGCTCCCCGTCTGGCTGGTGCTGATGCCCCGCCGTTGCAACAGCAACAGCAGCAATGTCGGTGACAGCAGCACCGCCAGCCACCGTCACGCGCTGCTGGGCTCTCGTGCGCCGCTGCTGGCGACATGCTACGAGCTGCTGTGCTTTGAGACAGCACCCGAGGAGCAGCAGCAGGAGCAGGGAGGAAGCAGGAGATGTGGTGACAGCGGCGGTGGCGGGGGCGGGGGGCGGCTGTTGTTCCGGGTGCCCCTGGGTGGGTGTGAGGTGGAGCAGCTGCCGCAGCAGCTGCAAGGGCAGCCACACGGCGTTGCGGTAGGTGTGTGGGGTCGGGAGGGGTTTCCAGGGCAGGGGGTGGGGTTCATGGTTCGGAAGAATGCATTGCCTGGCTTAACGTGTGAAAGAGATCTTCCGAGGGATAGGGGAGAGGGGTGGATGCATTTGGGTAGGGGGCGGGGCTGGTTAGCTTGATGTGTGCAGGGGGGGAACGTGCCGCCGGGTTTAACAATGAGGCAGATGGCGGGGCTAGCTGACCCAAATCGTCATTTGCATTTCGCAGCAGACCTTCCTCCCTCAATGCTCTTAGCTGCCGTGAGCCCCTTGCCATACCTTTCAGGCGTCCGTTCTTACCCCTTTTTCTTTCCCCATCCCCCATCCCTCTCTCTCCTCGTCCCAACTGCTCCTGGACCTCCATCCACCCCAACCTCCACCTCCACCTTCTCCCCTTCTTCACCTCCACGTGTCCGCTGTCCCCTGGCGTTGTGGCAGCGCCTGCTCATTCCCCTCAGCGCCAGCTCCAACTGCGGCGCCAGCCAGCAGGGGCCGTCAGCCGGGGCGTCTGCCGCCCGCACTGCTCCCCCTCAGCTTCCTCTCAGCGCTTCAGCTGTCCCTCCGCAGCGACCCAGCAGCAACCCCAGCCCTGGAGGCTACATGCAGCTCTGGAGCCGCCAACTGAACGGACCTCTTCCTCCTCCTCTTCCTTCCCCATCCGTTTCCACTGCTGCTGCCAGTACGACTGCCTCTGCCTCTGCTGCCACTGCCACTACGGCTGCCATTGCTACTACTGCTGCCGCTGCTGCGACCCACTGGGCGGTTCACCTCCGACCAGTCCAATTAGGACAGCGGAGTCCCATCACCTCCACCACAACAACGACAACAACAGCAGCAGCAGGACCTGCTGCTCCACCACCTGCCTCGTCCGCTGCGGCATTGAGTACGGCAGCTGTGCCCAGTACGGCAGCAGCTGCGGCACTGGAGTCGCTGTTGGCACTGTGCGTCTCACTAGGTGGGGGAGATGGAGGCGGCGGCAGCCGTGCCGGCGGAGCGGCCCGGGTGGGGGTGGCGACAGCGACGAGCACGAGCCAGCAGCATCAGCAACCACCACAACAGCAGCAGCAACAGCAACCACCACAACAGCAGCAGCATCAGCAACCACCACAACAGCAGCAGCAACAGCAACCACCACAGCAGCAGCAACAGCAACAGCGGCGGCGGCGACAGCTGGCATTACCTCCGCTACAGGAGCAGCAGCCCCACGGGGTGACCGCGGCGATGTCGGCGGAGGGAGCTGCAGGGGCTGCAGCCGGCATCGGCATCGGTATCAAACCAGCAGCCGACGCAGCAGCTGCAGCAGCTGCTGTTGAGGTTGAAGCGCCGGGTGCGTTGGGTGCTCGGGTGAGCACTAGGAGGTCTGCTGAGGACAGCGTCGCCCGCAGTGTGGGCTGTAGTAGGACCGGGGCGTTGGACGTGCTGCATGGGGATGCTGGTGGGCACGGGCGGGGCACGGGCGAGAAGGCGCATGCGGTAGGGAAGGCTGCCGCTGCAGCTGTAGCGACAGGGAGTGGCGGGGAGGGGCTCCAGGCAAGCGGCGGTAGCGGCAGGAGTGGCTGCTGCCTGGCTGCCACTGATCAGGGCGGGGGCTCCTTTGTGGGAGCGGAAGAGGCGGCGCGTGCTGATGTGGATTTGGATCCCGGGACAGACGGGCGCGGCTCCGGTGCCTCAGGGGGGCGCACGTGGTGTGGTGCGGGGTCGCCGTCGGTTGCTGGTGGTGGCTTGGGTGGTGGGGCTGCATGTGCATGGGAAGGCGATGGCGGTGGTGGAGGAGCCAGTGGGGGTGGAGAAGGAGGGGTGGACGGCGGTGGCTTAGGAGGCGGTGCGATGCGGTTGAGTGGTCGGGGTGGTGGTTGCGGCGCGGAGCATGCAGGAGAAGGAGGAGGAGGTCCGAGCTCCCAAATATTCCCACCGCCTTCACGGCCAGAGCAACAGCAGCGGCAGGAGCAGGAGCAGGGGGAGAGTCTTGCTACCCTTGGAGGAGGCCAAGCTGGCGGTAGGAGCTGCAACACCAGCAGCAGCAACAGGAGCCGCTGTGTGGTGTGTCTGAGTGCGAGCTCAGTGGTGGGCTTCCGACATGGTCACACGGTGCACTGCTGCGCCTGCTACGAATGCGCGCGACAGCTGCTATCGCTGCCGCCGGCGCCGTGCTTACCAGCGGCAGCGGCAGCACCCCCATCGTCACTGCCGCTGCAGCTACCTTCCTCTCAGGCGCCGGCGACCCGTGCTGCTGCTACTGGTGCGGCTGTTGCGGCTGCTGGGGGCCCCGGCATGGGCAGGGGTGCATGGGCGGGTGCTGCTGGTGCAGCGCCTGCTGGTGCCGTGTTGTGTCCGCTGTGCCGGCAGGAGGTGGAGGATGTGTTGCTGGTCTACACGGCTTGAGCGCCACGCAAGACCCTGCAGCAGCAACCGCTGCTGCCGTCATCAGGAGGCACATGCGACGGGAGTTTCCGAATGCCGCCGCGGGTTACAGCGGGCTTGGACGGAGCGTTGCATTGCTGCCTGACGTGTGCCCGGCTGTGTGCTATACCCATGACTGCCGTTGTGCCGTATACGTAGCTACATGTCGCGGGTCGCGGAGAGGAAGTATGTTGGGTCTCACTTGTGGAGCCAAGTGGCTGGAGAGGTTAGGAGCATTGGGCTGCATGCAAGTGGTGCGTGTTCGCAGAGATTATGGTAGTAGTTGCTGGGGTCATGGGAGGAGGGCCGCAATAGGCTGTGCATGCCTGTGTAGTATGAAGGATATATTTAGGGTTATGTGGCAGTAATTGGAGACCGCTCAAGGGTTCCGCTTGAGTGTGTTTTGTGGTAGCGGTCTTATAGCCATTCGAATAGTTCTCTTGGTGTTGGTTTCCTGTGTCAGCTACTAGTCTTGCTGCCCTGCCTTAGCCTGCCGGGGTGATGGCACCACCACGGCGAGAGCGTGGGAGCACAAAGCAAACAGGACAGGAGGGTGCCCGTGTGGTTTAGGTACGGCAGAGCAATCATTTGGGGCCTGGCAAGTCTGGGGAGGTGTTAGCCACGTCACGTGGCCAGAGAGAGGCCGCAACAGGAGGTCCAAGGAGTCGGATATCCGTACGAACGCTGCCGTATTCTTGTTGTTGCATTAGAAATCTGGATACATAATGCGCATGTTTGTATAGGACTTCGGATCCGCGTGTCAAATTATTTAGGGACGTTACCTGTTATGACTCTTTCTGGGTGGAATGCTGCGGATGCTCGTGAGTACATATCGAACTGCGGCAGTAGCCATGGACATGTCCACTATTTAGATAGGTAGACGATCGGCAAGGGAGGCTTAATCACTTACAATACATTAACAACACACACAAAACGTCCACTATGCGTACTAGACTACCTAAGCTTGCAGATTAGTCAGTTGCACGAAAGAAAATTGAAATATTATGCAGTCTTTGTTAGGTCTTCTTTTCATTAGTCATCAACCATGGGCTCCGTACGGACTCCGTACCCTATATTTGGACGAAATGCAAACCGCATCATACCACCTAAAGCGTACGTATGAATAAACAAAATCCCACCCGGCCTTACTACAGGCTTGAACGTCAGCTTCCAGGACTCGGCAACAGAGCAAGTCGGGACACCCGGGTCGCCCTCAAATTCATATGAGGGTCAAGCGAAGCAGCGATACGGTTGTTCCTCATCGCCCAACCTCGAAGCTGTCTGTGTAAAAGCAGCACTTGGCAACGCACTGACACACGTGTCTCAACACACATTCAACGTAGTTGACCATGGCAGCGCCGGTACGACAAAAAACAAGGACAGTAACGTCACAGCACAACAAGGTCGTCGCTGCAAGTGCAACTTAAAAGACAAAAGCACCGAGTTCCAACCGGACAACGACGGGAAAGTGATGCCGGGCAAGCAGCAGCACCGTCTAGTACGGTAACACCGGGCAACATCTCACGACCCATGGGTCAAGAGGGCGCTTCTCGTGTTGATCAGCCCATGTCAAGTTGCCAACCCACGCCTGCGATGGCAGGCCGGTATACTGCCCTTGTTGCCCAGTCTAATTGTCATAACAAAACCCAATGCCGCGTTTATTTCTTCCGCAACCGCCTGACACATTATTGGGTTAACGGTAATCCAGAAAAAATTACGAGACCAACACACCACGCATCCCCCAGGTAACCCTGCACAAGCTGTAAACAAGGGTATCCCATATTCTGGCGACAATCGCCACATTCAGGCCGCAACCTCCTTTCATCAACGGTACGCGCGCCCATACACAGCAGAGGACAACCCATACAATTCCGTCCCAACCAAACAGCAATTATGAAAACCCGGGCAAGAAAGACAACAAAAAAACACGCGTACTTGGCCTTGCATACCAAGAGACATCACACAAAACAGAAATACCCAAAGCTACAAAAGCAAACTGGTTGGGGGCTACGCGCGCCGCTCGACTTCGATTGCATTATCACAAAGTTGCCAGGGAAGGAGTGCGGCGTACGACATGACGCCATTCCCAGGTGACCCATGAGTCAACATGTGAAACGCCTCACCGGTGTAACCGTTATATTATGCCATGCGGAAGGGCGGCAGGCATGGCCGCATACATGCATATGATGATCCCACGCCATGTGCAGGGATGCCGCCCATGCCCTTATTTCATTACTAACTCAAACTACCGACTCAAACGCTCAAATCCCCAGTCATCCTCAGGCCATGTTTCCTCAATCCTCAGCCCGAGAAGAAAGCAGCGGCTCCAGACAGCCTTGTCTGGGCCTCAAAGCTACTTTGATGCTGCTGCTGCTGTTGCAGCGCGGCGGCGTCCTCATAGGCTCGCAGCTGCTTCAGCAGAACCTGCTCCGGAAGAGTAGGGCATGCAACAACAGCAAAACGGAAAGGCTGTGTGATCGGATGAGCGGCAGATAAAGTAGGCAGACACACCGGACCGTGGCAAACACGGTACGGTGGCTGCCGGCTGTTGACTCACAGCAGCAGGGGAAGGAGCCCCTTTTCCGCTCCTGCTGCTGCTGCCGGTGGCCGTGCGAGTGTGTGTGTGACCACACACACCTAGGCGGCTTGCGGTCAGATTTACGAAACACAGGGAACTCTGGGCTGCTGTCGAGAGCAAGTACCGGTAACCTACTGGTATTAAACGTACCTCCCAGTTAGTTAGAAAGCCCCCCTACCTCGTTATGCTTCTCCACCATTCGTTTCTCGCGTCTGAGTGCCGCCAGCTGCTCCTCCTGCTGCTGAATGCGTGCCTCCAATTCCGACGTGACCTCCTGTTTAGGCAACGCGGCAACAAAAAGGTAAGAAGATGGCGCCAGTGATTCGGGATTTCAGCGATGCAGCATGGATTTAATCAAAGCCAAGAATGAAACGACGGAAACAAGGCAACAGCAAAAGCAGTACCCGCACACCAAACACCGTGCATGGTCAAAACAGTCACACGGTTGCATTGTTTTTGTACAGCCGCGTCCCATGGGTCATCCCATGGGCGATTGCAATCGTGCATTCTATATTGTGTTCTCCACACTCATCAACCACCCCGTCACGTGGTTCAGCGATTGCGGCTGCAAACGTACCCGCTGGCGTTGCCTGAACCTCCGCTGGGCCTCCCGGTTCTTTGTGCTCCCAACATTCCCAGCATCGCACCCATGCGGTGCAGAACTGGCCAATCGCGGCAGCTGGTACTGCTGCTGGTGCTGTTGTTGTTGTTTACCGGCGCTGAGGTCTTCGTACGTGCGTTTCATTTTGTCACAGTAGCTGCGAATCTCCGTCGACAATGCAATTGACTTGCCATCGCCGCTGGTGCTGCTACCACACCGGCCGGCTGCGGCCGTCAAAGCAGCAACAGCCGCTGCAGCTGCTGCGGATACGGAGGCTGGGGAGGACGAGGGAGGCGTCGATGACCAGGCAGCAGCAGCAGCAGCAGCGGTCGCCGGCGGCGGCAGAGGCGCAGTTGGTACCATAGTTGCTGCTGCTGCCATTGCAGTCGTGACGTTGTTCCTTTTTGTGCCTAGCCTTGCAATGTCGCTCCTTAGCGGGCGAAGCTGCTGCTGTTGCTGCAGCTCTTGGTGCAAGTGAAGTAATGGGAAAGGGGATACCTTTAAGGGAATTGTTAGGGCTGATGCCGAGGCTTGCAGGATCTGGGCATTTCGAGGGCTGCAGTTGCCTGATAGCGTTGATTGCAGCGGTCCCAACGCTGAAGGCATTGAACTTGGCTCGGAAGCGCTAAGGATGCGCGGAGCAGGACTGGTTGGCGACTCCTGTTGCGCAGCTGCTATTGCCCCAGGCGAGGAGGAACTGTGTTCAATAACTTCTTGACAGCTCAGAGCGAGGTTGTATGGGCAAGACGAGGCGGCTTCGTTCTTATTAGCATTGCACGTCGAAGGCAGCCGACCGACAAGTGGCGCAGCAACTGCAAGGGAAAACAGCAACAAAGGCGTCTAATGTAATTAGCGCTAGGAATAGTATATATAGGAGGAGCGGCGCAGCCCGTGCGATTGTCGGCGGGCCTGACCATATGCTGACGCGACTGTTTCAAAGTAAAACCTGCCTCACCATCGAAGTTCGTTGCCGAGTTGGCCCACATAGCTATGGTGTTCACGTTTAGCGGGAGTATGCAAGATGTCCCCGCGGCTAGGAGATAACCTATTGAAAGCGTTATTACTGCTGCTTGCGAACGCTTGGAGGCAATCCAACCAAGCAGTTACGTCGACGCAGATTGCCCCTCTCCGTCAGTCTCTGCCTTAGCGTGTTTCCGCCGGCGATTGTCGACCATATCCCGGAAACGAATCCTAGCTGCAGCTGGCTGCAGTGGAAGAACGGGGAGGCAGTTAATGTTTTTGTGGGTCAGCTGGGCCAACTTTTTACTGGTATACTCATTGGTCGTGGTTACTACGTGGCATGGGACTTAATACACCGCCATTAAGAGCAGCAGCTGACCTAGCAGCTTCAGGACAAAGGAGGGCTCGACATCCAGGCCTTGTTGGACATACCTGTAACAGCGGCTCTTCAGAGCCTCGGATGCAGTGAACTCAATGGTAGATAGCAAGCCAAACGCCGAGCGTAAGTGTGTCGTTCGGATGCTGACAAATACACGGTTATTGACAGATCGCAAATGGATAACAAAACAACTTCTTGATCGAAGCAAAGTGTTTCGCCTCAAGCCCCACCCTGCCGGCGGTGAGTATATGCCTTAGGACTTTATCCGGTCTCGGAGCGTGGTGAGCCCAATACTTGTACAATGGCCCCTTATGTATCAGCTCCGAACATGAATAACATAATGGGAAACCAGGTCGAAGCGCATAAGGGCAGTCAAGTGAACCTTATTCAGCCTTGCGTACCGTACGTGCGTACCGTAGCTTGGCTGCACTAAGCGATTCCGCGTTAGGCGATATCTCTCGGCAACTATTGTCCTGCGTCCGTTCGTTCAATTTTTGGAGAAGGCATTGATGCCCAGAGAATCCCCGACCAGCAGAGACCGCCATGGATGCAAGGACTTCATACGTTGTTGTAGTTTCACAACTATATGGCTTCCTTTACGTACTCAGAAACAGCTCTACCTCACAATACTTCAGCCGAAATGATTTTAACCTGTCAAAAAAAGAACCCTACGATGGGCATTGCGCCATTCGGAACGCCCGTCAACCCAGAACAAATGCACCCTCCCCTTTGTACTCCACGTCATCACAAACAAAGTCACAATTGGCTACAACCGCAATCGTCCAAGCATTCCACTCCTCCACCTCCCTTGTCTACAAACTTACGGCAAGTCATGGTCTCATCCAAGCCCTCCTTATCTACCCAGCGCTTTGCTGATCCGAACGGAACCAGCAAGCCTGACCCTACGCCCTACTTCTGTGCACGTCTAGAACACCTTACCAACACTGCTAGATACCCCCATCACTACTGTCAACAGGCCCGAAGCGCCCCGGGCAACCATGTCAGCCCCTCAGCGCCATGTCCAGCCATGTCTTAACGTGTTCAGCCTCCCTCTCTCTCTTCCTTTACCTCTCATCCTCCGCCACCTGAACGCACTCAGCCTGTGACAGGACAGTTCCCATGTCACGTCAGGCTGCACAGCTCGCCTCTTCCTGTCATCAATCGCCGCCACTCCGCCACGTGTCGAAGTACGGTAACTCCTTCCCTGCAGCCTCCTCACGTCCTCAGCTCCTCTCATGGCCGCTGCAGCCCTCCCCAATCGCCGCTACCAGCTGCGCCCCTTCCCGCTGCAACCGCTGCAACTGCTGCACACGGTGTATGGACCGCAGCACAGACAGCGGTGTTGACGACCCGCCAGCTCCCCCTCCTGGCGTCGCCAGCATCAGCTGGCCGCGTGTCGTACTCGACCTCCTGCCGCCGCCGCCAGCTGCTCCTGCAGTGCCGTACGGCGACGGCGTCGCCAACGTGGCCGGGTCGGCATAGTGGGTTAAGAAGCCGCCACCCGTGTCGTGGGCCTCCTGTTGCCGTAGTCCGGCCAAGGCTGGGGGACTCAGGGGCGCCGTATGTTCTGCCGTACGTAGGGTGGCGGCAGTTGTGCCGTACTGTTGGTGCTGCGGCCCAGGGCTGGCTAGGCCAAGTGAGGTCATGGAGGGTGTCATGGGTGACGGGGAGGTAAGGGCGGGGCCCGGGGATCCAAAGGCAAGGGTCCGTTGGAGTGGAGAGGGGATGTTAGCGGATGCCGTCTGTGGTTGTGTAGGGCGAGATGGTGTTGCGTAGGGCGAGGAGAACGGAAAGCTGAATTCGGATGCGGATGGTGTGGCTGACGATGAAAGGGGAGCGAAGGGGACGACGGTCGGAGCTGTAGGCTGCTGCTGAGATGGCTGAGCCTCGGCAGAAGAGAGGATTTCAGCGCCTGCTGAGCGAAGGGACTGCAGCTGTTTAAGTAATGCAGCACGATCTGATGGCGGTTTTGGCCTGTGCGGGGGGTTGGATGATAGGCAGGTGCCGGTAAAAGGAAAGAAGTGAGTTTGGGGCTCTGCATAAGAAGCATCGGCCATGGCATCCCGTACCTGGATATCTCTGGTTTGGGTAGCAGCGGCGCTTGGATAAGGGTAAGCTTAAGCTCTGCTCCGAATCCCGTTGCAGCTTGCTCTCCTGACTTAGCATCCTGCTGCTGAGCGTAAGACGTGCTCGTAGCATCCGCTGTCCGTGCTTCGGCCTCTCCTCCTACTTCGACTGGTAACTGCCTAGTGGAACTTTTATTCGTCACAGGTGTCGTTGTCGGTGTAATCCCTGTCCGCGTCTGGAGCTTTTGTTTCCATAAGGGCGTCGATGACTTCGCCTCCGCAGTCCCGGCCTTGGCATTGGCGGCCTTAGCAGCGAGGAATTCACGAACTTTAATAGCGGGAGGCATGGTGCAAGCGAAGGCTTTCGGGATGTGCAAGTATTTTGGCGCGAGCTCTATCGCTTGACGACCGTTAACTGATGAGTATACATTCGTTGGCAGCCCTTCAAGTTCTCAAGCACGCTAACATGTGCGGTAACTATAGTTGCTGGTTCACGCAACCTGAAGCGGATTAGGTGCCGTACATATCACAGTTCAGAGCTGTCCGGGGCTTGCTTGCCGTACACCTACAAGCAGACGCCTGGTTGCTGGAGGTAGGTATCGTCTTGGCATAGCTACTTGGGTTGTTGGCGGATTGATGTCATGAGTTCGTGTGTGGCACGGATCGGGTGTGCTATTTGCCCCGACGCCACCTAACTTCGCTTAGAAGTAAGAGACCCGCCGTACAGGAGGCATGCTGCCGTACAAGAGACATACTGAGTCGCTGATCCCCCCTTTTGAAACTACAATAGCTTCCTTTGTCAGCAGGGACGCAGTCATCAGCCTTCGTCCAATTTCTTGTACTCGGTACAATGTTTAACCTAATGACGGCGCCAGCGGCGATACACCGGCAACCTCCGGCAACCTCCTCTCAACCGCTAACCTCATCACCACTACTAGCTCGCCGCCCCGCTACTCGGCTTGGCGTAAACAACATTCCCGAACCCTGGCCGCCCCGCTACTCGGCTTGGCCCTACAAAACCTGCGCCCTGCCCCAGAGAAAACGGCAACGTAACCATGTCAGTCAGGTTTTACTATTTGCACCAATGGCCGGTTGCAACACTCAAGGCCACGAACTACCGGAAGAACACAATTGACGGAAAAAAACTGTGGCGGCCCGGCGGAGAACCGGCGGGGCCGCGGACGGGGAAGGCGGGCGGGTACTTAATAAGCAACAAGATAGTACCTATGAGTTTCTTGCTTTAGCTGCCGTGATGCGTTACAGCAGATAATGTAAGCCGAAGCCAACCAGCCGTACGTCGCCTCCACACCAAGAACCCTAACCCTGACCCACACATCCCGACGCCCCAACCCATGTTAAAGATGCACTAGTGGCCGATTGTGCTGACAGCACCCAGTGTTGCACCTCGATTGCCGATTGACCCCCTTAATTGAGGGACCGGCTTCTAAGAGCCCCTCCAAACTAGTTGTCCTACTCGAGACGAAACGCAAGCAAACCCCCACTCGCTAGGCGCGACCTCGGGCGGGTGGGCGGGACCTAGGCGGCCACAATCCCGGCAGAGGGATGGCCACCCGATACTATCAATCACAACGGCAGTTGAAAGCACAAACGCGTGGGCAGCCCTGATAGGCTGGGTCGATTTGCCATCGCTGTCGTACACCCATGCAAGCGCGCCATCTGCTTCCACGCACCACGGCAGCTAGCAAGAAACCTACTTCTTCAGTCATACTTCCTTACAGAAGTGGCATCATCACAACACGGCGGATTAGCCGTGACACAATACTTAGAACGCATATAGCCAAAAGAAGTATCGTACCTCGTCCCAGAAACCGCCTTTTCGTACCGAAATATCTACGCTTAACATGCATAGCCCAAACGGAGCACCATTGTGCTAACAACTTTTGGTCAACCAACCAGCAGGAAGGCTCCTAGTAGCTTCCAGCATTTCGCAACTCACTCTCACTAACTGCAAAGTTATCTTCCCCTGGTAGCGGTGTATGTGCACGCTTACTTGAGTCGTGAAGTGCACCTTTCCATTCCGCCGCTGCCTACCGCCGCCAGCAGTGCATGCCAAGTTGCCGCCAGTCCAGCCCCGACCTACACCACAAACACTACGCGGGTCCAAACACCCGCTCGTACTCCCACAGGGTCATGTCGTACTCCTGCGTCACCTGGCAGCCGCACCCGTACCCCGGAAGCCGCATGCGGCTGAAGGCCGGCAGCCGCGTGTGGCCCTGCAGACCGCTCCAGTCAAAGTCCACGAACCTGACCTGGACCTGGGGCTCGCTGCTGCTGCTGCTGACGCCGCCCGCCGCGTCCTCCCCACCGCCATCGCTGCCGCCCATGCCGCTGCCCACCGCCACCTCGCCGCCGCCGCCTCCAGCTCCCCTGCCGCCGCCGCCGCTGCCCGCCGCCGTGTCCGCGCGCGGCAGCTGCACCATGACGTTGGCCTGCCGCAGGTCGGCATGTACGCCCGGGAGGCCGCGGTCCACGACGATGGTGTGCGCCCGGCCCAGCGCCGCCACCACTGCGCCGTTCAGCTGCTCCTTCAGATCGGGCGGCAAGCTGTAGAACATGACCCAGCCGTCCGCGGGCGCCAGCTGCTCCATCACCAGCATCACCAGGCCGCACGGCAGCCGCTTCTCCAGCACCACCTTCGGCGCCAAGTCAGCCGCCGCCCAGGCGCGGTGCACACGGATCGCGTCCGCGCTCATGTGGGCAAACTTCACTGCCACGGCCCTGCGCGGCAAAAGGCAAGCAAATGCAGAGCAGAGAGGGGTAGGAGAGAGCGTCGCTAACCAGAACCAATGAGTGCATGCTGCCCGCAAAGGAACCATGAAAGGCAAAGGGACGTCCAACAGGAGGCAGGTGACCGGATCAGGAGCAGATGCCGAGCGAGGTTTTCCCGAGGTCCCATCGTGCACCCAACCGAGCTATCACCCGGGCGGTGCCGCGCCCTGCCGTATCCACGCACCTGTCCTCGTACACAGCGAAGTACAGCGGGTTGTACACGCCAGCTCCAACAGGCTGCACGTCCCGGAAGCCCTTCTCCGGGCGCAGCGGGTACGGCAGCTGCAGGGACGGGTCGCGCAGCGGCACTGCCACGCGCGGCACCGCCGTCGCCGCGGCCTCCCCGCCTGCCGACGCCGCAGACGATGATGACGCCCCTGGCGACGGCCCCGCCGAAGAAGCCGAAGAAGCCGAGGCCGAGGCTGAGCACGCCGCCGCGGGCGAGGCAGCAATGGGCTGCTGCAGCTGGCCGCACGCGTTCTTCAGAAGCCCGATGCCGATCTTGAGCGCCCGCAGCACGAGCGCCACGCAGATCATGTGGTCTGGTGGGGCAGTGGGGCACGGCGTCCGGCGGGTGCGTGCGTGCGTGTTCCCCGTCACCAAGCGCAGGAAGGCGTTGGGCAAGCGTTGGACAGCTACTGCGCAATGCAACTAAACGGCTGCATATGGGTGGGTGGGTAGGTGGGCGGATGACTAGGTGGCGCGCTATATAAGGAGGAGTATGCGCGAGCGCTCGCTGTGCTCACTCACCCGGCCGGTGCCGGTGCATGCTGAACAGGTGCAGGTAGGGCGTCAGCGGCTCGCACACCACGGTAACGTCCGCCGGAGACGCCAGCGCCGACACGCGGAGGTACGGCCCCACCAGCTCCACGAACAGCACAGGCAGCACCGTGCCCTGCACCAGCGCGGCCACCTCGGGATTCGCCAGGTACAGCTGGTAGTAGCGCTGGCCTTGGAAGTAGGGGTCGCCCTCTGTGCCAATCTGCAGGGCGGGGGCAGCAGGGTAGGTGATGAGCGCATGCGTGTGCGAGGCTGCGTGTGGGCTTGCAAGCAGCTGCAGCACGGCGGCTTGGCTCGGGCACGAAGGGAAGAAAGAGGCAGGAGCACAGACAGGTACCCTGACCCATTCTACCTGTTCCCGCCGTTCCTGGCCGTTCGGCCGACCCACCTCCAACTTGACCTGCTGGATGTACACAGGTAGCCTCTTTGAAGACGCTGGCCCGCCGGCCCGGCAGAGCAAGCTCCCGTCGGTCTCAAACCCCAGGCCGCGGATCGGATGGTGGGGCTCGATGCACTCGCCGAGGTAATCTTGGAGCAATTCGCTGAATTCTGCCATGCGCGCCTCCTCGTCGGCAAAGCTCTTGGCCATGGCCGCGCACAGCCTGCAATCGGGCACCCGTACGCGGGCAGTGCACAGTTCTCGCACAGGCCTGCACAGCTGCACGTCCGACTTGATACCCCCTCCGACCCGCGGCCAGGCGGCGAGGATGCTCAAGTTGACTCTCCCTCTCCGATCTTTCCGCCCCCGCCCCTTGATGTCCCCCTCCTCCAACATGGCCCCGAAGTCCACTGCTACGTTACCTGCTCGCCATCTCGCAGTCCGCGTTTGATGGGGGCACGCTGTCAGCGCCGCCGCCACCACTGCTGCTGCCGCAGCCGCCGCTGCTACCGCCGCCGCCACCGCTGCTGCCGTCGTCGCCGCCAACACCAACGCCCTTCAGCGCCGCGCCGAACAACGCCACCAGCTTATCTAGAACTGGGTCGTACAGCGCCACCGGCAGAGCTCTGGTCGACCCAACGCCAGCGGTTGGCCGAAAGCACCGGAAGAAGGCGTGGTTCTCTGCTTGCGACCACTGATCGCTGTAGGCCATGTCCGAGGGCTCTGGCAACTCCTCGAGCTGCTGCTGCTGCAGTTGGGACCCTGTGAGTCAACAGCAAGCCATGAAAGCTACTCTCACGCAGGGCCGTGGCAGTAGCAAGTGGGGCTAGGCCCATCACGACCCATCACAAGACTCTGCACTCACGTCCGCGGCCTTGGCTGCAGTTGCAATGCCAGCAGCAGGCAGAGGATGTTCGAATAACACGGAAGCGCGGACAGGAGGAAGACAAAACAGGGGGCCGCTGTCATCGTTGGCCCGCCGCAGCGACATTGCGAATGACAAGAATCGCCATCACGAAGGTCGCGAATTGCGCAAGACAAGAGCCCTTGAGGCAGGTAGGAAGAAAGACAGGCTTTGGGAAACGCGAAAACTCCGACTCCAACCTGTAATGAGGACCCTCACCGTTCGAGTGCGCTTGCTCCGCTCGCAGATCCTTCTCCTCCTTGAGCAGCAGGAGCTCCTTATCGCGCAGCTGCTCCAGGTTCTTGCGCAGCTGGCGCAACACATCGCGCACTGCGTCCAGCTGCTTGTCCAATTCTTGCTTCGAGGCGAGTCGCTGCTCCTTGACCACCAGCAGCCCAGCTTTCTCCCCCTCACTGAGAGCTGGGTTTGCGAGCTTAGCCTGCACGTCGCAGAGCTCCTCGTCGATCTTCCCCGCGCGACGCTCGAGGTCGTCTTCCTTCGCCTCTTTTATCTCTATTTTCTTTACGACATTGTCAATCTCAGACGCGGTCTTTTCAATTTCTCTAGCGACCTTTTCTATTTCTCTTGCGTGTTCTTGTAGGGAGAGAGAACGCTTCGTCATGATATAGGGAGTTGCAAAGTGATTGGCTGCATTGGCACTTTTCCAATTGAGCCCCGATTGACACCGCGGAATTTGCGCTAAATAAAATGGCGACAATTTCAATGCCGTACACCATAACCGAAAACACCGTCAGGCCTTAGCAGCTCTGGAGTGCTGCCAGCGGTCCAGGCAAGCATTTGCACGCACGTAGGCAGGCATTTGCAGCGTTACCATCGTTGCGGGAGGGTCTGGGAGGGCTTTTCGGCTCCGTGACGTCGCCATGTTAGACCGCGCAACCGCAGAAGGGCCATTCCAGGCATTTAAAATCAACATCAGCATAGAGGAATGCCTGAAAGAGAAGGAATGCTAAGGGGTAGCTATTGTAGCAGAGGCGCGCAGCACTTCCAAAAATGAAACCGCCCGGCCCGGAACCGCGATTGCAAAATGCGGCCCGATTGCAATCGCGCGGCTGGCGGGGGCCATCTACTTAACAACTTTCTGTAATTTCTAAGCACTCAAAGCTTGAGAGCTATGTTGCAGCTGGTGTTTAAATGAAAAGATCTAGCGCTCTGCCAGGGTGCCACCGACACACCAGCGATGAACGACCAGCGCTGCACACACGCAATACTGGACATCACAATTCGAGCCGAAACCCTGCAAGGACCCCCCCACCCTGCAAGGACGGGCGGGTCGGGCTGGCTCACATGTTACAACCCATGTTGACGCCTTATCCCTCAGTCAGTTAGTTGTTTCCTCTTTACCCCCACCCTGCAAGGACCCCCCCCACTGTACCACCCCCACCCACCCCCCGAGCAAGGACCCCCTCTCCCCCACCCCCGCGAGAAGGTGTGTCTCACCCCTGCACGCGTGGGTCTGTTGGCCCTGTCCCCGCAAGAAGGGTAAACCACCCCTGCCCGCATGGGACGTGTCTCATCCGTGTGCTCTGTGTATTGTGTGTGAACTAGCAAGCTCTGCTGTACCCCCTTCTAGGTGTGTCTGTACCTGCAAGAAGGCGTGTCTCACCCTATAGCGTGGGCATGTCTATGTGCTGCTAACAGGGAGAAGGAGAGGGAGAGAGGAGAGAGGGAGCCGGAGAGATATATGTTGCAGCTTGGCGTGTAGAGCCTTTGCTAGCGTATATGCTAATGTATACCTGCAAGCGTAGACGTGTGTGAAGTTGAAGTGCGTGCGTGTCGTATTGCTAGAGTGCGTGTCAATTGAAAGAGGCTGCTGACAGTCGTTGTGGGCAAAGTCAACAGGTAGGGGTGGTGTGTACATACTGGAAACCAGGGAGAAGGGGAGAGCAATGCATGCATAATCTTGTGTATACTTGTAGGCCTATATAACCCTGCAGTCTCTCTATATAGCCTCTGCAGGTAAGCGTGCCTAATGCACATTCGTCTGAGTACTACGTACACAGCTTGGGGCGTGTCTAGTGATGTCGTCAGGTGAGTGTATCCTATGCACGAAGGCGTGTCTAACGGTGTGGGGTGTGTGTGTAAATAGTTTGTGTGTAGTTGTGTTCGTGAGAAGACGTGTTGTAGGGGTGTGTGTGTGTAATGGTAAGAGTGTGTCAACGTCTGTTACATACAGATTTGGCTGGGGGGGGGGCGTGTGTCAATACTGAATTAACAGCAGCAACAACGCGCCGTACACACACAGCAATATTAACTGGTGGTAATCGGGCTTGTGTGGAGCGCGTTTTGTAGTTACCATTGCGCGTATAGATTGCACGCATGAAGGTGCCGTACATATCAACAGTTCAGAGCTGTCCGGGGCTTGATTGCCGTACACACCTACAAGCAGACGCCTGGTTGCTGGAGGTAGGTATCGTCTTGGCATAGCTACTTGGGTTGTTGGCGGATTGATGTCATGAGTTCGCCTGTGGCACGGATTGGGTGTGCTATTTGCCCCGACGCCACCCAACTTCGCTTGGAAGTAAGAAACCCGCCGTACAGGAGGCGTGCTGCCGTACAAGAGACATACTGAGTCGCTGATCCCCCCTTTGAAACTACAATAGCTTCCTTTGTCTGTCAGGTCGTGGACCTGCCAGCAGGGACGCAGTCATCAGCCCTCGTCCAATTTAACATGCATAGCCCAAACGGAGCACCATTGTGCTAACAACTTTTGGTCAACCAACCAGCAGGAAGGCTCCTAGCAGCTTCCTGCATTTCGCAACTCACTAGCTCTCACTAACTGCAAAGTCATCTTCCCCTGGTAGCGGTGTATGTGCACGCCCCCCTTACTTGAGTCGTGAAGTGCACCTTTCCATTCCGCCTCCGCCTGTCCCCCGCCAGCAGTGCATGCCATGTTGCCATCAGTCCAGCCCCGACCCACACCACATACACTACGCGGGTCCAAACACCCGCTCGTACTCCCACAGGGCCCCGTCAGTCCAGCCCCCACACACCGCCTAACCATTGCGCCCCCTAACCTAACACAGCACAGTAACTCAGCAGCCCATGCACCTCCCTCGCTGCTCTCCTATGTGCAACCCTCTCCACCTCCACAAACACCCGTCCCCCACACACAATCCGAACAAGGAAACACACCCTCCGCCTGCCCTCCTCCTGCCCTTCCCCCAGCCACCCGCCTGCCGCCTCACGACGCAGCTGCCAGGCTCACCCTCCGCCTGCCTCCTGTCTCCCGCCTCCCCCTGCCTCCTGTCTCCCGCCTCCCCCTGCCTCCTGTCTCCCGCCTCCCCCTGCCTCGCCCCGCCCCGCCCCTGCCTCACGACGCGGTTGCCAGTCCGACCTTGTGCACCATGGCCTCCTTCTCAATCAGCTGGCAGCTCTTGTCAACCAGGCCCAGTAGGCGGGCTGAGCAGGCAGAGGGAAGGAGGGGGGGGGAGACCATAGGAGACCACAGGTTAGGGCAAAGCAATGGGGATAGGAGGCGGCAGGGTGCCACAGGTGGGGGCAGGGGAGAGCGGAGGAGGCAGGGAAGCATGGGCAGGGGTATTTCCAGCCATAGCGTATATAAGCTACATAACACTCCGATAACCTTTTGGAGAGGTGCCCAAGCAGCCTCCCCTTCCGTCTCCGGCGACTCCCTGCTGCTCCGCCTTTAGCCCCCATTCCTCCCACCCTCCCCAGCTTCCCCCCTCCCTCCCTCCCTCCCTGCTCACCAATGTTGCCCGCCCAGCCGTTGAGCTGCTCCTCGGGCCGCTGTGCGGGCGCAAAGGTGATCACCCCCGAGGGTCGGTCCATCTTGGCTCGGATGGCGCCGCACACCACCAGATCCGCCACGTGCTTTTCCATCTGCATGGGGCAGGGGGGGGGAGGCGCATGGAGGGGTGCATGAGGAGGGTGCGATGGTGGGTAGGAGGTTGCAGGGGGGGGCCATGCTCCATGAGTGCATGTGGCGAGGTTGTACGCTTGGGAGGTGGCATGTATGAATGCAGGGGGGGTTGCGTGGGGGGCAGTTGCAGCTGCATGCATGCACGGCATCATTCATGCACGCATGCGTGTGTGGGCGACATGGAGCGACACCCCACTGCCTGCAGTCCGCCTGCATTCCCACCTGCGCTTGCACAACCCCCTCCCCCCCATGCGGATTTCCCACCTCGCCCACCTCCTCTTACCCCACTTCTAGGGTCGGTGTTTCACCGCAGCTCAGTTTGCCTAACCCCCTCCTTCCCCCAGTCATCTCGGTAAGTCTCTCGGTGAGTTGCGTGTTTCTAGGATAGTGTCTCCGAACGCGCTCACTGCATCAGTTGGGCTTTGGGATTGGGACTCCGTTGCTCCACGTTTCATCTATTCCCTGCCTCCCTTCCCCCCCACCTTCTCCTGCGTCAGGTCCAGCACCGCCGCCAGCCGAGCGGTCCGCAGCCTGCTGTAGTACTTTGCCGCCACCAGGACGTTGTGCTCCACCACACGCAGCTGCAGGTCGGAGCGGCGCTGGGGGTCTGCATGGGGGCGAGGGGGGGAGGGGGGGGAGGTGTTGCATGGGGGAAAAGAAGGATGTTGCAATGGGGGGGAGGGAGGGAGGGGGGTGTTGCATGGAGGGAGCGGGGTGTTGCAAGGCGGAGCAGGGAACACGGGGTGGGGGGGCGGACTAGGCGGGGTGGGGTGGGGAGGGCGTGTCAGACGAAACACACACGGTCTCAAGTGTCCCAGGCCCTCTCAGCCTATCCAGGCCATTGCGCACATGCAGTCGACAACTGTGCAAACCGCACAGCATGGAGTCCATACCCCATCCCCACCCCTCCCTGAGCTGTGACTGTGCTTCACTTCTCATTTCTTTTCCCTCTCCCTCACCCGCAAACACCTCCTCTGCCACGTCCGCCATCTCCGCCCCGAACTGCGCCTCGAAGGCCGCCCAGCGGATGACCTCGGAGGTGGTGAAGGTGGTGAGCAGGGCCTTATGGCCGGGCAGCTCCGACAGCTTCTTGTCCTGCAGGAGATGAAGTGACGGGGGATATCAGAGACATATACCAAAACCACAGCGTCGAGTACCGGACCCGTGTGCTCCGGCCCAAGACTTCCTTTTACCCCCGCGCACCCCGGGGTTGCGGTTGTATGGTTTTATATTCGCTGTTCCCGCCGGGTCCCCCCCTTTCCATCCCTCGCCACCACCATCCCCTGCCACCACCATCCCCTGCCAGCCCCCTCCGTCAGCCCCCGCCACGCACCCGGCCCACCTGCATGGTCGCTGTGAGCAGAGTGGTGCGGTCGCTGCTGCTGCCATGGGGGGTGGAGTAGGCGGGTGAGAGCACAAGGTACCAGCACACGGCCTTCAGGACCTGGGGGGGCGGGGGCGGGAGAGAGGGAGGGAGGGAGGGGGAAGGGGTTCGCAGGGGTAGGACAGAGGCGGGGAGGAAGGGTTCGGATAGCAGACGGGCACAGTTGGGACGTGTACTCAGGCAAACGTTGAGGTAAGGGTTTTTGGTGGTCTTCCTGTCCTTCCTCTGTAACAATCCACATCGGAAAAAAAGGGCACACCAGTGTAGGCGTTGTGTGCACATACAAGCCCAGTCCCAAGCGCCCAACTCCCTCTCCTGCTTCTTCACTCAACCTAATCTCCCGACCTTACCGGCTTCCACTTGTCCGCGTCCTCCGCGGCCGCATGCACCTCGTAGATGGCGCGGTAGCATCGGGTCACCTGCGACCCGTGGGTCACACATAGGGAGTTGCGGGATCAGGTTCAGTGTTGGGAAACAAACGTTACATACGGGTCAAGGGTGACAGACGGGATCATACACAAAGGGGGGTCAGTAATGGTGACGCTATACCGTCCAATGCCCATGCTGACCCATGGGTCTCAAAACACCCTCCAATCCCCTCAGGCCCCCCTCTCAGCCCTCCCCGCATCCCAGCCCCCCCTTACCTCCAGGTAGTTGTTGTTGTGCGCGTGGTAGCGGATGAGCAGCTGGTAGTAGCGCAGCTTGAGGGCGGACAGGGAGGGGGTGCCCTGGGGGGGGAGGGGGAGGGGGAAAAAGAAATTCCAATGTGCGGTGTGATAATGGCACATAATGGAAGGGGCAGGATGGGGGATAGTTCATTACGGGCTGCCAGCGTTGCAGCAGGAGAAAATTGCAAATTGCAGGGGATTTACCTTGCCTTCCCACCCCGAAACCTCTCCCCCGCCCATCCTCCCTCCTCTCCGCCTCGTCCTCCATCTGCCTCCCCACCACCCCACCCTCACCCTTCCGTTCGTCAGTTTTCCTTAACTTTACCCTCACCTTCTCCGCCTCCTCAATCGCGGTTCCCTCGATGCCGATCTCGCCCTGCCCCTCGCCCTTGCGCTCCACGAAGGCACGAGGGGACACCTTGCGACTCAGGATCTGCGCGCGAATGAAGTCCTTCTTGTCCAGGCAGAGGCGGACCTGGGGGGGCCGGAGGGAGGGGGCCGAGGGAGTTTTGAAATGGGAAAGAAGGGGATCCGTGGGGAGAGGGAGCGTGCGTGTGCTGTAACTACCGGTTCTGGCCGCCATCTGCTCCCACTCCCTCCCCCATTGCGCTTCATTTTCATATCTTTTTCCCGCTCCCACTCCGCCCCCTCCCCCACCTGCTCCAGGATGAAGGCGATCTTCTCCGTTTTGGCCATCGCACCAAACGTCTCCTGCGGGGAGGGAAGCGGGAGGGGTCAGTAAGGGAGGGGTCAGTAAGGGGGTAAGGATCAGTGGTAAAAGTGGATCAGAGGGGCAGGAGGGGGAAATATAGATATAAATACATTAACGGAGTCCCAATCCCGAATGCCGACTCATGCAGTGGGCGCAGAAGGCAGAATGGCAGAAGGGGAGAGGGGCCCCAAGGCAAAACCAACCATGATGGTTGTCGGCGCGCAAACCCTCGTCCCCGAACCCACCAAGCCCGACCCAGATCAGGAGAGCGGGCGGGGCAGGGAAGGGCGGGGAGGGGATGAGGTGGGGCATGCAGGGAGCGTACTCAGGGGGCTTACGGGGGAGGCCGCCCTCCTCTCCCTCCTCACGCACCTTGCGGCTCAGTCGAACCAGCACATACCGAGATACCAAGCTCTGTCCACTCCAAACCGATTTGGGTCGACTTGGGTCGGGGCCAAACTCTGCACCCCTCCCGCATACCCTAGTTCCTCCCTCTCTCCCACCCACTCCCCCCCACTCTCCCTTGCATGCTGCCGTGACCCCGGCTACCGTAGCCTCCCTCCTCGTTCCCTTGCCCTAACTCGTAATTTCCTATGTTGCTTTGGTCTTTTTTGAACCCCTTCCCCGTCAGTTTCCTTTATCTTTACCCCCTTGGATGCCGCGGCTTTTGTACGAGGCTTTCCTTTGCTATAGCCTTTGATCCCACTCACCACCGCCACCTCCTGCAGGATGTCCGCCGCCTCCTCCACCTTGCCCTCCGCCTCCTTGATGACGGCCAGGCGGCGGGTCAGACGTGCGCGCTCAATCTCAACAAAGATCTGTTTGGGTCCGGGTTGAACGGTTGACATGGGGTTGGAAGTGGGAGGCAGGAGGGAGGCAGGGAGTATGGAGAGCATGGGGAAAGCGACAGAGGGTTCAGAAAGGGTGGTGTGGACACACATGTGAGTGGGGTTGCGCCAGCAGTATAGCAATGATAGCAATGTGCATCACACTTGACTTGCCTTTCCCTCCGTGACCGCCTGCAGCGTCTTGATGAGCGACACACGCGTGTCCTTGTCTTCGATGGCGTCGATGTACGACATGGCCTGCCGTACAGTCGCTTGGATGGCCTACAGCAGAAGGATAGAAAGGAGTTTGGCTTATTATGAAAGGAGATGTGTATGCGGCGAGCACAATAGCGGGGTAGTATGTGAGGGTAAGAGAGCGGAGGTGTGCGCGAGCAAGGGCAACAATGGGACGGAGGTATTGGGTTAGGGTTAGGAAGGGCGCCATAACGTTATGACGTTCACCAAGCTTTATTACCTGCTTCAGCTGGCCTCGCCGCTTTGTCAGAAGCATGACATTCTCCTCTAGCGCTCGCCAGTCCTTTGCCTCGTGGCAAACGTCCAAAATGGCTGAGCAGCAAGCCTTAGTCGCGGTTATATCCTCCGCCAAACGGCTGCTCTTCTCCAAGTTAAGTAACCCCTCCACCGCTTGTGTCAATTGGCCCTGAAGCCAAAGGTGAAGTACTTGCGTTGGGCTGGAATGCACAGATCTGGCAGGTAATCCACAGAAAGGACACCACAAAGCTTGTGCAAAGCTGTAATAACGCATGATCACTCCTACACTCCTACCTTTCCCGCAAGCTCCTTTTGAGCAGCAATATCGCTTGTAAGCTTTGCCATGTCCACCGTCCCAGCCTTGTTCTTATCCTTTTCATCCATGTCCATTGCTATATTACTAGCTGTAAACTCCCCTACCGACATTGTTGCTGGTGGCGTGTAAGCGTCAGAACTCTACAATGTGCACTTTGGTTGTCAGGATCAAGAGTGGTCTCTCTCTGGATCAGCACAAGTTCATCAGTGAGTATACTACTATCGTAATAAGCTCAGTATCTTGCAGGATGCGACGAATACGTGCCCCATCGTCGTATTACCCCATGCCAAAGCCTGTCAGCACGGAATAGCCATCCACCAAAGCAGAGGTAATTCCCCACAACATACACATACAACATTTAAAGTTCTACACGTATGCGTTGTTGCAGCACATTTGGTCCCTACCTGAGAAGATTAAACCGTGCTACTACATTTGTAGCCCAGGAAGCGTCTGAGGTCCAACCAGGCAACATCTAAGCTTGTAACCTTTCTCTATATATACCCTACCTGTTGCCTGTATGGTAGCGCTTGGGCAGTGCCTCAGCTTCGCACACGAGTTACCTTCCAACTAACCAGGGAATAGGACTTGATTGGGAAAGACGTTATTGGAAGGGTCATATTGAAGAGCTGCCTCTCGTCTATGTGGGAGCGGGTCTCCACGAGCCGCGGTCCGGCCTGAGGCGGCGTTAACCGTCGCGCTTAAAGCGGAGCAAGACGTTGATGTGGCGTGGCGGACTAGGCGATAGCATGGATTTCGCAACGTCCAGCCATCGGCGCCGTTGGCTCTATACTCGCGCTAGCTTGGTGAGTTCCCATCGTTGCGCAGTAGCCATGCAAACACCAAGCCTACCGGGCATCGAAACAACCGGGCGTGACTTCTCCTCTCTTACCCCAAAGCCCCTTAACCTCCACTCCCGCTTCCTCCTCTGCACTATACCTCCTATACCTTCCTAGCCATCCTTACCCCACCCCCCTGCCACGACAGTTCCCCCCTGCCTTCCCTGCCTCCCACCCACCACCTCCCCATCCTCTGAACCCACCCAACCACCCACCACCCTCAGGATGAGGAGCGGCGGCGGCTGCAGCAGCGGCTGGTGGAGGGGGTGCGCAAGCAGCGAGCAGCCGCGGACCCGGGGCAGCCGGAGGCGGGCAGCGCGACAAAACGACCCAGGGGTCAGTTGTTGCTGTGCTGCCCCGTAGTCTGTGTGGTTGGGCATGGCGAGTGGCGGGGCGGGGGGGGGACCGCTTTCCTTAACACACATGTTGTTCCATCTCGCGGGGCCAGAATTCTTAACACACGCGGCACTTCAGGTTTGGGGGTTGGGGTTTGGGTTTGTGCTATGCTGCCAGGTCCACAGGGTAGTAGCACAGCTGCGCAACCTGCTCGCTCCGAAGGCGAAGCAAAGCAGCTTTCATCATCATGGCTCCCACACCCGAGGTGTGGGAGCGGAGCAGTGCAGCACCCCCATGCAGAGGGCACCTTAAGGCGCATCAGGGCCACAGGGCGCTGGTGTGTGATGCAAGGGCACGGGAAGAGTGGGGCCGCCTCGCTGGGGGGGCCTGCCCAGCCCCAACCCAACACCCCTGTCCACCTGCTTCGTTGCGCCCTCGCCCCCACTGCTTCCTGCTGCCTGAACCTGTGGTTCTGGTATGGTCTGGTTTGACCCCTCCCCCCCTGGTCTTTTGACCCCTCCCCCCGGCACCAGGGATTGTCAGCAACTTGTATCATTATCACACCACACTTTGGAATTTCTTTTTCCCCCGGCCCCACAGAGCCCTCCCCGGTGGACCCGGTGGGTGAGCTGCTGATGCTCAAGTACTACCAGCAGATCATCCAGGAGAAGTGCCGGGAGATGCGGCTGCCGCTCAAGGTCATGGTGAGGAGGGGGAGGAGCAGCAGGAGGAGCAGGAAGGGTGGATTGGGGAGGGGGATGCAGTGGGAGGAAGTAGTGGCGGTAGCGGGGCAGAGGTGTGTTAGGATGTGTAGGTAATGTGTGTGTGTGATTGCGGATCCGCCCCTTTTCCCGCGCACACCAATCCTCCCCGCCCCCCGCCATCCCACGGTTCGTTAGTCGCTTCCTCTCCCCCCTCTCCCCCCGCCCCCCCAGTCCACCGCGTTGCAGTACCACAAGCGCTTCTTCCTGCGCCACTCCTCCATGGAGTTCGACCCGGGGAGGGTCATGATCACCGCCATATTCATGGCAACAAAGGTAGGGGCGGGGTGGGGCGGGTCGGGTTGTTGGTTTTGTCTGTTCAGTGTGTGTCTGACTGTTCAGTGTCTGAACAGGGGGCATGCGGGGACCTGACCTGGACTGTGTATCCAACCGCGCGGTCTGCCTGGCCCTCCATGCACAACACCCAACTGCCCTCTCGCCCCGCCCTCCTGACCCGCCCTCTGGCCCCCGCCCCCGCCCCCGCACCCATCCCCCCTTTGCTTCACCCTAACCTGGGGCTTTCTGTGGCTGCATGTTATGGTATCTCCCTGACCCCAACCCCAGATAGAGGAGCACTACACCAGGGCGGCCGACATAGCGGCGGCCTTTGATGTGAGCGAGGACCTGGTGGTGAAGCAGGAGGTGAGGGGCTATGGTGGTGAAGCAGGAGGTGAGGGGGTAAAATTAGTTAATAAGTGCAAACAAGTGCAAACAAAAGGAGGAGGAGGGTGGAATTCAATACAACCGCAAACCGCATTAACGAGGAGAAGGAGGAGGTGCTACAGGGATTCCAGAGGAGGAAGGGAAAGGGTGGCGACTGAGGAGCGGGGACCACCACCATCGTACCTCCGCTCTCGCCCTCAACCCCCCTTTCCTCCCCTTCCCGCCTTCCCTCCCTCTCTCCCCACCCGCCCCCAAACCCCAGGTAGCGCTGCTGGAGGGCCTCAATTTCGACCTTGTGGTTCACTCCCCCTACCGGGCGCTGCAGGGCTTCGTACAGGAGCTACGAGACGCCCGCACATCCCCCCCTTCCTCCTCCGGCTCCCCTCCCCCACCTCCCCTCCCCACCGCCTCCTCCGCCGCCTCCCTTCCCCCCCCGGACGAGGCCCTCCTCTCCGCGCCCGAGCCCCTGGTGGCGGAGGCCTGCAGGGCTGCGTTTGGTGCGCTTGACGCGCTGATGCTGAGTGACGCACCGCTGCTGTTCGGGCCGGCGCAGCTGGCGGCAGCGGCGTTGAGGAGCGGGTTCAAGACCAAGGGCATTCGGGTGCGGGGGGGGGCGAGGAGGTGGGATTGAGGGGGTGGGAGTGGGAGCGGGGGGGGGGGTGAGAGTGGGAGCGGGGATGAAGTCTCTGGGGGCAGATTGCGCAGAAGTGGACGAAATGGAGGGTGGCCTCATGCACACATCATCGGGTTCTCAACGCGCGTATACGGATTCTTCCCACACCCCTCACGTTGAGCTTCTCCTATGTCCTATCCCTCTGCTACTCTGCTACTCTATCATCCCTCCGAACATTCCGCTTCGCCGTTTGCGCAGATACCCAACTTCCTCGCCCGATTGGCGCTACGAGCGGCTGCAGCGGCGGCGGCAGAGGACGGCAGCAGCAGCGGACTGGAGGCGGAGCAGCAGCAGGTGGGCGCGTGCGTGTGGGTGTGCTTGGGTGGGTGCGTGGGTGTTTTAAGAATACTGGCCGCGAGTCGGGACGTACTGTGAATGTCGCGAGTAGGCACGTACTGTGAATGAGTCCCCACAGAATCGCCAGAAAACCCACGCAAACCCCCCCCCCTGCCACCCCCCCTCGCCCTGCCACCCCCCACCCATTTCTTATATAATTTTTCCCCACCCGCCCATGCGTACCCCCTCCCCCTCCCTCGGGATTGGGATTGCGTTGTTGCATTTATTTATAATATTCTCCCCCTCCCTCTCGCGCCCCCCCAGCTTCCATCCGACCCCGCAGCGGCTCTGACCGCAGCCCTAGACGAGTTGGATGCACTAGGAAGCGAGGGAGCGCGGAGAGTGGAGGTGCGGGCGGCGTGTGGTGTGCTGTGTATTGTGCCTTCTGCCGTACCTCCTACCCTCCTTCCTTCCTGTACTGCAGTATCTGTACTGCACTCTGGCATGGTATGGGTATGCATGGGAGGGAGTAGCGGCATGCACCTCACCACCACCATGCGCCCCTTATGCATGCAACCCAACCAGCGCCGCCCAATCAGTCGCTCTCTCATCCCACCCGCTCCGTACCCCGCACCCCATCCTGCCTGGCATGTGCTCCTATTACATTGTCGTCTTGTTTGCCAGCTCATCCAACACATTGGGTATCCTCCCTTCCCCCCCTCCTAACTTGTGGTCTCCTATGGTTTGGTATGGTCTTTGACCTCCCCTCCTCAGGTTGGCGAGGTGAAGGAGGCCAACGCAGTGGCTCGGGAGTGGCGCAACCTGCTGAAGGACGCGGGGGCGGGGGCGGGAGGAGCGGCGGGAGGGAAGGTAGGGAGGGAGGGGGGCCGGAGAGGAGGACCCGCATCGCATCGAAGGAGGAAACTCACTGAGTTCTCCAATGAATACCAGGAATACATGAATACATCAAAACATCACACAAAGTGCCCGGCAGCCGCCCGCTCTCCAACACGCAGCACCCGCAGCTGCCGCCGTCGTACACTCGGACACACCTCGGCCAGTTTTCTCAACACACCTCCATCTTCCTCGGCAGTCTTTGATGCCCCTCCCTCGCTGTCGGATTCCTTCCAGCACACCTCCTCTCCTTCCAAACTCTTCCCTCTCCTCCCAACCTCTTCCCTCTCCTCTTATCCCCTCCCAACCTCTTCCCTCTCCTCCCCTCTCCTCCCAACCTCTTCCCTCTCCTCCCCTCTCCTTCCCTCTCCTCCTGCCTCCAGGGCGCTGCTGCGGCCGATGACGCTGCACGGGCCGCCAAGCGTGACGCCAAGAAGGCAGCTCGCGCGGCTGCAAAGGCTAAGCAGGAGGCGGAGCTGCTAGGCATGCCGCAACGGCAGTAGCTCCAGAGCTGACAGCTTGGTTGTGAGGCGCGGCATGACAGCAGCCGCGGCATGGCAGCAGCGGTAGAACAGTCAACAGCATCGCCCCTAGGCTAGGCTTGAAGTGCACGGCATACGTACGGGGATGCTTGGCAGGGTGTAGGGGTGCCGTACGCTCTTGGGTTCATGCTGAGGACCGGTATGTGCGGAGTGCGAAGGAAGGCAAGGAAACCAACAGACGATGAAACCGCAAAGCTTAGGGCTAGGAGGGCAGAGAAGGATGGCGCTACCAGCAAAGCCAGCTACTGCTTGACAGTGCGTGTGCGGGAGGACCATCCTGCGTGCTAACAACTGCTTTTAGAAGGACGGCACACACGCGCCACCACTACCCCGGCACTCCTGACGTGGTGAAAGAGGTGCTGACTGGTGGAGGTGGAGCGGTGGTGGCACTGCTGGAATGTATACGTGATCTCCGATACGGTATGCATGTGGCGCAAAAGGCGGCCGTACACGGTGGTGGTGGTTGGTGGTCGGTGTTTCTCATCATGGTGATGAAGGCCCAGGGGCAGCATATGATATGACATGACATGACATGCAGCAGCAGGTGGCGACACACTGGGGTCCCAAGAGGGCGTCCCCAGGGGCCCCAAGAGTCCCCAGGGGGCAGCATGTGGCGACACGGGGGCTGTGTGTCGCTGTAGTACGGGTACAGGTTGCTGTGGGAGCGTCCGCGGGCATGTCTTGCCGCTTCGCGTGCGAACAATAGGAGGGCCTAATGAGGGCCTTATTTGCTACACTTGGTGCAGAGGCAGGATCCAGGGGGTCGTTAGTTGTTAGGACCTCCTTCTTGGATTTTGCGGGGATGCATGCTTGTTATGATGTGGGGGGGCAGGTGGCTCCACACACACGGTATAGGTCCAGTCAGGGGGATGTCTGCCCATGCATGCCGAGGAGTGCAATGCCGGTAGCGGGGTAGCTGCAGGATGTGTGTCTGTGTTTCGGTTTCAGACCCACGGGTCATCTTTGCGGTTTGGAGCGGAACGAGGCTGTTCGAGAAGTGCCCTGCTTCTCCTGCAAGTGTTTGTCCTTCGTTTATACCCCTCATCCTCACATTGTCCGCTTCTACTATCTCCTCAAGGTGCCCAGCTCGTTCCCAAGCTCTAGAGCGACCTTTGTCAACATACGGTAGCTCGTTCCACGCCTCCCCACAGGCCTGCACATAACGACATAAAAGTGTGTTCGCATGTCGTGGCCAAACGCCATCACGTGCCCAGCCACCAGTACTGTATGCTCACTTGTCCCTACCAAGCGGAACACGGAACATGGATTGTACATCCAGCATGCATTCGTTTCTTATCTATATATCATAAATTGTTCCAATGTGTGTTTGCCGGTGTTTTTCGGTTAAGTATCAAACGTGTCGTCAAGCCAAGGGTCTTGGACCAGGATTGCACCTATCGAACCTAGGATCAGCCGCTTAGCACGCCAGCTCCTATCACAAGCTCACAACCCGTGTTCACGGCGTATCGTGTCGAGCAGCCCCTCGCACGCGTCTTCCAGCAGGTCCAGCACACGCTCAAAACCCTGGAGGAGGGGGCGAGCATATGGAGCGGGGGCGAGAGGAGAGCTCAGCAGGTGGGCATTAGAAAGCGAACAGCTAGCAAAACATGGAACATAGTCTTGGCGTTATTTATCCTCTGATAACCCATTTGCTGGGGCTAACAAAATCGCTCGGCTTATACATGCTTGGACACAGGGGGGATTTGGGCCCACATATCAACAAGGCTACATGCAAGGGGGGGAAGGTATCAGGTATGGCCGTGCACCGTCTGCACGACGACGCACATGCAAGTGGATCTCGGTGCTGATGGAAGCATACGGCTGCCATGGAAAGGCACATGGGCCATGTCGTACAAATGTCGTACAAAAAGCTACTAATACCGTACGCACGGTGAAGCAAATCACAGCCGCACACCCACCGATAGTCCTCCATAGTAGGGATCCGGCACCTCGGTCTCCCCCTTGGACTTGCGGCAGTAGCTGGTCATGAGGCTGATGCGGGTGGCGTAGTCGGGGGGGACCTTGCCCTGACCCATGGGTCGCACCAGCCAGTAGTCCGCAGCCGTCTGCGAGGGGAGAGATGTGGTGTGCAGGTGTGTAAGAAGCTAAGTAGCAAGATGTGAAGGAGTTGCAGGGGACCCGTCGGGAGCAGCGAGATGAGCAGACGGCGCAGGAGGGATGTACGGGGCTTTGTACGGGCTTTTAGTCCCGGCTGCGCTGATTGGATCCAGCTGGTTGGATCCAGCTGAATGGATCCAGCTGGTTGGGTCCAGCGGGTTGGATCCCGGCTTCCCGGGTCACAGGGCTGCGAGTGTTTACAATGCCTGAAACCCAGCTACCGGTAGCACTGGCCTTCGCAGCACCGGCAAACAAACCCTCAGACCTTACCCGAATAGCCTTCAGGTTGGCTCCGTCCATTCCTACGATGTATTGGAAGCGGTTAAAGTCGGGCGGCTGCAGCGGCCGGGAGCGGGAGGTCAGCCGCACGCCGCGTTTTCGAGCTGCGGGTGAGGAGTGGAGCAAGGAAAGGAGGCAGGGGAAGGCCGGGGGGGCCGGAGGACGGGCCCAGAGGGAGTGGGTGGTGAGAGGTGGGGACAGGGGGGATTACAGGGGGCTGAGGAGGGAGCAGGCAGGCAGCAGCAGTAGGCGTAACAGCGCGCACGCACGCGGCGCATGTTGGAGGGCCAGAGTAGGACGTTGAAGTGAGCGGGCGGAAGAGTCTACCAGCAACGTCTACTGTAGCGCCTCTCATTGGTCTCATTGCCCGTTCCCTCTAGCTGTCCTTTAACCTCCCATCCCACCCCTCCATCCCACACCCCACCCCACCCAGCACACGATCAGTTAGTTGTTTCCTCTCTACCCCACCCCGCACCCCGCACCCCCGCACACCTGCCATGCTCATTCGGGAGTCCGCCGGGTCCCCTTCATGGTACGACCAACCGCCCTCCATGAACCTGAGCCGGCCCGCATGAGTTTGGAGTGGGCTGGATCAGTACGCGGCTTGAGTTAGCGGTACCGGTAAGCGAGCGCCGTGGCGTTGCAAACCCATACACGGGCGAAGCGCTTGCCGTGACAAGCAGACAGGCATCCCTCTCCTTCGCGCCCCTTGTGAACGGGGATAAAGAGAAAACTAACTGACTAAGCGGGGGAGGTTGTATCTTGACCGCATGCCCCTCAGTTGACCCAGCCAGCGCATTGACTGCGCAACCGCACCGTACCAGTCCGGGTTGCCCCCGCCGGTGCCGCAGGAGTCGATGTCGAACGCCGCCTGCAGCCCCGCGCGCTCAACCACGGAGCGAAACACGGCTTCAGCGGTAGGGCTGCGGCAGATGTTGCCTGGCGTTGCATGGTGGATTGGTGGGAAGGGGTCGGAAAGGGCATGTGTGGCAGGTAATAGGAGTGGTGTACTAGGGGGGTGACAGAGACTTCTTAAAGTGCGGGAGAGAGAGGTAAGGCTCGTGTCATGTGAGGACCTTCGTGAGGCTTCGGGGCTTCTTCAATGAAAGGGCCGAGAATGTTCCGTTAGCTGCCATCTGTTATGCTCGAGACCCTTCACTGATCAGGCCTTGCACAGGCCAGCACAAGGCCTAGTTGCAAGCCCTCCAACCCATCCGCGTTACCCCTAATCCTCGGTTAGGCTAGGTCTGAAGTGCCCCCATTGTGGTTATGGTCATGTGTAGGAGGACGGGTATTGGTATTCGGGTCACTCACTTTGATCTCTTTTCCCCCCCTAAACGGACCAGGGTTCAGGATCGGCTACAGGCTTGGCGTTTGGTTACATTGGACGTACCTAGACACACAAAGAGGACGCCGATCTTTGCACGCTTGTCGTCGCCGTTGGCAGCGGCTGAGTTGGGCACAGCACGTGTGCTCATCCCCGTGTTACCCTGCCGTGCCAGGAAGCTTAGTGTTCCAGGCTGCAAGGTGCCTGGCCTGAGACAACCGAGCCACCATTCGACTCACTTTTGCGCCACCCAAGAAAAGCTCTGGTGAAACGCCAGGTACGGAGGTACCCGGAGATGTGGCAGCCCGACGCGCACGCAAGCTTGTAGTATAAGGATTTAAGGAACACCGTGGAGCTACAAGGAGTCGACTGCATGTACCTGTTCGTGGCCCTGCACGGGTACGAGTTGTGCAAGTCTGCATTGCACAGAAGTCAAGTCCTAAAAATTACACAGGCTTCAATGTTTTTTTGTACACATCGCGTCTAGCCTGCTCTAATACCTTTACCGGGAGATAGAAAAGCCATCCAGCCACAATCTTAGGTAAGTCTCGGAGCGGCATTGGATCCTGCCGGTGCTTATAAAATTACATATGGAGTAGGTCACTGTAGCTTCTAAATGAAGACTCTGCTTTTATCCCTCTCCGCGTGCACTCAGACTTATGCGTTGTGCAGCTAGGCACGAAGTAGACCGTTGACTGTTAGCAGCGACAGCACCGCAAAAGATTATTAGGAGCCATTTGATAAGAATGCGTAACGCCCTAGTGAAGTTTGTAGAACTGAGAACGCGAACCAGGGACCTCACACAACTATACCTCACATGTCCAATCGACCGCAAGCGCATCTCGTGAAGCGCGTGGTAATTCATTCACCGCCTATGGCGCTCCATCCAACCAACTCCTCCTCCCCCGCAGCTTCCGACACCCTTCCTCCTCCTGCGCTACTGCTGCTCCTACTCTTGCCGCCCGAGCTGCGGTCGAGCCATGTCCATGGCTCTCCTGAGGGTGCTCAGCGCGATATTGCCCCCGCAGCACACCACCACCACATGCCGACCAGCCATGCGGGGAGCCAGCCGCTTGAAGGCGGCCAGTGCCACCGCAGCCGCGCCTAGCGAAGCAGACGCGGGTTACGGCAGCAAAGAGGCAGGGTGCAGGGGTCATGTTATACTGCGAATGTTAGCACACCTACGGCTTCCAACTGACGTCTAGGCCGCTATCCTAGAAGTTGCCACGCCGGCCTTTGGTGCCGCTCCGGCACCCGCCTTTGGCGCGCCCTCGCAGCCCGCCGCGCCGGCCTTTGGTGCCGCCGCGCCTGCCCCGAGCTTTGGCGGCGGCGGCGGCAGTTTTGGTGGTGCGGCCCCGGCCTTTGGTGCAGCCGCCCCTGCGGCTGCGGCTCCGACTTTCGGGGCCCCCGCCGGTGCCCCCGCGTTCGGTGCCGCACCTGCCGCGGCCCCCGCAGGCGGCGACGGCTTCAGCATTGGTGCAGCTGGCGGCGAGAGGCGGCGCGTGACAGCCTCCAGGAACAAGGGTCGCCGTTGAGAAGGGTAAAGGGGCGCGATGTGTGGCATGTTGGGGTTGGGTTATGCGTACCAATTCAGCAGCGTGTGTAGGTGTGGACCTTATGTGGAGTGTGGACAACACTGGAGGACAGCGTGGGTGGTGTTGTGTTGCTGTGCAGGCTGAAGGTGTGGCTTATGGGTGTCGTAGTAGATGTGGGTTGTCCAGTCGGCAAGAAGTGTCAGAGGTAACTGTGCGTCCTGGTGGCTAGCTAAGTTGCCAAGTGGTTGGGGCGCGCTTAGTTGTGGTGCGTGTATCACGTCTCCCTCCGCTGTTACGCCACAGCAGAGCAAAGTGCGCGGAGCTAAATAGAGAAGAATGCGCAGGCTTGGCTTTGGGAGGCAACAACCTCACCTGGTGTTAGGAGGAGACATGATGGTCCTGATTTCCCCTGTGTCCTGAGCTTCTAACTGCTTGTCAGCACTCGGAATTCGGAAACTTGGAATCGCTCTTGGGGCGCCCTTGCGCTATGAGGCAAGGGGCATTTAACACCTGGCGCATTTGGGCGGGTTGCTGGGCATTTCCGATCAGGTATAGTGTGCGAGGAGCACTAGGCCAGGTGCCCCCAGGGCTCTTTCACCGCAACTTGCCAGAACTCCCGTGCGTTCACCCGCCGATGTGGTCTTGCGAATCGGGTTGTTGTGAACCCAGATCTGGACGGGGATCACGCAACAAGCGGACGGCTGTCCCTACGTGGTATTAGACATGCAAGGTAAGAGGATTCTAGGGCTGCCCGGGGCAGGGGCGGGGGATGGAGGAGTGCGCGCGGTGGGCATGGCGGATGGGAGGATGGGGGTGGCGGGAGGGGGCTGCGGGTCACACAGGCTAGTAGGCAGTCCCAGGACCCCAAGCACTGCGTGAGCCAGGGAGCAAGGCGCAACGAGCGAGGGTGGCGCACGGAGTGAACCGCGGGTCGCTGCGTGCTGTAAGAGACGCGTGCGGGCACGACATGCCAGCAAGTTGATAACTGCGACGCCTCTTTAGTCTATCCCGAACTAAAAGCCACCAGAAACATGTAAGTATTCGGCACGCGCGTATACCGTATGGCTAGGAAAACGCTGGTGACCCTTGACTGTCATGATGGTAAAATTGGATTCCATGCTGGATTCGTAAAGAGGCCCTTCTGAGCCAGGAGTCCTTAGCAACGAAATAGCCTTACAGACTGTTTATACAAACTTAGTTTCAGACAGACAGCCCTTTGCATTTAACAACGCGAAATGGAGAACCCGTCGGCTGTGGAAAACAGCGAGCAGGTGCCGAGCCTTTCGGATGCTCTTAACAACCTCAGCATACCTGCGTGTGAAACCTTTTGCAACATTCTCCAGAGCGAAGGGAGCATGGCAAAAGCGCGCCTGGCGCTCCTCGCGCTGCGCAACGTGGTGGACTCCTGCGTGCGCGAATTAACGCTGGTCGTGCGCCTTGAGCATCGGCAGTTATGGGACCAGGGCTTGATGCCCTCGCTTGAGCGCTGGCCCCGCTGCGAGGCTATCCGGCTGGACCTGGGCCGACTGGACGCGAACAAGGTCAGCCCGGAAGACATCGCAGAACTCGTAGCGCTGCAGTTTGCGGGCTCGCCGCTGGCAACCAGGCAGCGTATCAAGCGTGTGAAGGTCATCTGGAGGATGGAGCGCCGCGTGGACATCCAATTGGCTGTTGCGCAGCTGCCGCTGTGGCTGCCCGCTCTGGAGGAGGTCGACCTCTCCGGCGCGTGGCCGCTCCTGTACGATCCCCCACGGCGGAAGCAGCAGCTGATGTACCACGCCCTGTCAAACCTTCGGGCACTGGAACGGCTGGTGCTGCGCGGGGGTATGATGCTGCAGGGTGTGGGGGCCCTGGCGGCATGCAGCAGCCTGACGAGATTGGAAGTGGCTTTCGCGCAGTACCTGCCTGACGGTTTGACAGCTCCAGTGATTGCCGAGCTCGCCAGGCTGCAGCATCTGCAGGCGCTGCGCCTTACGTGGTGCGATCTGACGACTGAGAAGGAAGACGAGGAGGAAGACGAGGAGGAAGACGAGGAGGAGGAGGCGGAGGACGAGGAGGCGGAGGACGAGGGGGGCAACTGCAGCAAGCCGCTGCGTCTGCTGCTGGGCAGCTTGCCGGCCTCCCTGCGGCACCTGCAGCTGGAGGAATGCCGCTTTCCGCCCTTTTTCCTCAACCACATTGACCAGTCCGTGGAGTTTCACCTGGAAGCGGGTCACTTGCGGCTCGTGAAGCTTCAAAGCGGTGACCTCAAAACTCTGCCAAAACACTGGCTCCTGCACAGCATCCCGCGTCCCCTCCTGCAGCAGCAGCAGCAGCAGAAGCCACATCTGGTTATTGACGAATTCTTCATGCAGCCGGATCCGCTGTCCGAACAGCAGCTGTCCCGTGCCCGCGCGCTGCTGTGGGAGCATTTCTCCGTTACGGAGGTGCGGACCTTGGTGTTCGTAGATGCCTCTGTGGCTGCAGTGCTGCAGGCGGTGGAGCTAGTAGGCCTGCCGCAGAAGTTGCTGTGTTATCGAAACTGCCGGTACATCACGATACGGTTGGCGAAAGCGGCGCCTTCCGGCCCTGCACTGGCGGGCGGCGAGGGGCACCAGCTGGGACCGACGGCGGCAGGGGGCTGGCAGCAGCTGCCGTCAGAAGTAGAGCTGCTGCTGAGTGCGATGGGGTATTTGGCGGAGGCGGCCGCGGCAGCAGCGGCTGGGGAGGAGGTGGGCGGGACTGCTGGCAGGGGTGGCTCGGCAGGAGCATATGAGCTGTGTGTGAGCGGCCCGCTCCTGGCTACAATGCTTAGGCAGGGCGAGGAGGGGCAGCAGGGGGGGGAGGGGGAAGCATCGCTCCAGCGGTGGATGAGAAGGTTGGATGAGCGGGCAGTGCAGGCGGCTGGAGGGGAGGGCAGCGAGCACTGCTTGAAATGGTACCAAGAGCTGCCGGCTGTGCAGGCAGTGGTGATTCAGTGCTACGGGAGGGCGGCGGCGGAGGCGGTGGAGGCAGCTGTGAAGGTGCTGGCGGATGAGGCGGGGGCTGCTGGGGCAGCAGCAGCGGAGGGGCCGGGGGCGGCGGCTGCACCGCTGCAGGTGCTGCGGTTCGCGTCGCGGCAGAAAGTGCTGTTGAAAATGTCCAACATGTTTTACGCCGTGCAGCAGGTGGGTGAGTGAACCGGCAAGTCAGCAGGCGCTGGGGCCTGCGGTGCGTGGGGTCGCGGGTTGAGGCAGGTCACGGCATGAGGTCCCTACGGCGCCTTTTTCCCTTCTCCCCAACGCTGGCTGCACCTCGCTTTCCCCCCTTCCCCCATACACACCCACAGGCCATCCAGCATGCGTGGGATGGCGCCTGGGAGCCCAGTGGGGGCGGCATCGGGCTGAGGCGCCTGGAGTGGCTACTGGCGCTAGACAAAAAGGTCCTCTTCCCGGAAGTATATTGGCTGTAGTGGTGAGCCGTGCTGCCGGCGGTTGGTGGGCTGACTGGGGGCTAGGCTGGAGGGGCTGCTATTGCACCGTACGTGTGGGGGTATGTACGATACCGCAGCAGGCGTGGGTTAAGGGAGGTGTTGCATCCGGATGCAGGAGGGCAGCAGGCAGGATGACGCCGCAGGCACGGGCTGTGTGCAGGCGATGAGCGGGCCTTCACGGAGCCGCGATGTGCATGCATGCAATAGGAGCCGCCGTACAATGTATGGGATCTGTCGCTATCCATGCAATCGTACATGTGGGGGGACGCCCCAGGCGTGGGGGTTTCGAGTAGTGAGGGGGATGAAGCGTGCGGGGGTGTTAGTTTGCTGGTTGTCAGCTGGGGTTCAGCTGGGTGCACGATGTATGTCGGTCGGGGCTCATGTCACGTTTTGAGTCCGTGTTAGATGACCTGCCTCACTTCCTCTCCGTTATACAGCTGGCGGATGCGTGGGTGGTGGGGAGGGGCCTTGCGGGTAGCTGAGGCGCGAGCGGGAGGGGCTTGGCAGTCAGCTGAGACGCAGGGATGTACCGTATGTCGGATGGTGAGACGTAAA